AAATAATGAGGGAAACAATATAATCGAATCTCAACCAATTCTTCTTGCAACTGGAGGTCTTGATTCGTATCTACGTATATTTGACTCTGAAACAGGCCAAATGACTTCAAAGATAAATATTGATTCCAAAATCTCTAAAGTTCTAATTATTGATCCAAATCCAATCGAAAATAAGGATTTACTCGGTGACTTCAAAACTGATCAGATTAAATTAGAAAACTATACATTTAAAAGAAAAAAAGACGCATTAGATATTGAAACTGTCAAATCCAAAAAAATGAAAACAAAAAATGAAACAGCACACTAGATTGCCAAAAAAATTTAATACGCTTCAAAATTTGTGATTTTTCGGACAATGCGTTTTTAATTAAACTAATTTAATTGTTTTGTAAAAAATAGGCATACTTGTTATAATAACAATAGGAAATATGTTTAATTATGAGTAATTACCATACCAATAAGTAAATACCATCATCTATTTGTGACTGCTTTAATATTTCTATAAAGGGAAATATCAGGTGTTTGTTACATTACATTAGATAAATTAGTTACTGTTTATTTCGTCAGTTGACAAAAAATAAAAAAATTTGGCATTGAGAAAATTCCTTTTGCTTACAACTTGTTGACTTTTGAACCTCGCCAACGTCTAAGTTCACATCATACAGATTTAAAATGTCCACCAACGAGCTTGCTGTCTCTTACGGTAAGTTTATTATCACATTATAAAAATTAGATATATTTAAATAAAGTGACTAATTTTGAAATGAATAGCTGCCCTTATCCTTGCTGATGCAGAGGTTGAAATCACTGCTGACAACCTTTTGACTTTGACTAAGTCTGCTGGTGTTACTGGTGTTGAGCCTATTTGGGCCCAGCTTTTTTCCAAGGCTCTTAACGGACAAAACATTCTTGAGCTTTTGACCCAATTTTCTGCTGGTGGCGCCGGCCCCGCCGCTGCCGGCCCTGCCGCTGCTGCCTCTGGTGCTGCTGCTGAGGAGGCTGCTGAGGAAGAAGAAGAAGAAAAGGAGGAGTCTGACGATGACATGGGTTTCGGTCTGTTCGACTAAATGTATTATGAATTTTTATCCAAACAAAGTACATAAAAATTAAACCTGCTTATGACCTTAAAATAAATTTTTTTACTGTATACTTTCATTATTTAAACTGGAGTTATATGCCCTTTGGGTCCTTAAAACTTGAATCTCAGTTTCAAGTTTATCTGCTTGCTTTTTTGTTTCCAGTAATACACTGATCGATTGCTGAAGTGAGTCAAACTTAGCTGTCACCTTAGCTGTCGGCATTATAGGTCTTGCCGAAATTCCAAGCTCAGCTAACACCTGATGAATCTTAGATTGCAAAGCTTGCTTGTAAGTCGTAATCTTAGAAGATCTCAAATAAACTCCAGTACTTAGTTTATCGTGGTAAGACAAACCGTACGCTGCTTCTTCTTTAGATGAGAGTTTCCTATGGATTGCTGCAGCAATTGCACTAGACCCTGTAAGAGGAGTCTTTTTATTTAGATCTTTATCTTTCTTGATATTCCCTTTTTTTGTTCCTTTGGTATTTGTAGATTGTACTGAATCGTCTAATTCATTTTTTACTTTAGTTCCTCTTCGAGAATCTGATGCTGCTTTCTGATCCATCAGACTTTGTGGCTGTAGCTGGGTGTGAGAATGAAGTTGGTTGGTTTGTTGTATACCTTGTGCGGTAGCTTGATTATGCATTGCCTGTTGTTGTAGTTGATGAGCGTTTTGGAGTTGCTGTAATTGTGGATCTGGTCCTGGAGTAGGTATGGATAAATCTTTTCGTTTTTTACTTTTATCCGACATTAATTGTGCAGTCAATTGCGCCAACTCTTGTGATGTTTGAAATTCATTTATTTTTCCTGCTGTTACCGGCGCATCCAATACCCTCAAAATCTCTGCTCGTTCCAGTAGCATCAATTCTGCAGCAGTTTCAAGTTTTCTCGATTCTAATACTAAAGCTTCTTCTTCCGCAATTTCAGCTGGAGTTCGAGAGAGAAGGCTTTCTAAATGTTGCTTCCTTTTTACTTCGCTTTCTTTAGAATATTTCATCTGTTTATATAATTCATCTTCAGTAGGTCCCATTGCATCTCCTCTGGCATGCCGAAACTTTAAAACCTTTCTGCTGACATCATAAAACCTTGCCTTAAGATCTTCAATTGTTCGAGACCCTGAAGGAGTTTCAAATATTGGAGCTGGCTTTATTGACTCAGTTGGCTCTAAATGTTTATCTGATAAAATGTTTACTGGGTTAACTTTTGATACCTCTTCTATCACTTTGTCTTCATTAGTTTTAGATTCAATAGATGCAGATCCAGAAATTAACTCAGGATCCGTAACTTGTAAAAGTAATTCTCCTTCATCTTTCTTGATGTCTTTCAGTTCATGATTTGATCTTGGAAAGTAATATCTGTCATGAATGACAATCCATCTCAAGCCATATATATCACAGAGATCAAATAAATATCGCGTTTCATCGTAACTCCATTCTGGATCTAAAGGCCAACAGGTTATAATTTAGATTCCAATTTATTTGATATATTAAAAAACGCACCTCGTAAAAATTCGTCATGTTCCTCTTTGGTGAATTGAGGAATCGTGAGCTTTTGGTTGTATTTTGCAAACGTATAGTCTTCGTTATCATGTTGATGTTTTCCTAAAACCCAATGATACAGTTCTAATCCATCATTTCTTGCAGGGTTTCTAAAAGGAACTAAAGACCAAGGAACAGCTTTCTGGTTCCAGGTTGGCCTTTCTTTAAATCTATTCTCAAATACCACAACAGGTGGTGTATTCTCCCCTAATAGACTATATAGTTCACGCTGCATTCCGTCTATTTAAAAATCAGAAATTTTTTTAAAAATCAAAAAAAAAAAAAAATCAAAAAATACATACCTAGACGGCGAGTTGACGAGTCAGGTTTATATCTTTTTGGAGGAGGAACTCCTGAATTCGATTGTCTTTCTGGTAAATTTAGGACTTCTCTAACGTCGAATGACATGGTTTCTTAAAGGTTTAGAAAGTTAAAGCTATTTAAATTTGACTTCAAAAATGTAAAAGAGGGTAAAGTCAAATCTCAATTTTTTTTCGATTGGTTAACCAAAAGAAATTATTATCGACATCTAAACTTTTGAAACTTAAACCGATTAAATTTGTTAAATTTACCTTAATTGTGTAAATGAATAAAATAAAATCCTTTAGGGTAAGGGTTTAATTTAATTCATTAATATTATTGACTCACAGCTTGTATACGTATTGTATATATATATATATATATATATTACATAATATTCAAACATGTTCTTTACACTACATAATCTATCTAGTCCACTATTTGTTTGTGGCAAAATAATTTATGGTTCTAGACTAGCCAAGTACTTGAATCAAAATAACATCGAAATAAATCTATACCATATCATATAATGATAACCCAAGTAATAGTTGAATATAATGCTCGCAATGTAAAGATAAAGGTGGGTCCTAATACATTAATTCGAGATTTACGGACCCAATCTTGCAAGTATTTAGGACTTGACGAAGAGTTATACGCAATAAAGTAAGTGTTTTATTATCACTTTAATCAATTTTTAACATTAAATAGGCATAAATCTTCCTTTTTAAGCTTATCAGCTCCTTTAAAATATACAAATCTTGTTCAAAATTCTAAGGTCGAACTTACTATTGCCACAGCCAAGATGAGAGCTATGAGTTCTAGAGCAGTTCCTGTGAATATTAAATTACAAGTTCAAGACTTACCTTCACATTTCAGTGACAACCTGATCCATCAATTTAAAAGTAATGATACTATTTGGGCCATATTTAAATATTTTGAAGCAAAATCTGGAATAAATCTCACGTCAAGATCACGTGTAGTTAAGACTACAGAAACATCAGGTCGGTTATATTACGAGGCTCCAGTTATAAAGTCATTCAATTGTAATATTTCTGATTTTAAAGACTATAAGAAAACCCTTTCAGAACTTGGATTGACTAGCAAACAGGAAAATTTACGAGTGCGATTTGAGTTGACTGAAATTCCCATTGAAGATGCTCTTTCAATTCAAGATGATCTTCTTAGTGAATTAAATATTAAAGGAGATCAAAAGGAAATAGTTGCAGAATCTTATCCCAACGATTCCAACAATAGCCAGATACAAGAAGAGATGGAGATACCTTTCAATTCAATAGAATTACAGACACAAGATAAAACTTTAAGAAATATCGAAAGACACACACAGGAAAAGACAAAAACTATTGCAAATTCTCTTAATAGATTAGATGAATCAACCTCGAATATTGCCTCCACAAAAGTTTCACGAAAAACATCTGAACATAAGCATTTTTGTGAGAGTAATTTATCTGAGACTGGAACTAGAGATGTTAAGGTATATCTTCCTTCCACTGAACCAAGAAAAATTGAAAATTCCGATGATTCAACATACACTGTATCTCTTAACCATTCCCAAGCATATCAGTCTCAAATTACCAAAGCAGCAAAACTTGGTGACGGGCCTTTACTAACTAAAAAATTACGTCGAAACATGGAGATTGAAAAGATGAAAAAAATATTAGACATTCAGATACGTATACGATTTCCTGATCTCACTCATATACAAGCAACTTTTAAGGCTAATGAGACGGTTGGTCATGTGATTGATTTTATACGATCGGCTATTGCATTTCCTGACCTACCTTTCAAAATTTTTAGTAATCCCCCCAAAGCGTATTACAGTAACAGAGATCTGGTTTTAGTCAAAGATTGTAAATTTGGAACACGAAACTTGATTTACTTTGAATGGGATTTGGCATCTGAATTGCCTAAAGACTCATTTCCATCATCAGGTATTTTAAAACCAGATTACCTTAATACCGGAACATCTATTCTTAATTCCTCCGATATTGCGGTAAATAATACTATATCAGAACATTCTTTGGATTCATCTGCTACTGATAAGTCGATTTATTTGAATGTTTCCAATAATGATTTGCTCACAAAGAGCGAGAAAGAAAAAAAACTTTTTAAGTTTATTAAGACGGGGCGAAAATGATAAAATATAAGCTTAAAATATTACAGCACTACTTAAATTGAAACTTTTAAATTATAAGAATAAATGATATCTTTTCTTGATATACATTTCATTTAAAATAAACCTATGATTGCCTTTGTTTTTAGTTTTTTTTTTTTTTTTTAGATTCCCAGAATACCCCCTTTTCCTGAGGATGTGTACGGGAGTATACACCTAGACTGAAAACCATAGGCTACCCTGGTTACAGGAATGCCGACTCTTCCGTACAGTCTAAATAGCCTGCAGGTGATTGCGGGCCGTATCTCTGATGGAAGAGATTAAGAAATACATGGGCGTCCGTGAAGATAAGTGGAAATGGGTTGGGAAGGTTTTGGGACCGACAGACTGGTTCTCCCTGTTCCTCGTAAGCTGGCATCAGGGCCCATCTTCCGGGCTACCGGAGACGCACAGAACAGAAACCACCAGTACTAAAAAGGTACAAATGAAAACCGGCAAGTCACATAGTCAGACAATAAAAAGGATAGCGCAGATGTAGATGTTATATAGTTCTATAACCCTTGAATAAAAACAAACAAACAATAGTTTTTTTTTATAAATGTAAAATGCCACTTATACCTGTCTTTGAAAAAAAAACTGGTTTGGTTGGTATCATCACTTCTAAGATGCTTTAAATTCAACTCGTTTCACTTAAACGTGTTTAAAGCCCAAAAAAATTCCGTAGATTTTTTGCAAAATATTGGTGGGGGTTTCGTAAATAGGTGTATTTAGCAAAGTATATATATATATTATATAGTAACTAATTGTAAGTGTGCTTAGTCATAAAACTGAGTAGTTTTTTTGCCATTGCCAATATCTTTGACCAAAAGTGTTGATATTTATTATTGAGCTTACATTCTTATAAGAAGAATATAAATGTAACAAATATATATGTAACACAAAAGAGGCTGGGTATCACATGAACAAAACCTGTCAGCTTTAAAGTATTCGTTTACTAAAATCCACAAATAACAAGTACACTTAAATGAACACATATATGTATAACGCGGAGAAATTTCAGCTAACCAAGCTTTTTAAAAATCAAGCTCTCAACAAAAATTATATTGATTGATAGATCTTTTTAATTATTAATTTTGATGTCTTTTCAAAATTCTGAGCATATATTCCCCTCTTCTCCATTGCCATTTACCTCCAATATTAGATATAATTCAGATGAGGCTGACGACAGTGATTATTTGGGCACTTTGAGAGAGTTCGCTTTGAATTCATTGTATCAATTTTCTGATATTATAGACTGTCTTGAAACAGCAAGATTTTTATTTGAAAATGTAAGTTTTTAATATTTATTTTCTTTTTTATTTGTACATATTTTAATTATAAAAAGTACCAAGAAACTCTCAGCTCAAACGGTGACTTAGAAAAGGCATATATTGACTATTATAAGTCGTATTTCAGTATCATTCATACAATAAAAAGCCATTTGTTTTTTGAAAAGAAGAAGACCGATCCTAGTTTTGCTTCGCAGTTTTATGCTTTAGAAAAAGTAAGTTACTGTTTTTGACTAATTAAGCATATCATATTGCATACTAATAAAATCGACTAGCGAATCTTTGAATCTGAAGCAGATGTGAAGTCTCTTGAAAATAAAATTATTGAAAGAAGACATTCAAGACTAGAACAAAAAGCTGTCAGCTCTTTTTTAGATACTTCATCTTCTCCAGAAACTACATTTAACCAACTCACACCTCCTAATTTGCATTTTCATTCTGAAACCTCTCATAATGGAATGAGTTGTCCAGTCCAACCGTTATTACCCCCCCCTGACCCCCCTTCGGGGCTTTCAATAACTTCTTTTTCGTCATCTCCTCATATATTCTCAACAAATAATTCATCAAGTTTGCATTTATTACCCCAACCCAAATCACCAGCGCCTATGCCTCCTATAGACAACTCCACAGGTCTGCTTAGCCAACCCGTCCCTCAGCCATCAACTCCTGCACCAAAACCTCCAGAAACAACCTCTAATGCTATTCAAATTGTTAATGCCAATTCACCATGTCGTTCTTCGTCGCCTGATAAACTTGACCCTCGTAATTTTAAAGTTCAACGAAAGAAAGTTGAAACTAATGAAACAGCTATATTGGACCCAATCAACATTGAAAATAGAAGATCCTTGGATTCAGAAAACGATCTCGCTACTTCTTTAGAAGAAAGATTTTCGAGACTTCGAACAAATTCAAATAATAATTACAATAACAGCTTGGTTAGAAAAAGTCTTCTTGATTCAAATCAAAATTATAATTATAATTATAGTCATAGTCATAGTGAATCACCAGTAACTGTGACTTCATCAAAAGACAAAAATCGTTATTCTCGACCTCTCCCTATCCCTGACATTTTGCACAAATTCCAGGATTCACCTGGGGGATCAAAAAATCAAAATAAACCTACAATATCAATGCCCGAACCCATTATTGCCCAACAAGGATTATTGAAAAACAATGATACTTTTGGCAAAAGTCATAGGAGAAATCATATATTACATATGCCAGAACCAGGTGGGCCCCCTAATCTTTCTTCAGCTGTTTTAATTCCCCAAGTAAACGGAACTCAAACTTCAAATGGTGTTGCAATGAGTTTTTCACCACCAGGAACTAATTCGTTTGATCTAAAACAATCAGATTCACAAAACTTAGTCCAAATTTCGAAAAATAGAGAATTTGATTTTCCTAAAACTTTTATAATTTTACCCGAAGAACTTAATAAGCTTTTGCAATTATACCCAGAACAAATTCTTATTATAGATATCCGTCCGCGTGAATACTTTAACAATGGACATATTCCTTCTTCGAATTTGGTGTGTTTTGAACCTGTCGCCATTCATTCAAGCTTAGTCGTTAATGATGAAACATTAGAGCAAGCCTTAGTTTTGTCACCAGATTATGAGCAACAGTTATTTAAACAACGCCATAAATTTCCATTTGTTGTTTATTATGATGCAAATACAAGAAGTGCTGATTTTTTAAATGGAAGATATTTAAACGAACAAGACAAAAGATTAGCAACATTCATTGACTATTTATACCGAAAACCAATAAACAAACCTTTACAACGCCCCCCAGCTTTGTTGGTTGGTGGTTTAGAAGGATGGATAAAAATGTACGGAAAAAATAAAATTTGGAAAAGTACAACGCTGCCTTTAGACCTTCCACCTTCTGCATCTGCATCTCTTAATAATCTTCGTGGTCCAATGGGACCAGAAACACTTCAGTCAATTCCAAATATTGTACCTCCTCTCAATTTGCAACATTCGGTTTCTTTATGGAAAGCAGAATATTTAGAAAATAATTCAATTGTTGCACCAAAAATTCCTCAGGTGATTCCATCACGACCTTATGGATCACGAAAGGGCAGTACAGCATCTCCGAATCATCGTTTATCATTTGATGGTTCAAATCCTCCTGTTACAACCCCAGCACATGAAATGACTATTGGGACATCATCTTATAACTACGCTCGAAACACTAATGATTTTTTTACAATGCCAACTCCTACTGTTCCACAGTCTTTGCAAAGTTCGTATTCTTCGTCTAGACCTACCACAACAGATGATCTTTATTCTATACCATTAAATGGAAGACAAACCAGATCTGGTCAGCTTCCTAATGGAATACAGAGATCTGACCCTAATTTACCTAAATTACCACCCCCGGTTGCCCATGTCCCACAATCTCAATCTCAGTACCCACATATGGAAATTAATTCAGGTTATGCCATGGGCCATGCTCCTGGTGCTTCTGACGGTCATTCTGGTGCATTGATACTTGGATCGTTACCTCCAATTCAAAACCTGTGCACTAACAGGCCTGGTTCAAGTACTTTGGTCAAAACATCGCAGAATATACAGCCATTAAAACATCCAGAATCATTTAATCAAGTTTTGAGATCATTTTCAACTGGTTTGTCAAACTTGGGAAATACATGCTACATGAACTGTATTATCCAATGCATCGCAGCAACTGAGAAGCTTGCAGGCCCAATAATAACAATGCCCGATTTGGCTAATTTAAACAGCAAGCTTGGATATAAGGGTGTTTTATATTCTACTTTTTCTAGACTTTTGCAAGAGATGATTCGGAAAGATAATTCATATGTTTCGCCGGTACAGTTTAGAAAGTTATGTGGAAGTTTGTCTCATACTTTTAGTGGATACCAACAACAAGACTGTCATGAGTTTCTTAATTTTCTTTTAGATGGGTTACATGAAGAACTTAATCGAGCAGGAGATAAGCAGCCACTCAAGCCATTAACTGAAGATGAGGAACGAATTCAAGAACAGTTGAGCTTTCGTGTTGCATCTGCAAAACAATGGAAAAGATATTTATATTCAAACAATTCTCCAATTTCAACTTTGATCCAAGGCCAATATTTAAGCCGGTTAACATGTACTGTATGCAAAACTACCTCAACAACCTATAACGCCTTCTCATGCCTTAGTTTGCCAATTCCTTCTGTGTCTGACATGGGACGGAGTAGTGTCCGGCTTGTTGATTGTTTCAGACTTTTTACAGTTGAGGAAGTTCTTGATGGTGACAATGCATGGCATTGTCCACAGTGCAAAAAACGCCGAAAGACAACTAAGACGATGAAAATTACACGATTGCCGGAAATTTTAATTGTTCATTTAAAAAGATTTCAGCAACATGGTACTTCCAGTAACAAATTGGAAACATTTGTTTCGTATCCTATTAATTCACTTGATTTGACAGAATTCTGGGTACAGCCAACTACCCAAGCAGATGAAACAGTTCAGCATGGCGGTCAATATCCTCCATTTTTATACAACCTGTATGGAGTGGCTACTCACCAGGGTACACTTAAAGGAGGACATTATACATCGTTTGTGAGACGTGGTCGAAATGGATGGTGCTACTTTGATGATACAAGAGTTTATCGCAATGTGAACCCAAGTCATGTTGTTACACAACATGCGTATGTTTTATTTTTTGAGCGCGTTAGACCAGTTCATTAAACTCTAGAATCAAAATAATTCATTTATTAAAGCGATATAAATATATAAAGTAGAAAAAGTCAAAAATATCAAAAAAGCCTATTTATGTCATTTGCTTTGCTTTAATAGTTGCTAGTTTTATGGTGTCCCCGGAGATACCGCTCGTCGTTTAACATACAAATGATCAAAAGGTGACACAGTAGTTTCATCAAAAAGAGGAGCTTTGCGTTTTGATTTTTTTGGCGGAGTAGGTGCTTGAGATTTTAAAGACATGTGACTAGATGAAGAAAACTTAAACAAAGTTTTATATACTTTAGACAAACCTCTGGCATCATTGTTAAGAGAAGTATGGGTATCAGGATCAGCTTCATAGGAATCTTCAGGATCACTAAGCTCAGGAGAACAAAGAGAAACTAGGTGGGTGCTGGTAGCCATTGAGCTTGGGCTTGGAGTTGCTGGCATATTTTTGTTATTGTCATTGGTATCAAAAGAATTTGACGAAGAGGATGGAAAATGCAAAATGGAAGATTGTTTTTGTTGTTTTATATTCTTGGAAAATGGAAGAACCGACCAAAACTTTTCGGGGTGGTGGGATTGTTGATTGTGCTTATTTCGAAAATGCAAAGAGTTGGGATCTGGACTTTTTTCAATGTCAGAACTTTCAGATTGTATTCTATAATCTAAGTGCTTAGGTTGAGGAGAAGGCAAATCGTAATTCTGAGTCGAAGTCAATGTTGAGCCATTTGTATTTGTTGGAGTAAGACTGGTAGCACATGATACTATGGAGCCTGACCGTGAGACTGTGCGTGATCCAGGAACCTGAGACAAACTATCATCATCTAAGGATAAAAATAAACCTCGGTGGCCGAAACACACGGGCTCGTCAATAGAATCTTCGCGAAGAGCTAAAGCATGAGTTATACGTGCTTCATTTCGCATTTCATAATCAGCCGGATAAAGCTCATTTTGGAGATCGCGAGATACTCGTAAAAAACTTTTAGCCTTTGGTTTAAGTGCATTACGGTTTGCCACCACCCGCTTTATAGATACACGCTGAGTATCGAAATCCAAATCATTTTTCAAATTACCCAAAGTATTTTCAAGTGAATCACTGATAATTACCGTGTTATTGGCACTTTTATCTGAGCCACTGACAGTTCCAGAAATACTTTCGTGGTCAGGGGTCATATGATTATGCACGTGACCAACATGTCTTAATGATGAGATATTAACGTCATGATTCAAATGGGAAGTTTGCTTAATGACTGAGTTAGATGAAGAGTATGGAGAAATTTTATCGGCATTTGGGGGCATAATTGATGAGTTTGACAAACAATTTGTTGAGCGACTGAACTTTGTCCCAAATGATGTGACCAAAGCACCAAAAGAGCCCAGTGAAGAAGATAAAGTAGAATGCGAATCAGAAGGCTGAAATGGTGATGGTGATAAAGACCTAAAGTGCAAAGAAGCCTGACTTAATAAAAAAGGCGAATGTTGTTGTTGAGACTGATTTGGGTTAGAAGCAACAGTTTCCTTGCTGGTTCCAAAAGGAAAGGCCAATAAGCTGGGTCGTCGGCTAGTAACGCTCATTAAATCGTCAGAGTCATAGGCACAAACATCAGAGTCAACTATACTATATTCATCAACGTCAACATCTAGATCGCCATTATCGTAAAGGCGCAATTCAGAATATTGCTTAGACTGCGTTTTAGATGTAAATGGGGTTGGTTCAGATATTAATGAGGTAGAGGCGATAGTAGCCACTGTGGAGGCGGCTGTGTTAATATGTTGATCAGTTGACTGGGCACGTGCAGAAAATCGAGAAGCAGGCGATTTAGGTCTTAGTAATGGTGACGGGGATGGTGAAAGAGAAACGCGCTTTTCATCAGAAAACGACAAACGGTGTCGGGATAATCGTCGGAATTTCAGAGGAGCACGGTTTGAGGTGTTATGGGGATGCGAATTATGATTTGCGGAACTAAGGAGAGATTGGGAGGGGCTGAGAGGTGGCGAGTCCGGAGATTGTGGTAAAGACATTTGATTGAGAGACGAAGCACCATGAGGACGCCGTTTTCGCATGAGAGGATTCCAAGTACCCATAGAGACCTTTAAAGGAACCAATGGCGCTGAAGATTCCAAATCTCGATTCAAACTGAGACCCGAAGTGTGAGCCGCGTTCTCAAAAGGAAGACGCGAGTCCTGGTCTGACTGCGAGTCTGAAAAGCGCGACACATGAAAGGGCATATCAAGGAAACCACAATATAACTTTGAAAATATGACAAAAAAATTATGAAAAATGTAAGGCTAAATTATTAAAACAAACAAATGGTTTTTAAAATACTAGAAAAAAAAAAAAAACAAGGAGAGTTGGGAGAAAGGAAAAATACTGGAGGAAAGAAACAAAAATGTTCTTTGTAACCTCAATATCATGGGTGTCCCGACATATTTTAAATGTTACATAAGCGAACTTTTAGCCGCACGGGACTCAAACAACAAAAAAAAATGACTTTTTAGTTAAATATATGGACAGGTATATGAAGCTGATTGAGAATTTAGGCTATTTAAATTAGACTATCGAGACTTTGAGCTCAAGTATGAAGCCATAGGGTCCAACTCTTCTTTTTCACGTTTGTCTTGTTTGCAATCTGATAAAATAGACTTGGGGGTTTTGTCTGACCTCCTAATCCCTTCTCCTAGCACCCCCTTAATGTCCACTTCTTCACCATCGTAACTATTGGTAACCTCTAATACAGTCCGACACACACTATCAAATTCTTGTTCTTCATCGTTTTTTAAATCAAATTCAGAATGGTCAACGCGAAGACGACGACCCAAGATCTCTGTCCCGTTAAGATTGTCCACAGCTAGAACCGTTGACCGCTGATCCGCATATTTAAGAAATCCAAATCCTTTAGATTTACCAGTATCCTTATCTCGCACTAATTTTACATAAACGGGGCTTCCATACTGAGAAAATATTGTCAATATATCACCCTCTGTTAAACTCAAAGAAAGTCCACCAAAGTCTTTTTTTTGTTCAGTCAGCAGTTGCATAAAATGATTCCTTAAATCTGTAATGTGTACTTACACACAAAAGCAGTATGATGATAGTCCCAATGCCAGGATGCTTGATAATTTAATACTCCTGCATTCAGCTCATCACGACTTAGTTTCTCAATATGTTTTATATTACTAAATTATCGTTAAAATCAACAGTAAGTGGTTTGGATGCCTGTTGCGTTGGTGTGCTACTTACTTCATTTGAATGTTTCTAACTCAAACGAAAACAAAAAAAAAGTTAAATGTGATAATATTTTCCCGCCAGATCACCATTAAATAAATATTTTTTTAGCCAGGGTCCACAACGATTCTTCTAGACCACCACGATTCTCTAGATTAAACGCAAATATTAAAAAATAATACTTAGCTGTCATGTCTGTGATTCGCTTTCGCTCGAAAACATTAACATATCTTCTGCCACTTGTGGTCATCATTAGTCTGTTTATATTTCTCTATTCAAAGTATCATGACTATGAATTCCAAAAATGGCTTCCTACATACCCGTACTCTATCTCGGGAAATCCTTTAATGAAGGAGGTTGGCGAGCCTCAAGGAAAGTTAACTCGTGCTCCTAAAGACGGGAACTTTGATAAATACCCTCGTGCAAATGCAACTTTACTTTCTTTAGTTCGTAACGAAGAACTTGCCCAACTTATTCCTTCCATCCGCCAGGTTGAAGCTACATTTAACAACAAGTTTAACTATCCATGGACGTTTATCAACGACGTACCTTTTACCGATGAATTCATATCTGAAACCCGAAAACTTACAGCAGCCAAGATTAACTACGAAGTTATTCCTAAAGATCACTGGGAAGAGCCAGCATGGTTTGACGAGTCCCTTTTTAATGCATCTGCTCAATATCTCGATGATCATGAGGTCCAGTTTGCTGATATGCTTTCTTACCATCGCATGTGCCGTTGGAATTCTGGCATGTTTTATAAGCACCCTCGCCTTCTTAAATACCGTTGGTATTGGCGAGTTGAGCCCAAGACTAACTATTTTTGTGACGTGGATTACGATGTCTTCCGCTTCATGGAGGACAACAATAAAACGTATGGGTTCGTAATCAACATTTATGACTCCCCTGAATCCATCAAAAACCTCTGGCCAGCCACCCTCGAGTTTATCTCAGCTCATCCAGAGTATGTTCATCCTAACTCTGCCGTGAACTGGCTCATTGATTCGGATAATAGACCACAGCATAACCTCAACGCGAATGGTTATTCAACATGTCATTTCTGGTCAAACTTTGAGATTGGTGACATGGAGTTTTGGCGCTCTCACGTTTACGAGGAGTACTTTGACTATCTTGACCGGAAAGGTGGATTTTATTACGAGCGTTGGGGCGACGCTCCTGTTCACTCTGTTGCGCTCGGTCTTTTTGAAGATAGCAACAAAATTCACTGGTTCAAAGATATTGGATACCAACATATTCCATACTTTAATTGTCCAAATTCTCCAAAATGTCATGGCTGTATGAAAGGATTACATTCTGATGGCACAGGTTTGTCACCAGAAAATTGTATGCATAACTGGTTAAAGTATACTCATCCAGAAGAATTATAATAGTTATGGATTTAAGCTTGGTGGTTCAAAGGAAATAAAGAAGAAAAATAATCTCTCATATTTATATAGATATATATATAATCGGAAAAAAAAATACACATTGCGATGAAACCCTCAGTCAATTCTCATTATTCCATCGTTCGTTAAATCCCTCTAACCACCTATTCAGAAGCATTTCTTCGACCTGATCCCTTGGCCTTTGAGTGTTGATCTTGTTTTTATCTTCAGATTCCATCGCACCTTTAGGTAGCGTCAAACCCAATTTTTCTAAATCCAATAGCGTCGCTTTTATGTAGTTTGCTTGGGTTGTGTGTTTTCCTACAGGTCTGCCATTGTGCAACACAGTTGCTGAATGCGGACTCTGTTGAAGATTGTTTTTGTTCTTTTCCGGAAACAACAATGTACGAAACATATCATCTCTTTGTACATTTTCGACCATTTTTTTTAATAGATAGAGCTCAATTTGTGCTGTTACAGTCTTTTCTTCCAACAAAAATGCATTTAGCACTCGTCGTAACGAATGACTCAGCTCAGAATCATCCGGAACTCGTTTTAACACATCTTCAATTCCCTGTTGTACCACCCGCCCTCGTTCAGCACGAAACTCGGACCGACTACGCTTGTGGCCCATTCCTAAATGGGGAGCTTGTTTTCGTGAGAGCATGTCGTATGTCGATTCTATTGGAAAACTGGAACTACTGCCTTCGCCAGCTGTGCGAAACGTGTCGTTTGTTGCAGATGACGAATGGGTATGATGGTTATATCCATCACTGCTATTTCTAGCAGTGTATGCAAGGGGTGAATTCTTTGTATGTTGTTGTTGTTTGGCTTGTTTCAGTGTAGAGTTTTGACTTGACGGGGAACTTGTAGGGGAGTTCATGAAATATGCCAAGTTATCGCCGGTTATTTTATTTGAGATTGGTGTTGATGGTGCCGATGAAGAGGGTGTTGCATATTGTGAAATAGTATTGCCTCCAGACCTCTTGACCGTTTCAAAGTCCCATTCGAGATCGTCATCATTGTTGTAAATGCCATTATAGTTTGAACTACTATTTTCTGCTTCTCCTCCTCCGTCTCCTTCGTCATAATTGATACCTTCTACCGTAGGGGTATATTTTGGTCGTGCTTTAAGACGTAACCTCAGTTTCTGCTTACGATCCATAATCATAGGTATCAGGCTAGAGTTTTTTCCTGCGCTGCGAATAAAACGATGCTTGAGAAGCTTTTTCACAGTTGCGCGGTCCTTAGGTTCCTTCTGCAAGCACTCAGCTACAAAGTCTTTAAATGATTTAGAGAACTCGGAGCCGTGTAAACGAGGCGCATCAGCTTTGGGAATGACAAAAAGAACCTTCATAGGATGATGGTCAGCAAAAGGAGGTTCACCTTTAGCAAATTCAATAGCTGTAATTCCTAAAGACCACACGTCGGCACGTTGATCATAGTCTTCTTGAAGAATTACTTCAGGGGCCATCCAAAATGGAGTCCCCACAAATGTATTTCTTTTTGAAAGGTTGTTGCGAAGCTGAGTAGCCACACCAAAGTCTCCAATCTTTACATCGCCAGTGTCAGAAAGTAAGACATTTGCAGCTTTAACATCGCGGTGAATCTTCCCATTTTCATGTAAATATTCGAGACCAAGCAATAGCTCGCGGCATATAATGGCAATTTCAGCCTCGGTAAATGGACCTGGCTTGAGAAGATCTAGGGCCGAGCCACCACCTAAGTACTCCATGATAATCCATAATTTGTGACCTTTAACAAAACAACCATAGTATCTTGTAATATGTGGGTCGTTGCATCCTGCTAAGATGGCAATCTCTTTTTGTATCTCCTCGATATCATCCTCGCTGGTTTCCATATCAATCTATACGAACAATTGTTAGAGAGAACTTAATAATAAAAGGTTAATCCATAGCCTACCTGCTTCACAGCTACAATTTGCTTTGCCACACTAAAAGAAAAATCCAAAAATCCTCAGGGTTAGAACATGTATAAGACCCTTATAAGAACATACTTATCGATTCCACGATAAACTACACCAAAGGATCCGCGACCTAGTTCTTCGATTATCGAGAACTGGGAAGCTGAGTAAACTCGTCGTTCAGGATGAAGCATATAATCTAAAAAAAAAAAAAAAAAAAAAAAGGAGTTTACTGTTTCTTTACTATTTTTTTTTTAATTGTGGTATTGATAGTGATAGTTATGAGAGGATAAACGAAGGAAAAAAATGGAGCTGAGAGATGAAAGAGGGAGAAGGAGGGAGAAGGGGGGGCAAAGGGGGACTAAATATATTGGGCAACCAGCCATATTGTCACGAAGCTTATTTGAAGTATTAAATTTTTCTGCCAGAATAATACAGGAAGCAAAAATAGACTATTGAAAATATGGTTCAATCACTTACAATTTGTAAGTACTCCCGGAACTAAAAGGGGGCATTTTGAAATATAATTTTACTAAATAAACTTATCTTAACTGGTTCTGCAGTGCAGCTTCGACAAATTCTCTTGTTTTTGAATCAAGAGAAACATCTAAAGGATTCTTACCTTCAGAATCCTCCCGCTCCAAATCGGCACCATGATTAATAAGATATACAGCCACATCACCATGACCCTCGGCAAGAGCATGGTATAAGGGGGTCCAGCCTGTGAAGTCGCTAGTATTTATTGGTGATTTCCCTTCTTCAACAAGTGCTTTTGTAATTGGCAGGGAGCCAATGGCTGCAGCTCTGTGAAGTGGAACTTGCCCACGCTTATCCTTGATGCGCACCGATGCATTAAATGGGCTAGTAATTAATTTCCGAACAACATCAATGTTGCCTTTGGAAACAGCAAAATGCAAAGCTGTTTGTCCAGCAGCTGTTTGAATGTCGACATCGGGTTCAAATGGCTCCAAAAGGTCAATGATAGCAACGCTTCCTGTAGAGCTAGCTATGTGCAAAAGAGTCCAGCCACCAGAATCAGTATCATCAATATCAAACTTTTTTAATAGCTCTGGAGTTTCTTTGATTTTTTTGAGTAGAATACTCAATCCTTCAGCATTACTAGACGACGACGCCCAAAAAAGAGGGGTACGACCATCACCGTCTTTGGAAAGAATAGAAGAAGGTTCTGTTTGAGAAAGTTCCTTGACTAATAAGTTCTTTCCATCTCTTGCGAAATCATGTAATGGGAAAGATTGAGGATTAAATGGATCTGTCATTTTCGTATCTTTTAGTGGCGTTTCAACAGAAGGAATATTGTTGGAGTACACATTAATAATTTATCTGGGGTAAAAGTAATATATAACTTTAATTAATAATTACAAATTCTTACTCATGCCTCCCCTTTTTTTAAAAAAATCTACCTTCTCTTTTACATCTTGTCGCGGAGTCCGTATTTTTTTGATTAGTTAGTTCCCCGGTTCCACCAGCTCAGCTCAGCTCAGCTCAGCTCAGCTCAGTTCATACCATCTTGCCTTTGATTCTAAGATAGACTTGTTCTCCTCTTTAGTAGTCTCTCTATTACGTTGTGATAATTAGGGTGGTAATATTTATTAGTTTTTGATGACACTGTTGAAAATACGTGGGAGGGAAATGGGAAATGCCCCTAACAAAATGGTCGATTTCTTATAAATCTGCCAGAAAATTTGATTTTTATCTCCTCCTCGTCCTAATTCGATCATAAAAAATTACCATCTTGGGAATTCTTTGATAATCATCCACACAAACATTACTAAGATTAATTTAATTCTTACTAAAATCCAACACAATCCTGACTAATTTGTCACGTGAAACTTTTCCATTTTCCCACCCATTTATTTTCAAGTGTGTGATGTTGCCACTAAGTACAAATAACCCTAACCACTAAGGTCACGGGTCCCAGAGGTACTCCGCGACACTGAATGGCTTCTCAATACTTAAAATTAGTTGAAAGTAATTAACTTTATTCTCTTATTTGACTGTCCTGGCCAATTTACCTGTTCACCACTCCTGCTTTTTCTGTTTCTTATTTTTTTTAATATTGTATTTTTATTATGTTTGTTTACACATTATCCGGTTTCAAAAATGCACCTGTAACCAAAGTTTTTATCTACATTTTGGTTTTAATTCCAATCTTTGTATCGCTGCTGGATATCCGATATCTATTTGATCTTCAAGTAGTTCCTCATTTACTAGTATGGCGTAAGTTATCTTTAAACTTTTCATGAAAATGTACTATTTTGTGCCCTGAAGAACATAAAATGGCGTGGATTTTTTAAAGGCGCATGGATGCACACATGTTTAATGTGTTTAGGTGGAGGAAGCCAGACTTTTGATTAGGATGTTTCTGGCCCCTTTAACTCAACAGAGACTTCACACGAGCCACTATGGTACTCATGTCCATTCAGAGACAGTTTGGGTTTTACTGTACCGCAACTGATGCATTCCTTACTGGTGTACCTTTCATTCATCCCAGAGAGTCTTGTCTCTTGTCAAGTGGCACTTGAATAAAAGGCTCTGGAAAAACGAGTACTAACTCGCCATCGAAAGTTTGTTTATCCCCCTGTTACTATTAATACCAACTAATTTTTTTTTCTTCCGACTGACGAGACACACGACAGTACTATGTTTTTGTAATTAGTTGTAAGACGTTTAAATTTTTCTGACTTAGATTTTCTTTAGATCAATGGTGGAGACTGCCTCTTAACCAATTACTGTATACGTCACAGTCGGATATCATCACAGCTACAATATATTTTTACAATCTAAGAGTAATTGAAAGATTATTCGGCTCGCAAAAGTATCTATCTTACCTCGTGTTAATCTACGGCCTTTCTCTGTTTTTTGTTCCATTATCGAACCTCATTTTATCGTATATTCCTGTTCTTTCTTCACTTTTTCAGCAACTTGCTTCCACTTATATTCCTCCAGGCCCTACATCTCTAGTGTTTGCAACTCTTGTTCTTTACAAAGAAATTATACCCCCGGTTTTTAAATTTCAAATCACTCCTATATCATCCCCTTTTACATTAATATTGTCCGACAAGGTTTTTGTTTACTTCATTGCTGCTGATTTGCTCTTACTAGGGCTTCCTGGATCCCTAAATCCAGCATTGGTGGGTTGGGTTTTAGGCAATCTTATCCATCTAGAACTTATTCCAGGGAAAAATTGGAGAATACCGTTCATTAAAATGTACCATTTTGTGCCCTGAAGAACATAAAATGGCATTGATTTTTCAAAAGAGCATATACGAAATCCTGTGTTTAACGTTCTTAAGTGGAGGAAGCCAGATACTTAATACCTTCTTATTTTTTTGCAAGAACACCCACGAGCTCCAATTTTTTAGCTATCATCAAATCGGTCAATGAGCGCAAGCAATCAATTAGAATAGAAATTTAAAATTAAAATTAAAATTTTATTAGACTAGCTACTAAAAACTATTTACTAGGCTTTCAAAAACTTGCTAATGAGTTTAGTAGCATAAAAGGCAAGCTCGTCTTCAGATCTGGGTGCTGCAATCTGCAGAGCCACGGGGGCATCCTTATAAATTTCTGGCTTGTATCTTTCATAAATACTCTTGTCAGTCTCGTTTAAAGGAGTATATCCTTCAATAGGCTTATCCTTTTCGGGATCAACAGTAGTAACTCCAAAAGTGCAAGCTGGCATGTCCGTAACATTAAAAATGGAGGTATAGCCCCACCAAGTACTGTTAAGGCTTTCTGCAGTACTCCATGGCTGAGCACTACCAAAGTAGGCTGGAGCCAAAATAACATCAACACCTGACTTAAGGAAGTGTTGGTTATAGTCGTATCTGTACTTATACTTGGACTTGTTGCGTTCCCAAAGCTCAGGAATAGTTAAATGCTTCACATTGGGGTTGGCTTTTTTTATGATCCACTCAGTAAGAGGAAGGACAGGCTCACCTACCTTAGCAAAAGTCTCAAGCTCAACCTCAGCACCATCTTCAAAGTAAAGCGAAGTAATGACTTCCCAACCTAATTCCTGCTTGAATGGAGCATAATCAACGACTTCGATTTCAATTCCATCAATTGAACTGACTGCCTTGAGCTTCTCAACAGCCTCTTTCAATGCGCGTTGCACTGGAGGTTGAGGAGTAACAACGCCATCAGTGTAATTGACACCAATAGTAAGTTTTTTCTTGTCTTTGAGAATATCGGAATTCCAAGGAGCTGCAGCAAGCTCGCGGCTGATCTTCCATGGTTCAGCATCACAAACGACCTTGGTGAGAAGTTCGCAAATTTCAATGGTGCGGCCCATTGGACCTACAGCACCAGCAATTGCTTCAGACCCTCCATTAATAAAAAATGTATCACCGACAGGAAGACGATTGGCAGTCAACTTTATTCCGAAAACGCCATTCATGGCTGCGGGGTTTCTAATTGATCCACCAATATCAGTGCCTAAGCCAATGCATGAAGATCCAAAGCCAAGAGCCGCACCCTCGCCTCCAGAGGAACCTCCAGAAGTCAAATTGCGATTATAAGGATTGACTGTTCTTCCAAAAACAACACTTTCACATTCCAAATGCATAAGTGATTGTGGCTGAGTAGTTCTTTGATAAAATACGGCACCAGCATCTCTTAAGTTGGTAACAATCAACGAGTCATAGTCCGTAATAAAGGTAGTAAGGGCACATGTCGAAAATCCTTGGGGATAGCCCTTTAAGCAAATCATATCTTTGAGAGATACAGGAAGTCCGTGCATAGGACCCAAAGTCTTTCCAGTCTCTTCCAAGTATTTGTCACACTTGGTAGCCAGTGCCAAAGCCATGTCTGGGAGAAATTCAGTGACACAGTTGACAGTTCTTTGTGCTAGCACAGCACAACGCAAGTAGGCAGCAGCAACCTGCACTGCTGTATACTTCTTTGAGGCAATATCAGCTAGGAGCTTGATAGGATCGGCACTAGTGATCTCGTAATCGAAAGGGTTGAGATACTCCTTGGCAATACCAGTAACATTCAAAGGGAGAGGGTCGGGAAGAGGGGCGAGGTGCTTGGATTCAAATCCTTCAGGAAGCGGAAAATATTTTTCAATATCAGCCATTGATGCATCTCTTCGAGCGCATGCATTGGCAGCAAGTGTCTTGTATTCTTCAGTAGAAGTCATTGTTTGGATAAATTGAACTAAAAGGTTGCTAAATTATTACTTGTTAATAGAAAAAAATGTTGAAATATATATAAGATAATTATGAGAATTAGATTGAAAAAAAAATTGTTATGAAGCAGTTTATTGACCATTTATACTTTTTTTTTTCATTGTGCATTAACTAGGAATTAAAAGGAGGTTTTTTTAATGCGGACTTAATCATAAACAATATTGTCGATAATAAATGATAAGCCACGCACTGATAAGAAACCGGTAGGTGGAAACCGATACCCAATGCCATAGACATAAGGCTGTAGATTCCTGAAATAGAACGGCTCCTATTAAAATGTCAGAAATCTTTTTTTTTTAACATTTACCTTAAAGTTGTACTTTGCTACAAAAACCAAGCTGGAAGTCCCATCCGTTGATTTAAGGTAAAAAAATCCTTTTTGGGATTTATTAACATGTGTAAGCGAAATCTTTTTTTTTCAATGGTGCCTAACAAGATAAAAAAAAACTTGAGAAAGACACCTTTAGCAAGCCAAACAGATGAAAAAAGACAATATATCATAGTATATAGTATTAAAAAAATAAGGTTGCATCATTCACGTACAGTTAACAGATTATCTTTGAATTGATATTAAGAAGATAATCACATTCTCATCACACGTGCTTTGTCCAGAACTAAAGTACGATAGCTGACATTTTAGAAGAGTTTTCAAAAGGTCAAGTCCTTTTAATTTCTTGATTATTTTATAAGTTATAAGCAAATTGTAGTATTATAATTATTAATTGGGGAATAAAAATCAATGGTAGATTTTTTCAAAACTTTGTCAATTTTTATTACGTTTTTCTTTGAAACACTGATTAATGTGAATCATGATTGAGGAATTGACTTTGTGTCAAAGCAACATCCAAAAAAAAAAAAATTCTAAAAGTTTTGAGAGTTTTGAGAGTTTTAGCACTTTTTGCTTTGAAAATTGGTAATGATTTCCGGTAAATTATTTACCATTAGTTTAAGATTTGTGATAAGCGGTTTATTAGCTTTTTTCAGAATAATAGTTTAGAGACGGTGGAGGGAACAGCGTGGACCTAAGTTTGAGTAAAAAAAAATCAAATAATTGGCAATAATATTATTGTCTATACAACAATATATACAATAACAAAGCCATGATAGCATACTTAAAATCTAATAAACTACGTAGTTTTAGAATTAAATACATCATGGTTTTATTACTTGTGACTTAAACATTGAACTATATTACTTATGGCTTACGTATAATAAATAATATTTTAATGCTTAATGCTTAATGCTTAATGCTTAATGCTTAATGCTTAATGCTTAATAAATAATGCATAAAATAAAATAAAATAAAATAAAATAAAATAAAATAAAATAAAATAAAATAAAATAAAATAAAATAAAATAAAATAAAATAAAATAAAATAAAATAAAATAAAATAAAATAAAATAAAATAAAATAAAATAAAATAAAATAAAATAAAATAAAATAAAATAAAATAAAATAAAATAAAATAAAATAAAATAAAATAAAATAAAATAAAATAAAATAAAATAAAAAAAAATAAAATAAAATAAAATAAAATAAAATAAAATAAAATAAAATAAAATAAAATAAAATAAAATAAAATAAAATAAAATAAAATAAAATAAAATAAAATAAAATAAAATAAAATAAAATAAAATAAAATAAAATAAAATAAAATAAAATAAAATAAAATAAAATAAAATAAAATAAAATAAAATAAAATAAAATAAAATAAAATAAAATAAAATAAAATAAAATAAAATAAATATAAAATAAATATAAATATAAATAAGAACTATTTAATCCCATGGTAACCATATCTGCAAATTCTTATCAATAATTACATTAATTCTTAACTTAGATTATTTTACATAATTATGTGAAATAATAATACTTGGATAACTAAGTATTTTAAGAAAGAATACTTGATCGAATATCAATCTTGTGATATTAAATGATTTTAATCAGTACAATTTGACATGTTAAAACAAAATATCAATTTAAGGTAGATTCGGATATCTTGTGCATTTGAATAAAGCTGTTGAATCACAACAACTTGGCATAATTGATAATTAGCTTCTTAACATGAGACAATCTATTCAATAAAAAATGAATTGTCCTAGTTTAAACACGTGCTGAGTCTTTGAAATTTTTATGTTTCTAGACTAATTCTATCAGAAAAAAAAAATTGCAAGCATGTGGGGACTATTGCTTTTTACTTGTGAAAGTTCATGATTAAATTAACTTAAAATGATATGTGGTATGTAAGGAATAGTTAATGTACATGAGCCTTAGTTTCCTCACATAAGCCCTAGCATTATCAGAATTATTGAGTCCCAACAGGTCCTGGTGGCGCACAGATAGCTCTAAAAGCAAGGCCAAAGTAAGTAGGGTAAATCGGATTACGGCATCACCAGTTTAACAACATTGTTGTCAACAACACCCTCTTCTTTCTCCAATTTCCCTTTAAGTTGTTTAACTTATTCTTATATCACACTTACTTACATTTATACTAAGGTTAATATTATTATATTTAGAACAGTTATAATAACTAGTTCCTTTCTTTTTTTTCGGCTTTCATATAATGGCTACTGTAAGTTCATATTGGATCCTTATTGACTTTACTGGAACAATAAGCAAATACTTCTAGCCAACAGCAATCATCATCATGCAGTTTTACTAACGATAATACCAAATAGTCTGCTTCTTCATTTTCCTGGGCTTCATTTTTGAAGTCTATTGCCTCTTTTAATGGAGACTTGGCTTCTCTTACAGCTCCCCCTTTCATTCTTTCTCCTGTTTCTCTTACTGAGTACACTAAATTTTGGGCAGAAAACTATCCTGATTTCATTGCAATTTCCAAAGAAGAGGATCCTGAAAAGCGATTTATTAAAGTCGTTAAATGGTTTATTGGAACTTTAAAAGAGCAATATTGCAGTAGAAATGAAAAGCTCGGATCGGAAAAGAAGCCTCTTAATCCCTTCCTTGGTGAGGTTTTTACCGGCCAATGGAAAGACGCTGATTTGGGCGACACTAACCTTGTATCTGAACAAGTCAGTCACCATCCTCCTGTTACTGCATATTCGATCTGGAATGACAAGAATAAACTATCTTTAGAAGGTTATGTTGGAATTAAAGCTTCTATTTCGACCCAAGCCATTTCTGTCCGTCAGTACGGCCACTCAGTTCTTACCCTTGCCGGTTTTGGAGATGAGAAATATTTAATTACTCTTCCAGCTCTTCACATTGAGGGAATTTTGTTTGGTAAGCCTTATGTTGAGCTTGAAGGTAAAAGTTTCATTCAGTCAACCACTGGCTATAAGGCCACTATTGAATACAGTGGTAAGGGTTACTTTTCTGGCAAGAAGAACACATTCAAAGTAAACATTGTCCAAAACGATAAACCCAGTGCTACTCTCTATAATATCAAGGGTCAATGGAGTGGTGTTTCCAAGATTTCTGGACCCAATTTTCCTGAGCAAGTTTTTTTGGATGCTACTAAACAGCAAGTTCTTGAACTCCAAGTTAAGGACATTTCTCAGCAAAATGAGTTTGAAACTCGTAAAGCCTGGCTCAAGGTTGCTGAAGCAATTAAACTTGGTGACTATGAGTTGATTCATAAGGAGAAGTCTGAGATTGAGATAAATCAGCGCATTTACCGCAAAAGAGAAGAGCGTGATGGTAAGACTTGGCCCCGAAGATGGTTTGACACCGTCTTAGTTAAGGATGAAGCTTGGTATGAGAAGCTTTCTGCTGACGCCGGTGTTGTCGCTGGTACTGCGCATTCCAGCAGCAGCACAGAAACCAAAAAGGCTGATCGTGAAGTTGATACCAATTGGAGATTTTCTAAACAAAAGTATCTGGAAAGCCCTATTCGACCTGATGTTAACGAGACCTTCCCTGATGTTATCAGCCAGTACTTGCATGAGCTCCAAGAGGAGGAGCCTGTAGCTAATGAAGACGATCTTAAAAAGGAAGAGGCGGTCCCTGAGGGAACCGTCTAAGGGATTTTCTTTTCTTTTTCTTTTGATTCATTACAAATTTTGTAATAATAATACAAACATTCGGGCACTACAGTTTTTGAATAATGATGTACGTTTATGTCAAATCTATTTAATTTAATTTAATTTAATTTACTTTTCCTCTTAACAAATTCATAATAACTTTATTCTAATTAGAATATGGTTTAAAACTCTGTTTTTCAGGGAAAATACTGTTAGTTGTAAGATTTTAAACTCTTAACCTAGACTTTTTTTACTTACACTTGCAATTATCGTGGACCTAGGTTTTTTAATACTTGATTAAACTTATTTCTGTCTATATTGTTAATTCCGGTTCAAAACTATGTCATCATCGCAAGGCGAGGCACAAGATGGGTCTCCCACCTTAAATAAAAACCCACCTCACTCATACCAAGAGCCTCTAGCAACTTTTTATCTTTCCACTTCATCATCCCCTGCTGGTTCTGTTTCTTCCTTAAGCTCGGGCGCTGGCCATAGTGCCAATAATACATTTCATAAAAACCAGAATAATCATCAGACACATGTCAATGACGGATGCATCAATAAATCAACTATATTTTTTAGCGATCCTTTTCAAAAATCTGCACATAATACTAAAACTAAAATATTGGTTTCTGAACCTCCTCCACCTAAGCGTCAAACCCGTTCTTTCACCAACGCACATTCTATTTCTAGCAAAACAGGTCTTACTGAAGGACTACCGAAAACTGAATTAAGACGGAAGACTTTGTTTTCGACTTTGGCACATACTCCAGCCATGTCTTCATACACCTATACAGCAACTAGCAAACCTATAATCCGATCATGGGCCTCCAGCTCTCATAATGGGAGTGATACCAACGCCAACCCCAACAGTACTAGTGCTTCTACTTCTACCGCTTCGACAACTCAAAATGGGATCCCTTATAACACAGTTAATACCCTTAGTGGCTCCTATATGAATAGCTACAATAATATCAATGCCAATGATGATGGGTTCATAGAACCTAGAATGCATGGCTCGACTGTATATACAGATTCTGTCGACTCATCATCTTCCTCTTCTCAACTTCATGCAATTACATATAACAATCAACATGTTCCAGTTCAAAGGTCCGCCACTTCTAAAACCACTTCCCACCCAACACAAAGTCCTTCATTAGAAATGAAAAGTTATTTAATCTGCGACAGTATAATTACTGATCTTCTAAAATCAGAGCCAAACTGTACGGTAGTGCAAGAAGATGTTGAAATTCAAGGCTATGAAATTTATATTGTGGAACAATGGGCTTGTGAACGCAAACTTAACCGTGTGATAGTCAGTTATACAGGAAACCCCACGCATAAAGCTTTAGTCAATATCGTTGCCCTTCCGCATGAAAAGGCACATACACGGTCTGCCTCTAATACATCACCTCAACTCAACCGGCGAAAATCCATATTTTCTCATTTCCCAGAAACGGCTTGCAGTTATTTTGAAGAGCTTTTCAATAACCATGCGCATCCAAAATCAAATGATAAGGGTATTATTTATGTATCAAACCTTTCATCTTTCCCTTCCAACTTGAATCTTATCAGGGTTCCTAACGGAAATCTTAAGATGGTATGGAATCTATTTGGAATCAATGAAAATCTCAAAAGAACAGGTTGCAGTGGTCGTTCAGTTCTTTCGCTGGCGATACCTACGGCAACTAGTGAAGACAAATTTCGTCAAATTTTTAAAATTCACGAAAAAGTACACATATCATACGCTGTTCGCGAATTAATAATATTACTTCAATTAGGCCTTTTTTATTTTGATTTATTAAAGCCACAGTACATTGACGGTCTTTTGTGCAATGAAACTCTGAAAGCCGCTAATACATGGTGGGATCGATATGGCCTTATCCGTTTTCAAATTAGGTACTCAGATCGTCAATTCTTACAACCCCAAACTGTTGCTGGAATCATAGGTGTTGTAACAGGTGTTAGAAACCGAATTGCATCTATTCTAGGCAATTCTAAAACCTGTAAGGATCCGTTTGATATCGAATATTTTTTGGAAACTGTGAGGCAGTTTCAAAAGCACCAACATTTGTCACGTACAATGAAGCTTGATCCCAGTACAATAGAAACACTTTATAGTTTGACATCCGCTTCAGGGGGCTCTGGAAATGAATCTAATGTTCCTGTTAACAGCAGTGGTGACAAATTTTTTGGAATGGTTAAAAGCACAGTTAAAGAAGTTTCTGGGAAAACCAACCAAGGTATTACGGATGTTGAAACACTAGATATCAATCGTATGAAGGACTTCCTTCAAGGAGCTCGGACAAGATACCTATGGCTAAATCGCGGCAGCCCTCGCAAGCTTCTACCTAGACATACGCCTACAACACTAGCTTTGGGAATTCCTTTAGATGCGTTTTCTCCAACAGAACTATTGGCAACTAATGAATCTAAATGGGCTATTCCACGCCGTGGTCTTCCCAGTTCAAAAAAAATCACAGATGTTCCATCACATTTATTACCAGTTGAAGACCAGAAATTGGTATCCCCTCCAGGATATTTAAACCCACCCCGCGTGAACTCTCCTACCACGTATATGCCAAATTCGGAAAATGAAAAACCTTCTGAAGGATATTCCACCTATCATGGTAGTAATTCCATTAAAAATAATGATCATATTGATCCATTGAGTGAACGCAAATCTGCCGGTGAAGAGTTTTCCGATGGAAGAAAGCATAACTCTTCTCATGAAGGTCGACCTCGAAGTTACCTTCGAGATTATGCCGGTTCATATAATGAATCCGCAATTGAAAGTTCAGTTGAAAGCGTAAGCGACACGGATGCTAATGACCGAAGTGATATTTATAATGATAGTGATTTTGATGAGGCAAATGCTAGTAATAACAATACATCATACAGCAACTTTAACAACTCTGAAAATGGAAACCACGTTTTACAGGTATTTGGCGATTTAGATAAATCTAAGGAGCGTGGACATTCGTTTGATACCGATGGAAATACCGGAATTCTTTTTTTTAAAGCGAATAATAGATTTGAAGAAAGTGAAGGAAATAACTCATCCTTAGAAACAGAAATCAGACCTGATAACGATGGTTCCATTGATTTTCATCGTGATCATAAAATTGATGGTATTGAAAGTCTTATAGGTCGTTTCCATTCTTCCTCAAAAAAGATGGAAGAAGCACTTTTGAGCGACTACCACTATTTCCACCAGGGGAAACATAAACGAAACAAATCTCGTACAAAATCAGACTCTCATCATAAAGATTTATTCAAAAAATATATGAGGGGATCTAAGCATCGGGGACACAGCGATGGAGATGATCCATCTTTAAAGGTAAACTTTGATGACCATTTGCCTCCTGGCGAGTCTGTGCAGGGGTCATATTCTGATAGTTTCCTGTCTCCTGATTCTATTGAGCCCGATGGGGAGTCTGATTCCGCAGATTTTGATTCATTTCTAGACCCTAGTAAGCCTGCAGATGATGAAAATGAATCGGATATATCTAAGGTAGATGGAATAGATATGGAAGGTGAAGGTGAATATGATGCCGATGAGGAGGACCCAGATTATTTTTTTGGGGAGGAAGAAGATGGACGCCCAGCAATTGATATGGATCTTTCATCTGAGCTTTTACGTGTCAAATCTGAGCCTGCTTTGTTTTCAATGGTTTGGGGTCAACCAAAAAGTGCCGATGAAAACCAAAAAAATTTTAAAACCAAGCAATCTAAAGACTCTTCTTATTCTATTGGTACATCGTCGTCGTCATCTTCTTTAAATGAATCTCCTTCATCTATTTTGAACACTTCATCAACATCTGATTCACAACGTCCAATTTGGCAAACAGTCACTTATCGCACTATTCGATCGCCCTCTCATAAAATTGCAGTTTTGAAACGCAGTCAGTCGTTTTCTCTTATTGAAGATCATTTGGAGTATGGGGGTGTTCCTCACACAGGACCTCTTGAGTTTTCTCGAGTTCCTATCAAAGTTTACCGGAGTTATCAGGTATCACAAGCATTAAGCTTCAAGGTCCAGCAAAATCTCAATTATTTTGATCATGAGCGTATTGCTTACAATATTTTGGACAATAAAGTTCGTAATGTGCTCGAAAACTCACTGCAAACTAAAACCAAGAATATGAGCACAGAGATTCAAAGCATTGTTCAAAAGGAAGCTGCTATTAAAAAGGGATTGACAGAATTGGAGACTCTTACAGCACGACTACAATATGAGGCTAGAACTTTGGATCTCAAACTGCGTGATATTGAAGAGACTGCTCTTTCTTTCACAAATAAGGTGGATAGTTTGGAAGATCGGATGCGCAAGCTCAATTATGAAAACTATGTTCATGAAAACAATGATTTGACTCGAATAAAAGGTCGCAAAGAAAAACAATCTAAAAGCCGTAAGCTTAAAAAGCGTACGAGTAGCTCCAACATAAAGTCCAATGCTTCCAGTAGTAGCAAAAGCAAATCACGCAAAAAGGATGCTGCCACTCCAGCGGAAGAGACAACATTATTTTCAAACATTAAGTCTTTTTTTTGGGGGACTTTAGCAGCTACTATTCCTGGCTTAGCAGCTAATGACAATCAAGAAATTACACCAAAAAAAAACCGGAGCATTACCCGAACTAAGTCTTCTAGTAGGTCTAAAAAGAAAAGTCGGCAAGATAGCCAAATTTCTTCCGACAGGCAAGTGTCTGTAACTAGTGTCAATGGAAGCTCTACATCTCGCGAAAACAAAGTTCGACGGCGGCTCAAGCTTACAACACCAATTACTCCAATCAATGAGGATGCAGTAGTGACCTCAGAAGACTTAGTGAGAAAATGGGAAACACCATTTGTTACATCGTCTGAAGATGATGATGAAGAAGATGATGAAGAATCATTGGTATATGACGACACAGACGGCACGACGACTGACCAGTTTAGTCCAAGTGCCAGCACTACTGTGAGTTCGACCGCAAGTCCTGTTATGGAACCCATGCAGCATCGGTTTTCCTCGTCATCAACATCCATGTCTCCTTCACAGCTGCAGCCGTCGCAACAACTGGGCACCCGATACCAACATCACCACACGCACAGTGGAAGCTATTCACGCAGCCCGAGTCATGTGCGGAGCCTGAGTCACGGCCAGATTCCAGGAGTGACGTTCCACGTTCCCCATCAAGTTGGGGTTGGAATGCATACACGATCGCTATCTGGATCACCGCCGGCGCCGTCGCACCGACTGCAGCAACCACAACAACAGCAACATCTCCGTGCCTTGTCACCCAAACCTGGAGTGGTAATAAGCTCACGGTCTCGTGTGGGAACGCCTTCAGAGCCCTCATCATTGCTTGCAGAAAGCTCACATTCGTTGAATACGTCTTGATTTGTAATTTTTATTGACCGTAATTATGATTCTCTTTGGATTAATAATGAAAGAATTTATAAAAAATAAAAAATGTATGATAAACAAAAAAAAAAAATAAGGTCTACAAGTCAATATCATTATCGCTGGTTACATCACTGGGAGGTTTGTGGTTGGCAACCAAGATAGCATTTTCCTCATCATTTTCAACGCCAGTATCGCCGTGGTCCAAGTCGTGACCATCGTCGTCCTCCTCAACACCGTTGCCAGCAGCTGCTACTGCTGCTACTGCTGCTACTGCTGCTACTGCTGCTGCTGCTGCTGCTGCTGCTGCCTCAACGTCCACTTCGGTCGAAACCTCGCCATCTTGTTGCTGTACAAGCACGTCATGTTCGTCATCATTTTCCGCGTGGTTCTGGTCAGCCTCGTGGCCACCAACAGTGTCAACATCAACAACGTCGTCGACATCGCTATCACCACAATTGGCTTCATTGTCACTTGCTTCTGTGTGATCTGAAGATGATGGCCCGTGCACCACCACGTCCTTTGCAGTCAGCTGTGATACCAAATCATCGTCCGTCATGATGCTCTCGGGTATCTGCACTTGCTCCACAACCTGTTCCGCAACGCGCGCAATCTCTTCCATGTCGCGGGCTGCTGCCGCCGCCGCTGCTGCTGCTGCTGCTGCTGCTGCTGCAACCTCCTCAGAGGTCGTCGATGTAGTAACCTCGGTAGTATTTGCGCTTACGCCTACACCAACACCCACGTTCACTAAATCATTAGGGTTAAGGTCGCCTTGTGAAACAGCGGCTGCAGAAACAGCGGCTGCTGCAGCTGCCACAAGCTCTTGTTGGTCTTCGTAGCCAAGGTTTTGTTGAGTGTCTTGTTTCACGTCGTCATCATCATCACCGGAACCTGTAGCTTGCAGCAATGCGTCACGCAAAAGATCACCCTGACTTTGCTGCTGAACTTGTATGCTTTGTTGTTGGTTTCTATCCTTGCCAAGAGAGTTTCCGACCTGTTGTTGTGGTTGTTGTTGTTGTTGTTGTTGTTGTTGTTGTTGTTGTTGTTGTTGCTGCTGTTGCTGCTGTTGCTGTTGCTGTTGCTGCTGTTGCTGCTGTTGCTGTTGCTGCTGTTGCTGTTGATTTTGCACCTGTTGTTGCTGCTGGGCCTGTCTAGTCTGTTGCTGAGCCTGTTGTTGTTGCTGCTGTTGGACATCACGCTGTACAGATGATTCAAACTCTGATTCAATCTGAGGGTCCACAGGAATATCTTCTTGTGATGTGGAAGCAATGCCTTCCATTGGGCTCTGTACTGCAGACCCTTGATTAGCTTGCGATTGTTGCTGCGACTGTGACGATGGTTGTTTGGATGGCACAACACTGGAGGAATCGAGGTATAAATTATGCTGCTTCATAAGCTTTGCACGTGAATCAAGGTCCAAATCATTAGTCTGAACCAGTTGCTGCTGTCTATTACGCTGAAGTAGTTGCTGATGAGCCATCTCAGCAACAGCTTGAGCAGCAATGGCTTCTGCACGAGCACCACTTCCAGGTTCCATATGGCGAAACCCATCATAATCGTGTTGCTGTTGTTGTTGGGACCTTGATAACAGGTCTTGTGTTTGCTGGGCCTGTTGCTGTTGTTGCTGCTGTACTTGTGATGCAAGACCACTCAAGTGGTGAAGAGGATGGTTTTGGGTCATTTGTGTGGTTTGCGAGACAGATACCAGCTCTGGGTTAATTGGCTGGTTAATAGACTGTTGTTGCTGCTGTTGCTGTCGCTGCTGATCGATGTGTCGCTGGGCCTGAGAATCAAGTTCATGATGGACACTGTGTGTAAACCCAGAAGAAGAACCTTGATCAGAAGGCGTTGCATGGTTGTGCATGGGATTGCGCTGAATGTGCTGGTGATGATGAGGGGTGCCCATTAAAGAAGACGATGCAAGAGCAACGACTGAGTTATTGGACGGGGTAGAAGAAGCGGTAACAAGACCATGATGGTGGCCGTGCGGGGTATGTTGGTGTCCACTTGGACCGACGCCAACGGTAGACATGTCCATTATAATAGTTTCATTAGGGCCTGAAGCATCTGATGTTCCATGCTGTTGCTGTTGCTGTTGCTGCTGTTTCTGCTGTTGCTGTTGCTGCTGTTGCTGTTGCTGTTGCTGTTGCTGCTGTTGCTGCTGTTGCTGCTGTTGCTGCTGTTGCTGCTGTTGCTGTTGCTGCTGCTGTTGCTGCTGTTGTTGTTGCTGTTGTTGTTGCTGTTGTTGTTGTTGCTGCTGTTGATGTTGATGTTGCTGCTGCTGCAAATGTTGAGACTGCTGCGAATGTTGGGCCTGCTGGCTATGGGGTGGTTCGCGGCGAACGCGTTTAGGTGGCGGGCGAGTTGTCTCTCTACATTCTGCACAGTTTCTAATGGCCATACCGACGGTTTCTTTAATGCGGGTCCAATGGTATCGTTCCGCAATCTGAGAAGTTGTTTTGTTGATACCTGCATGGTTCAGGTGGTGAATCTCTGTTGCAATTTGAAGCTGACGAACGGGGTCCGAGATGACCTCTCTATCCTTAAGCATAAGTTTTCCATCGAGAAGCTTGTAGTGAGCAGCTGAGGAACGAAGACGAGACTTTTCCTGGCGGTCAGATTGGGGTGGATAGCGGCCCGTTTCGAGGTAATACTTAATTTTGTCAAAACGCATTTCAATAAAGTCTTCCTGGGCATCGCCCAAATCACGACCGTAAATGATAGCATCAACGGCAGATTCATGGCCCTTGAGAATTCCGGCCTCCTTGACGCGGCCAATTCGCTTAAAGTTAAGAGCTTCCCAAATACGACGAGCAGCAATGTTTGTTTCAAAGACTAGGTTAAAGACAGAGTAAGAATAGCCGAGCTTGGGGGCCCAGTCAAGGTAACATTCTGCAAGTGTACGGCCAATACCCTTTCCGCGGATCCCGGCATTAACGAGAAAACCAGCGGTACAAATGTGGGAGCAACGACCTGGGTAGTTTGGTTTGACGTAAAAGGTTCCAAGGCATTCTTTTTCCCACTGACGGGTCTGCTGGATGGTGGGCGAGTCGCCGAGCAGCATGACGCCAGCAAAGGAGCCAAACCAATAGTTTTGAAAGGTATCAATATGAAGGGTATCAAAAAGAGGGTATGTGTCTCCGCGCTCGATTTCCATGTTAAACTCGTCACAGAGAAAGGCGAGAAGACCGAGAGGAAGCTGCTCTGAAGGAGAAATAGGGTAGATTGTGGCGGTAGTCTCGCCATCCTTAAGGAGGATGGTTAGAGGAGCAATCTCCGGGACCATAATGTCGGGTCGGTAGTGAGGAGGTTGCGTAGGGTCTTCCAAAGCTGCAGGCATGTTGTAAGAAGATGGTTATGACGCGTCAAAAACGCCGTTAAGGGGTTTGAAAGTTTTAAAAGAGTGATGAAGTTCTATCTATCATTGTTAGTTAGCATGAATATATAATAGGAATATTTTATAAAAAAGAAGAGGACGCGGTTTGTTTTCATTTATCCGAATGTTATTTTCCTTACTTTACTATGAAAAAAAAGCCCTCACAGAGGGAGATGATCAATGATGAATATATACGGGTAGAAGATAGGAAAGGGAGTATTACTGAGCACGCCCCGGTAGACTTGAGGACGTTTTTTGGTTTTTTTGGAGTCAAAGATTGTTTGTTCGTTCGTTCTGGTAAAACCGCTCGGTACGAGATGTTCGAAGATGGGCGGGAATGGCGGTGAGGAAAGAAATAAAATTTTTATTGGAAAAAAAAATTGCTCTGGAAAAAAAAAAAAAATTTAACATTAATTAAATGTTATGTTATGTTATGTTAAGGGCTAGGTTTATATTTTTGTAATATTAACTTGTAATATAAAGTTAACCACGTGTTGTTGTATTTTAGGTGTGCTATTTTAATTAAGATTTTTTTTAACATTTAAGAAAGTTAAGTGTACACTGTATCTCATGCGAGTTCAAACTGTTGAAATGCCTCTTTCATAATGAAAGTTCGTCTCTATAACTTGGTGATATAGGTGTGGCCATCCACTCTGTAGCATATCTTTGAGCAGCTGTACACACGAATGATCTAGTTTCACTTCTCGTTGAGACTGATACTTTAATTGCACATGGGCGTGATGTGGTTAAGATTCCGTGATACGTCTAGCAAACAGTATATAAAGCTTTGTCTGTGGTGAAGGAATACTTGTATTCATCGGCACTACGAAACTAACAGGCCATATTTGAATTCTTATTTTTTCACTTCATATCATTATATATATATATATTCTATTTTATTCTATTCTATTCTGTTCGAAGACCGTCTCCGATAACCTCTATTAATGTCTATAACTTCAATATATATATTCATTCACACTCTCTGGATCTACCAACATAATTATGTTAGTCAACAAACTACCTTTGGTTACGCCGCACCATGTGCACTAACTTAAAACACACCACACATCAGCTCATCTGGGTTTGATAGCCGCCCAGAGCCGCATGAGAAAAAACAAAGGAGATTTTAATTTTCATTCTATAGGATTCCAAAAAGGCACTTTTTCTACATTTTATGGTCTAACAAATTTATACCAACTGCTTGCCAAAAATGATGGCATCGACAGGCTTGTCATAGCCCTTGAGAATTCCGGCTCCAGGAACACGCCCAATTCTTTCAAATCCAAGATTTTCCCAGATTCTCACGCTGTACTCATTCGTTTCGTAGACCAAATTGTACACGCTGTAAGTGTATCCAAGCTTGGGAGCCCATTCCAAGTAAAGTTTGCCCATTGCGGAACCAACCTTGAGAGGAGACCCACGCGCTAAAGAAGAAACAAGAAAGCCACAATTGCACACATGAGACGAACGACCAGGATAGTTTGGAAGAACATGGAAGGTGCCGAGGAAAATAGTGCCCCAGTCGGCGTCGCGCGGGATTAATGCTGTGGCCTTGGCATGGGTAGACTTTGCATTTTCTTCCTCGTGGTAGTTTTCATAAAGATGAGACGGGTCCGAGGGTGTGACAGAGGCACTAGAACCGGGGACGGCGTGCTGACTGGCTGCAGTTTTCTCAAACTCAGCAAGAGTACCCTTGAGCACAATGGCGGTAAAGTCGCCCATCCAGTAAGTCTTAAATCCTTCTGGGGTAAGTGGAGACTCCAAGGGGTAGGTCTGGCCTCGCTCAATTTCCTCGTTGAACTCATCTGTAAGATGGGTTAACAAAGACAATGGGATATAGTCTTGGGACGTCAGAGGGAAAGCCACAGCGTGGGTTCCATCGGCAAGTGTAAGTTCTGTGGGGACCAGTGGATGGTTGAGGGTTTGTTCGCGAAGAGCGGGTTTAGCTTCAGGGTCACCAAAAACAGAGGGCATTTTTTATTTTATTTTATTTTAAAAGAAGTAAAATTAAAGAAACAGAATATTTAAATATTTATTTGAATTAAAAAAAAAAGGGATTGAAGAAGAAGAAGAAAAAAGTAAGAGAGAAATAGAGAGAAAGAGGAGCTATTTATACTTTAGAATAGGCGCCAGTCATTATGACTGTAACTATTAAAGAAAGTAACTAACTTTCTTTAAAGACTAAGCAATTAATTTTTTTTTTGTTTACACAACATACTATCATGATCATGATCATGACCATGGCGCCATCTTCTTTACCTTTATAGGTTCAATACGTTAACAACAAAAACAATTCGGAATCATTAACATATTTATTAATTAGTAAATCACGTTTAATGCTATGAAGAGGAAAAAAATAAAATAAAAATGAGAAAAAATTTACACCAGAAAAATATATATAAATATATAAAAAAAATTAAACTTGAAATGTTTTTTTTTTCTGTTTTAATATTTTTTTTCCTTTTTTTTTTTTTTGAAATTTTCAATTTTCAATTTTTTTTCTCTCTCTCTCTTTTTTTCAAGAAAAACTTGGGAAAGAATTAAAGTCTTTCAGTAAAAGCCCTTTTCAATTGAAAGAAGAAAGAAAAACTTTCAATTAAAAGAAAAATTAGTCTTCTTAAGTTTTTTTTTAGTCTTTCAACCAGTCTTTCTTACTCTTTTTCGGTCAAGACCAAAATGCAAAAAAAAAAAAAAAACTCATCAAATATATCCCATGAACCTTCTCAAATTATTATTATAATATTATTATTATTATTATTATTTTATAGTCATCGTAATCATCGTCATCATTTAACATTTTTTATTTGGGAAGAAAAACAAAGGGTCTGTAGTCAGCAGCATCTCTTCGCTGGGGCGAATAAATGATAGGCTTCTTGTCTTGATCAAAGTTGCGGAAATCAACAACTCGCACAGGCAACTCCGGGACAAATCTGTAAATATTGTGATCAGGCTCACCTGGACGAGGAGATGCATATGGTATCAAATCATTGCTTCGCAATAATTCCAGTTGCTTTTCATCAGTAGTCATCCAGACCTGGTTGTAGCGCTTGTCATAGTAACGGTATTTATTAGCAATGTAAGCTCCTGGTTGAGATGCCAATGCTTGAGCGGCGGTCTGGTTTGTTGTTGCAGGAGCCATGTCTTGGTAATAGTCACGTTGGTACCGTTGTTCTTCTAGGTAGTTGTTAATTTCTGCTTGAGGAACAGCGGCTGAGGTAGTATTTTTATTTGAAGCTGGTGGAACAACAGCCTCGGCAGGAGGAATAGAAGAGGCAGCGCCAGCGCCAGTACCAGTACCAGCAGCAGTGGCACCAAGGGCAGTAGGAGTACCAGAAGGACCAGCAGTGATTGCTTTTGTGTTATTGGTATTGTTTGCTGCATTTTTAGCAGCTTCTTGTTCTTGGATAAACTTTTTAGCTTCTCTTTCTTTACTCAACTCCCATCTCAGGACGGTCCAATCAAAGACATAATCATAACGATAGTTTGATCGGTTAAAAAGATCGCGAATTAATCTGCGAAGATACACATAGTCGGGGAGATCGTCAAAGCGAAGAGAACGGGCATAGTTGAGGAAAAGAGAGATTTCAACTGGAAGGCCACGAGTGAGGACGTCTGAAGAAGTGGACATTTTCTTTTCCATAATACGGTCGTACTTTTGCTTCTTTGTTGTGGCCTTGAGGCCTTGCCAAGGAAGAGAGCCGCGGCAAAAGTAAATAAGCATATATGTGAGGGACTCAATGTCATCGCGTCTGGATTGCTCAATGCCGAGGTGAGTATGAACAGAAGCGTAACGAGCAGTACCGGTAAGGTTTTTGTGTTCTCTGTATGGAATGTGGATATGGGTTCTTGGATCTCTAAATTTTTTAGCGAGACCAAAGTCAATAACATTGACTTGGTTGCCTCTGCGGTTGAGGCCCATTAAGAAATTGTCTGGCTTAATGTCTCTGTGAATAAAAGACTTTGCATGGATAAATTCGAGACGGCAAATGAGCTGGTCTGCAAGAAGAAGAACCGTCTTGTAAGAAAACTTTCGGTTACAAAAGTTGAAGAGGTCCTCTAGGGAAGGACCCAAAAGGTCAATGACCAGGGCATTATAGTCGCACTCTGAGCCGTACCAGCGAACAAAGGGGATACCGACACCTCCGACAAGAGCTTTGTACACTCTTGCCTCGTATTCTAGCTGGGGGTGACGAGCGCGGATAGACTCTAGTTTGATAGCCACTTCTTCGCCTGAAATGATGTTTGTACCAAGGTAAATGTCTCCAAAAGAGCCTGAGCCGATTTTGCGGCCGAGACGGTATTTTTTTCCTACCCGGAGGTCAGTAGACATTGGTTATAGAAAGATGGTTAAAGTGTTGTTGTTATAGTTGTTGTTTTTCTGAGTGGTAGTAGGTCAGGTGGGTATTACAAGGGGGGTGTGAGGGGGAAGGGGTTGAATTAGTAAAATTGTGATGATAATTATAGCTATAAAAAAATTATAAAAAAACAGGTGTCCAGAATAGAATAATATATATATATATATATGATGTAGCCTAGCGAGAGCTTATAAGTGCTTATATATATATATATATATATTTAGATAAAAGGCTATAATAGTAGTGAGAAACTTTTTTTCAAAAGGTTTTTTTTATATATTAAAAACAGAACTTGGAGGGCGGCTAGACCACCTAGAAAAAAAAGTTTTCAATAAAAAATGAAATAAAAAAGAAGGTAAAAATATGGGAATTCAAAGAACTAAAAAAAACAAAATGTTTTTTTAAAGAATTAGAAGAGAAAAGTTGATGATGAAAGATGGAGGTGTTTTTTTTTTTAATTTTTTTATATTTTTTTTATAAAAAGAGCGCTGAGATGGAAAGAAGAAAGGAAAAGGAAGGAAGGAGAAAGAAAAAAAAAAAAAAAATTGCACTGCGCGCGAGGCTTTTTTGTGTGTGTGTGTGTGTGTGTGTGTGTTCTGTTACGATAAGTTAAATACTCGTCAGCAAGCCAGCAAGCCAGCAAACTACAACAACAAATGTTTGTTGATTCTTGTATAATGAAAATAAAAAAATAAAATAAAATAAAACTTCATCACCACCATCATCTAATGGGACCTTCCAACATCCTTATTTAATCAAATCTTGATATATATTAAAAACTACAAAATATTCTATTAATATGTTGCTTATTTATTTATCTTTTGCCAATATAACCCTGACTGCTCCTATCGAAATGGTGCCTTTACTTCTCCGTTGTCGCTGACGCCTGTGTGTTTCAGACTTTTCAAACCAAGTAAAAAAGTAAAATGTTTTCTTAGAGCCTGAATTTCAAACATCGTTGCAGAATCCTCATTTTATGGCACTAAATTATTCATATTATTTTCTTTTACATTAACAGCATTAATCAGTTGGCTGATCGGTCGGTTGGTCGGTCGGTCGGTTGGCCGGCCAAAAGGGGAGCTAAAGGTTTCTTTTTACTTTTTTTTTTTTTTTTTTGAATTCTGAAGATCAACAAACAAAAAAAAAAAAATTGATGACAATCGCAATCATCGTTCAAATAAATAAGAAAGATGCTTTCTTTCTTTTTATTTATTTATTTAATTTTTTTTTCTGATCGATGGTTAAGTTAAAGTTAAATATGATGATGATTATACTGCTATCTTCCCAATCCCCATGATATATATCTCTACTAATCGATCCATAAAATGCAACCGTGTCTACACCGAGAAACGGAGCGGACCGGGTGTCTGTTGATGGGTTTGTTATTATTATTGTTATTATTATTATTACTATCAGTCCACGGCTGTGCCGTCCACAATACACAACAAAAACTCAAAAGTATTAAACATAAAAATAGCTTCCATAACATGTAAATGTTGAACTTACCTTACCTTAGTAATCACCAAATTGACATTTTAATCCATAAGTTAAGTATTGTTATAGCTTCTATGATGATGAAATCAAAGTGTTTTCCCCCCCAAAATAACTAGCCAGACCATTTTATCTTTTTCAACTTGAATATTTAACTAATCTTCTCATGAATAATATAGCTAAATATTTTTTTGTTTGTATATTCACTGTCATTAGGTCTATCAGCGAATTTAATTGAAGCTTAGTGTTGTTTCAAGTAAACCTCTAATGAGAATCATCTTAAAAAGTAAGACCATGTATGTGTTTTCAGATAAATAAACATAAACTTGGAATGGACATTTAAATTAACTTTTGGCAAAGTCCTGTAATAAAGAAATCAAATTGCTTAAGGCTTTCTGCAACATAAAAAGAATTTTTTATTTAATTCAAAAGTAGAATAATAACAGATCACTATTAACTCTGTTGATGAAAAACCTTGTAAATAAGCTTATCTTTGAATCTATAAAATAAAAGAAATTATTTTAATCAAACCGATTTTTTTTCATTTTAAGGTTAACTCATTGTAAAGTTAAAATAACTACAATTATATGTAAATTTTAGTCTTTCTTAAGTAATATACAGAATGACACAAATTTGTTACATCTTCTGTAAGATTTTTTTTTTTATTTATATATATATATTTTTTTTTTCATTAAAGGGTCCCATTATTTCATCAACCAAAAGCTAAACCACCAACATCACAAACAAGCCCTTTACACGCGCTATTTATTTATTTAATTTTTTTTTTAGGAATATTTTTTTATATAAAAAAAATATAAAACAAAACCCCACACACATTCCTTAAAACTACTGCATCATGTCCGGGTCAAAACCAAAGGGAAAGGCTCGTACAGGTGCTGGAGCTGCGGGTTCTCGAGGAATGCCCAAACGAGGAGCGGCAGCTGCTGCCGCTGCTGCTGTGGCTGCGGCTGCCGCATCAGGACCACGCTCAACTTTATCATCAACATCAACAACGACAGCAACAACAAATTCAGCAACGTCTGCTATAGCTTCAACATCTGACACTTTAGATGGTGACATAATCGACTCTTTCTCTGGCATCAACCAAGACACTACTTTTCCTTCGTCATTCTCTTCTACAACCTCATCTTCATCCACTTTAATATCCACAGATCCTCTTCCGGACTGTCCACCAGGCATTGAGGAGTTTGGTTCTTTATTACCAGGCAAAAATGATGCAGAACTTACTTATACCGATCTTATTAACGCTCTAAACCACTCCATATCAACCTCTTCCCCGGCTAATGCAAAATATACAATTTCAGAGGCAATACCCTCCAAACGCGATTTGGTATCACTGCGCTATGACCTCGCGCGATTGTTGCGACTGTCTGTCAGCAGGCTGGCGGAGTACGATCAAAGCATGAGCAAGCTCAAGAGGTTGTCGAGTGCGGTTGATCGTGAGTGTGAAAAGAAACGGGCCAAAATTGAAAAGGAAGAGGAAAAGAAGCAAGAAGAAAGAGAAAGAGAAAAAGAAAGAGAAAAGGAACGAGGAAAAGAAAGAGAAAAAGAAAGAGAAAAGGAAAGAGAAAGAGAGCGAGAGAAAGAGAAAGAGATACAAAATGAAAATGAAAAGGAAGATGTAAATTCAGAAACTGTCTTTTCTCCTACCCCTCAGGTCAAAATAGAAGACCAAAGTGACAATACTGCGGCTGAAACAACTAACAGTAATAAAATGACCCAGAAAATCGAAGACTTGGTCACCATTAAAACTGAAACAAAACTCCCGACTGATACTACGGGACTTCAAGAGCCAGAGGCTCCTAAATCACCACCCGAATACGAAAAAAACCCCAAGTCTGAGTTTGTCACTTCACAGGAACTCCCCATTGCGGCTCTAAACCTTTTTGAAGAACAAGTTAAGGGATTACCTACAAATGGCGAAGAATACTTGCTCAAAAAATATGCCGTTGCTTCTTATCCTAGCGACAATCTCAAGGACTGGTTACCTGGCGAGATTCCTGACCATGATTTTACTAAAGCCAAGCCACCCAGTCAGGTCCAGTTTTCGACCTTTTCATCCTATATTGAGCCATATTTCCGGCCATTTACAGAAGATGACGTTACCTTTCTTAAACAAAAACTCATTGGTGGGCCATATGGGTATGCATTTTTAAATGGAGGAAGCGGATCATCTACAGGAATTAATGGAGCTGGTGGAGCTGGCAATGGAAGTGGAAGTAGCGGCAGTGGAGCTCACGGAACTCATGGAGCAGCAGCAGCACTTGCAGCAGCAAGTTCTGCAGCTGCTGCACGACGAGCACAATTGTCTCCCTACGTTGTCCCCAAGCTAGGCCGACTATATGCGGATGTGTGGCGGGAGCAGGATGGGAAAAATGCTGGGTATGTGCTACACCCTCCTGTAGCTGCGAGCGCACGTGAGGTTCAAGCTCATGGAGGTAGCGGCGGGATTGCTGACGGGGTACTTGAGCAGGAAGACGTTGTGTCATGCGGGCCTCTTGCATCGCGATTGTTGTCCGCGTTAATGAGTGAAGATTGTGAGAGCAATGCTATGGGTGTGAAGAAGGAAGAGGAGGATGCAGCTGTGGTAGTGAAGAAGGACGATGAGGATGAGGAAGAGATGATTGTTAACGGTGGCCGGCGGCGGGGAGATGCGCGAATCAAGCGAGAAGATGAGGATGAGGATGAAGAAGAGGACGGAGGGGAGAATGGTGGAGATAATGATGATGAAGAAACCAACATGAAGGATGAGACGCGAGGGAAGAGCGAGACTCTTTCAGGGACTGGGTGGACAATTGGAGCTGTTGCTGCAGATTTTGTTTCTTTGGAAGAGCGATTGAAGCGGGAGTTCAAGTATGTAGGGATTTTGGATATGCAGATGCTGCGACGTGAAGAGCAACGGAAGAAGCAGTTTGAGGCGCTGGCTGCCGGGACGCTTGATGGGGGAAGTTCGGGAGGGGAAAGTGGTGATGGTAGTAGTAGTGGTAGTGGTGGGAAGGACAAGAGCGGAGGTGGGATCACGACTGGAGGTATGGCAGCAACAACAACAACATCAGCCACAACAGCCACAACAGCCACAACAGCCACAACAGCAACAGCAGCAACAGCAGCAACAGCAGCAACAACAACAGCATTGACGGCAGTGACAGGGGCCGGATCTTCTTCAGATAAGAAGGATGAATTTGAGATTGATTGGGTATCTGGGCGGGAAGACGATGAGATTAGCACGGAGCTGCGATTTTTACAAAAACAACTAAGAGTTGTGTCACGGTTTAATCGGGCGTGCCAGCGGGTGCTTATGCCTGTTGTTGAAGAACAATTGGCGTGGCAAGAGTACACACAAATTTTGGATGATCTTGACAAGCAGGTGGACCAAGCATATTTACGGCGGAATCGGTCGACAACAAGAGTCAAGAAGAAGAAAACATCTGCAGCAGCAGCAGCAGCAGCGGCAGCGGCAGCAGCAGCGGCGGCAGCGGCGGCAGCGGCATCGGCAACAGGATCGGGTACCAATGGCGAGGGTGGGACGTCGAGTGTGGGACTCACTGGTGCTTCTGCAGATCAGGCACACCGACTACGGAACTTGTTGGACAAGCGACAGCGGTGGATTTCATCGATTGGGCCAGTGTTTCGGGATTCTAGGTCGATGAAGGGGATGCCTCGAGAACCGGTGTTTGCTACGGAGAAGATGGAAACTTTGATGACTGAACAGGATGAGGAGGATGGAGATGATGTGTGAAATGAAATTAAATGAAATGAAATGAAATGCATATGAGATAAAATGAAATGAAATGGAGTAAATAGAATAAATAGAATATCATGTGATTGTCACATGATTTTACAATGAGATCATGTGATTTAACGGCGTTTAAAAAAAAAAAATAAAATTCCATCCATCCATCCACATGTTTTTTTTTTTTAGCACAAACTAAACTTTAATAGACCAATTGAAAGCATTTTTTTTTTTTTTTTAAAAATTCAATGAAATTTTTTTTAGAGGTTATATACCTTTTAAAAACCAAAAAAAAAAAAAATAATAAAAATAATAATAACATTAGAAAAGCCATTCATTCAATTATTATCAATAACTTTTTTTTTTTTTTCTTTCTTTCTTTTTTAAAACTTATTTATATGTAGAATAATAATATATATATATATATATATATGAATATATATGAATTCATATCGTGTAAATTTTTATATTTTTATTATTATTATGATTTATCAACAAAAATTTTTTTTTTTCTTCAACTCTTTTCAATTTTTTTCTTCAACTTTCTCTTTCTTTTTTTTCTTTACCATCTCATCATGCTCATGTCGTTTCTGATTCTCTGGTAATCAAGGAGACCCTCGATAGAGCCAAAGGCGGCAATGGCAATGTCCTTATCCCAGAGGTACTTCTGGGCCCAGGCCTTGACGTCCTTTTCTGTAATGGCATTGATGGCGCGCTCAACCTCGGCGGGAGACTGGCGGCGACCAGTGGTGATGATTTGGCGACCAATGTCCTCAGCAACGGCAGTAGTACCGTCAAGAGAAAGGAGGAGGGAGGCCTTAAGCTGGGACTTGGCACGCTCAATCTCGGCAGGGGTCACGGAGACGGAAAGACGGTTCCACTCCTTAAGGGTGAAGTGAACCAAGTCATCGAGGTTGGAACGGTTCTCGGAAACAAGGTAGATACCCCAGAGACCAGTGTCTGAGTAAGAGGTGGAGAAGGAGAGGAACGAGTTGGCGAGTTGGTTCTGGGAGACAATGGAGGTAAGCTTGGAGCCCTGGAGGGTAGCATTGCCAAGGGCACGGTCCCAGTTGCCAATGACGGCCTGAGCGACAAGAGCGGTGTAGTAGTCAGGGGAAGACCAGGAGACACCCTCGACGGCAATGGCAATGTGGGCGGTGGGGACGGTATCGTCACGAAGACGGACCTCAGAGCCAACAAAGTTGGGGACATCAAAGGCGGAGCGGGAGCCAGCGCCAGGGGCAATGGGGGTAGGGGAAGAGGGGAGGCCGGCAAAGTGCTTTTCGGCAAGGGCAACGAGTTCTTCGTGCTCAACGGCGCCGGCGCCGACAAGGACCATGCGGTCGGCCTTGTAGTTCTTAGAGATGTAGTTGGTGAGCTCAGCGCGGGTGATGGCGAGGATGTTTTCACGGGGGCCAAGAATGGTGCGGCCCAAAGGTTGTTTCTGGAAGGCGACTGCGTGAAGGTGGTCAAAGACAACCTCTTCGTACTGCTTGTCAACCTCTTCAGATTCACGGATAATCACCTCACGTTCACGCTCAATGGCGGGTTCCTCGAGCTTAGAGTTCTGGAGAATGTCAGCGAGGACCTCGACCGTCTTGGGGACATCGTCCTTGAAGGATTTAGCATAGTAGACGGTGTTTTCGCGGGAGGTGTAAGCATTGAGGTGGGCACCAATGTTTTCAATTTCAAGCTCAAGCTGCTGTTGGGATCTGCCTGTAGTTCCCTTAAAAGCCAGGTGCTCGAGGAAATGGGCGGTACCGTTATTGTACTGGTTTTCAGCGCGGGAGCCGGCATCAATCCAGACACCGACGGTGGCGGTTTTAGCATTGGGGATAGCTTCGGAGGCGACAGTGAGGCCATTTGCGAGGGTGGTGGTTTGAGTCTTTGGGTACTGGTAGTCAAAGGTAGAGGAGGAGGAAGAAGCCAAGCCTCTAGCAAGGACAAAAGAGCGAGGAGAGACGGTGGTAGCGGCTCTGCGGGCCGACAGACGGAGGAGAGCAGACATGGTTTAAAGGGGGAGGATGTGGTGATGAAGGGTGAATGTGGTGATGAAGGGAGGATGTGGTGATGATGATGGTAGGAAAAAGAAGGGAAAGGAAAAGGGAGGAAGGGGAGTGGATTGGGGAAGGTTTAGATGGTGGCAGTTAATGTAATAGGTTGATGTATATTTGTGTAATATTTGTGGTGTGTAATAAGTGCAACTGTGTTGGACCAGCCAAAGGATTTTTTTTTATGTGTGTGTGTGTGTGTGTGTGTGGGCCTCTACAGATTTTTTTAGATGGGCCAGCCAGCCAGCCAGCCTGTAAAAAAAAAAAAAAAAAAAAAAAAAACACACACACACACACACACACGCTCATACAAGCACATACAAGCACGTAAAAAGGACATACAAGGACATACAAGGACATACAAACACAGAGGCATAACGAGTTTGATACACACATACACACAGACATACATAAAACAAAAAAAAACAAAAAAGGTTATTTGATTTTTTTTAGATGGCCGCTGAGTGGTACCAAAAAAAAAAAAAAAAAAAAAAAAAAAAAAAAAAAAAAAAAAAAATCAGCTTACATACACGTGACAGTTTGTTATTGACAGTATTTTATTGGATGATGAATTTATAATGTACGGCAATTAATCATTAATAAACTTCCATTGGTCACAATTTAATTAAACCCTAACCCTTTAATCAACCAATCACTAAACTGCAGAATGTCATTACCAACATACAAATATTTACACACACACACACACACACACAAAAAAAAAATACACCGTCCCGCGGGGTTTTTGAATTTTTTTTATTTTATTTTATTTTATTATTTTATTTAAGCACAGAGAAAGAAACCCCTCTCTATTCCCTCCCACCCCCAAAAAAAAAAAAAAAAAAGAAAAATAAAAGGGTTAGGGCTTTTTATTATTATTATTATTATTTTTTGTTATTTTTTGTTATTTTCTACTGTCCGAACTTCTCCGTAGTCGACGTTTTCCATACACACATAAAAAAAAAAAAAAAACAATTCTGTTTATCCACACACAGCCCAGTCAAATCCAATCTTACTGTGTATATATAATAATAATAATAATTTTTTTTTTATTGTATATCTGAAAATTATAAATATATATAAAATAGAAAAAAAAAAAAAAAACTCTCTCCACACCCATTTTTAAACCATCTCCATTTATCTATCTTTTTCTTAACCCCTCTTCCTTACCACATCATCAATAAAAAAAAAAAAAAAAGAACCATCCCCAATAACCCAATCAACTCTTCACAATGTACAGATCTGCTCTTCTCAATAACTCCCGTCTTTTTGCTGCTGCCGCTGCTAGACCCGCTCTTAGACAACCTTTTGCTTTGGCCCCGGTCATGGCCTCCCGTCGTTTCCTCGGCACCATCCCTCAACCTCCTGGTGGCATTGTCGGAACCGTCAATGATGCTGTCCCCTCCCCTCCCGTCGAGAAGTCCCACGGTTCTTACCACTGGTCTTTTGAAAAGGTCGCTGTTCTTGGTCTTGCTCCTCTCGTCATTGCTCCCTTTGCTGGTGCCTCTCTGTCACCCATTCTTGACGCTACTCTCGGATCCCTCATCATTATCCACTCTCACCTTGGTCTCGAGTCCTGCATTGTTGACTACATTCCCAAGCGTGTCTACGGTGGCCTCCACACCGCTGCCATTGGTGCTCTTTGGGCTGGCACTGCTCTTGCTATCTACGGTATCTACGAGATTGAGACCAACGATATCGGTGTTGCTTCCTCCATTGGCAAGATCTGGAACGCTTAAACTTTTATGGAGAAGAAGTACTACTAATTGATGAAAGAAAGAAAGAAAGAAAGAAAAAAAAAAAAAGAATAACAATATTAATAAGATATAAAAAAACAAAAATACCTTTATAAATTAATGATTAAATGAATTGATGAATTAATAAATGTGTATATATATATATATATTAAATGACTAATGTCGGATGTATGCTTGTAGTTTTTAAACCCTTTGACTTGTTTCGCGAATCAACCCCACAGCTAACCCTTCCCAGGATCCAAGCACCCGCCCAAGCTCAGCCAACCGCTCTTTATTCGCGTCCCGACCAACCGCCCGTGCAACAACAACCGCTTGCTCCTTGGTATCCACCCGTGCATCTAACAAATCTGCATACACTGCATCCACAACTAACCCTTCCACCTGTCCAACCTCCACCCCAGTGGCCTCCACAATCTCATCAAACCCAAGCCGTGCGCTTCTCCCAGCTAAACTTACCAATGTCAGTTGCCGCAGTTTTGTAATTTGTGCCTCATTCAGTTCTGGCGCCCGATACCCAAGACCAACATAATCTTTCCATGTCCCATAAGTAAAAACTTCAAGAACATCTACCCAGGCTTCTGCAGCTTCACTTAATGCATTGGCTTGTGAAAGTACTCCAGTCCGCGCACGCAAAGGCTCGTAAAATTCAGCAAACCCATATATCGACCGATTACCAGTCGCCCGCTTTACAAGATCAATCACAATCGAACTGGTTAGCCGAGATTCTGTCGAATGATATAATGTCAGAATTTGCTCCATTATTATTATTATTATTATTATTATTATTATTATTATTATTATTATTATTATTATTATTATTATTATTATTATTATTATTATTATTATTATTATTATTATTATTATTATTATTATTATTATTATTATTATTATTATTATTATTATTATTATTATTACTGTTATTACTGTTATTACTATTATCTATTATCTATTGTATTTTATTGTATATATAATATAGTAAAGTAAAGTAAAGTAAAGTAAAGTAGAGGTGGCGATTAGCAAGTAGTTACTCTGCTTATGCTTAACTAAGTAATAAAATATATATAAAACAAAAACCCACCTTCTAAAGGTTAGGGTTGACATGCGGCTCAAGCCTTCAAATTTACAAATTCACAAATTTTCATTCATCTCCAATTCTCAATCAAAGCTCATCAACAGCAATAAGATCAACCTCCCCCCCCTCAAAAAAAAAAAATGCCTCCACGAATCTCTATTCTCAAACAACTCCCACACTATCTGGTAATAAACAAACCTCCAGCTTGCTATTCTCAACCCCCAGATACTTCTCCTGCAAACAAACAACTTGAACTTCATGGAATCTCCCCCAATGATACTGTTCTTGCCCACCTACGTCACGACAATAGAGCTCTCTTTGATGAGTCCAAACTTACCCCTCCATTTTGCCCCCCCAAACTTGTCCACCGACTTGACTACCCAGTAAGTGGTGCCATGGTATTAGCTACAAGTACCCAAGCTGCTGCCCATTTTGCCAAAAACCTCAAACATGGCGGCTCCAAAGGTTGGGTCTTACAGAAATATTATGCCGCACTGGTTCTTGGATCTCCCAAAACTTCCTCATCTTTCCTCCAAAAAACAATCACTTGGACTCCAGATATTATAACCCCAGAAGGTACCACCATTAAAACAGGAATTATTGCCAAATATATTGATGGTAAATCTGCATTTACACGATTCTGGATCCCTCCTCAACCAAAAACTTCTCCTAGTCTTCCATATTCCCTCGTCCTTTTCTCCCCACTCACAGGTCGCAAACACCAAATCCGTAAGCACGCTGCAGAAGTCCTCCATACACCCATCCTAGGCGACTCCATTTATATCGAATCCATCGATCGTAAAAAATCAAAACTTGATTCAATCACCAAAAATACTCCTCTCACACCTCTAGCCGATCTTTCAGCTCTATACCCTGTCAATGGCATAGCCCTCCACTCTTACATGGTCCATCTAGAAACTGGGCTTGCAAAATCATCCATCCAAGCTCCCTTCTTCCGCAATACAGAAGCTTGGGACCCATTCCTCACAAAGGACAGGCTTCTTCCAGATAGCATATACACTTCATGCGTGGCTGAAAAAATCAAACTCACATAAATACTTGTATCATACAAAACTCCTCATGTAAATATAGTATTATATATATATATATATATAAATATAAATATAAATAAATAGTATAGACTAATCACTTCCCCTTCCCAACCTTGATTTCATCCAATAACTCTTGTGGTGTAGATTCGGTCAGCTCAGGAACAAGTGTCGTAACCAAGTGGTCAATTATACTATAAATCAAGTGCTTATTCACCTGCTTGTTACCAAACAAGTCTAACATCTCGTAAACCCCGTTCCGTGTATCATCTCCAAACAACACCCCGCGTACGTGATCTGGCACTCGCAAGTAAATCGACCTCATGGCACTAGCTCGGATTTGTTTCTTTTCTTCTTCATCAGGTGGTACTCTCCCTGGATTCATGGGCCCTGTGCCTTCCTCCGAAAATAGTGCCATGCGTGCCGCACGTATCACAGCTGTCATTGTCCCTGCATTCGTCAAATACCGCTCCAGTCCGTGCGCCGTGATTCGATTTGCAACCTTTCGTAACCGCCCAAACGCAAACGGTGATGACAGCACCCGTACAGCAGCAGCCAACAACGGCCGCTGCGTGCTTACACGTAACATGGCATTTGCACACGAAAAAACTCCACTCGCAACAACAGGAACCCGCGCACGCTCTAATGAAGTCTCGTCACCACCAGCAAATGAAAGAACAAATGCGGCCCACCGACCACCAGCTGTAACCAATGCTCCGCAATAACTCACAACCCGTCCATACAAAACTCCAGCTTGCTGAGAAACAGGCCACCACTCAAGCTTGGCCACTGAAGTTTCATTTATTGTAGTATTAACACTTCTCCCCCCACCCCCACTCCCACCCCCACCCCTACCCCCATTCCCTCCACCATTGCTGTTAGAATCATCTGTTAATGGCACAAATGCATCTAACAACTTGGTAATCATATCATAAATCATCCATGGCTCACTCAGCTTCTCCACTGTTCCCGCAAGACCCACAGTTTCTATAATCGATGCAACAAGTGTCCTAGCAACAGGAGACATTGCATCTTTTTCTCCAAGAAGAGATACAACCAACCCCTTAGCCAACACTTTTAAAAACAAACTTTCATCTTCAGGAGAGTCTAATGCTGGTAACGGCCGCACCGCATGAAACGCAGCTTCCTCAGAGTCTCGCGGGAGCACCGCACTACCCATCCGCGCTCGCACCATGCGTAGATCTCGTACGTGCATTTCTAGCAGCAGCGGCAGTTCGTCCAGCAGTAGCGAATACGTATCTGTGCGCAACAAGCGTTCTTCAACTCGCCGCGTACACTCTGCAACAGTCTGTGCAATATCTCGTAAAAATCCTGCATCATCTACTATCGATCCATACCACGATAACACAAATGTCCGACATAACACCGCTATCAGTGCATACAGTTCAACATTCACCCCATCGAACCTGCTTAACGATGGTAACCGGACCCGCCAATCCACGTTGGCAGGTTCTCGTGGTAGAAATACTTGGCGAATCAGTGCCTCAGCAGCAGGTATCGTTCCAGGTGTACTGATTGCCATATTACTATTGGTATTAACTGTCCCCCCGCGGACGTACCGGTTTGAAAGACCACCACCACGAGAACCGAACGTCACCGACGTCGACAGCCCCCCTGGCGGTGATATTGTTTGCTGCCGTAACGCCGCAGACGCAGCTGCAGACATTGACGACGATGATGCGTGGTGGTGACCGTAGCCATGGTGGTGGTTACTGTGATAGCTTGAGCCATTGTGTCCTGGTGATGGGGTAGTTTTATGAGGTGACGACGAGCGTGACGGAACTGGTACTGAAACTGGAATTAACGCTGGTGTCGAGACCGAGGCTCCCATCGGGCTGCGGGTCTTGGGTATTGCTGTGCGGCGAGAATTGCTTGTGCTGCCGCTGGGTATAAATTGAAGTGAAGATGGCGGGGATGACGAAAGCGGGGACCCCACGGGTGAGGTCAAGCTAGATTGACGTAGTGGAACAGGTGACAGAACCACAGGAATTGGAGATGATATTCGTACCACCGAGTCTTGTGGGCTATTCTCCACACTCTCTATTGGTGTGCTTGCTACTGATGATGATGAATGTCGGTGGTGTCCTTTCCCATTTACGGACGAAGACGAAGAAGAAGAAGAAGATGATGATGCTGAAGAAGAAGAAGAAACAGGTCCACACATACGTCCAGCTGCCTTAAGCTTGGCTGACGCGTCTGATAGCGAAAGAGTCGCAGAGTACCCAGCCGCCGTTGCACGGGAAATCACCGGGCTCACAGGCGACGATGTGGCCGATGACCGTGTACTGGAAGGCAATGGTGGCATTCCTGGCGCGTTTGGGGGAAGACTCAATTCTGTTGTTGATGCTGCAGTTGTTGCGCGTCCATATACTGGCGCCGCTTTGGCCAATTGTGGTTTGGCAGAATGTTGCAGCAGCTTTTGTCTTTGTAGTTTAGGAGAGTTTGCGGGACTCGCATCATAAAAGTCTGTCAGACGATGGGACATAACGAGCTTAGACAAGACAAATACGAGAATGCAGAACCTTTTTTTTTGTTTTTTTTTTCAGGGAAATGAGCAAAAAATGGGGGTGTTAATTTTAATTTTTTTTTCTTTTAGCTTTCCCTGTCAAAAGAAGGTTTGTTTGAGGAGGAAAGCCATAGGGTGGGGAACTACAAGAAAAAAAAAATCAACACACTCAGAAACCTCCATTGGGGAAATCATCAACATGGCCTTTTTGGTTTTGTTTACCATTTGCAACTTTCACCATCACCACCATCTTTTTTCTCATCTTATTATAATAACCACCACAACTCATCTGTTCCTCACAGATTCATAACTTTCTCCAGCATTTATTTTAAGAATGCATTTTCTTTTATTCTCACTTTAACATATTTTTTTGTAAAAATTTTTTTTTTCTTTACCTTAATCATTTATCATGGCTGCTGACGGGTGGAAGTCTGCTCCAACAGAGCCCCGCGAGGCTCTCCAGTACACTCCCCTCGTCTCCATCCTTCCAGTCCAGTCAGGTATGCCAATATAATGTCAATATATATATATATATATTCTAATCTAACTTCTCAGTTGCACATTCCCTACCTCTGCCTGAGGCTGGCCTGCCAGACAGACCTCTCCAGTTTCTTTCACGCGACGAACAAATTATCGCGTCTCAAAATTATGAAGCTCTCAACGTGCCTATTGAGACCCAAGCTCAAGAAGACTTTTTTCGTACTCAAGCCGGCCACATTATCCAGAAAACTAGCGCTGTAGACCTTTCATTTTTGTACGTTCTCGTGATGATGTTAATTTTCTAATCACTAACCTCATTTGCATAGACAGTTCAGACACCATGATCTTCCGGATCCAGGAACTGTCCAATCATCTGTTTCCTTAGGACCTCTTGCTGCAAACCTTTTCCAGAATTCAGCATTTTCATATTCAGGTATTACCTTCTCTATCTCTATTTTTTTTCATTTTTTCATTTTTATTCTAACTTTCTAGTTGCTCCTCCTATCAACCGACCTCAGACCATTGTGCATATTCCACCGCCGCCGCTAGACGAGCCAAATATGCAACCCTACTCAATCCCACAAAATGATCCCATCACCAACATCAAGAAAACAAACGTCATCAAAAGACCTAAAGAAAGTAAAAAGACAAAACTTAAGAAAAAGGAGGCCCAGTTTGACGACCTCCTGTCTTCCATATTTGAAGCAAATGACTCATTTGCCCAAGACACATCCGAGCGCTCCACAGAGTCTTCAGAAAAGGATTCCATGTGGCTGGTTCGTTACTCAACTTCCCTCCCCTGTCTTTCCAATGCATATCTTGTCAACCTCGAAGACTCAATACGCAAACTCGAATCGTCAACCTTTTATAAAGAGCTCGAGGTGGAAAAAATCATCAACCTCCAACGTATTCTCGAGCGTGCAATCAAAAATGGCGAATCAACTGTTCTATCTCCCTCACAAGTCCTTGATCTCGAATATCAAGATATCGTTGATCATACCTACACTCTCGACAACACACTCAAGGCTATTAAAGTTCTCTTCCGCATCTGGATCTCGGGAAGAACAGACAAGGCTCTCTTTTCCGAAGATCTTTTAACGGAGGTGACTGAGTTTATTTCTAAAATCATGGAAACTGAAATCCTCCCCTTATGTGAACAAGAAGTCGCCTCTCACCCTATATTGAAAACTAAAAATTACTATAGTGCCCTGATCCAGGAGCTTTGCCGAATCTTTGAACTCTACTCTAACCTAATTTCAACCTCCTTTTTAAACGAGTCATCTGTCACAAAACTAGAGTTTCTTTCCATAAAAATCGTCTTCTTCGAAGTCTCTCTTAAACCAAAAGACATGCTTGTGACCTTCACACTTCTCGAATCACTCAAGGTCGCAAACATGCTCCTCATCTCTACCCTCTTTGGATACTACCCAGATCAACACTCGTTCCTTCTCGATGAAATCTTAAGTAACTTTGCAAAAGTCACGGGGTCAAAATCGTCCCGCGTTTACCATTGTTCCAATGGTATTTCTGTCCAGCTCGTAACTGCTCTTATTACTAAAATCATCCAAACAGTCGGCCCCACTAGTAAAGATTTATTTAACGTTTTTATCGGAGACATGCCCGAAAATGAGATTAATGAAAAACGCACCCAGATGACTACTCTTTGTACAGACCGTATTCGCCAAGCATCTAAAAACTCTGCAGAAATCCTCCAGTATCTCATCTCGCGTGCCATCAAAACAACAAAAACTGGTGACTCTCCTTTCAGAAGTTTAATTGAAAGCTTCACGGATGACTTTGCAAAACTTCTTACCAACCCTGAATGGCCAGCAGCAGAACTTCTTCTTACTACTCTTTCGATATCCCTTATGAATCTTTTGGATAAAGACAATGAGGGTGTCACTGCATCTACAATGGCTTTAGAGCTTCTTGGAAACATTGCCATGAAAATTGGCAACTTTAAGAAAAACGAGGATCAGGTCATTGAACTTGCTCTCAATATATCTACTGTTTCTTTTAACGAATACTGTGACATTGCTAGCCAAAACCTTGGGTATCTACAATCCTTGATCCCCAAGGGTATGGGCGCAATCTCTTCTTATCAGTACTTCTTGACTCTCTTTACATCTATTCTTACTTCTATCTGGCACGGAACAAAACCTCAAGATATCGAGGAAGTCAATGAAGATACTCGGAGTAAAATTGCTCTTCATGAAGCTGCGGAAAATCAACTTAACCAGATCCTAGCACGCGGTAAAGAAGGTTTATGGGTTTCGGAACCAATTCTTTCTAGCCCTGAAGCTGATAAAAACTATAAGAGATTTTTATTTTCTCGAAATATGGTCCAGCTTTACGATCGCATTTTAAATTCTATTCTTCGTTCCCTCAATCACTCAAAAATCAATATTCGTACAAAAGCATTGCGTACTGTGTCTTCGTTGCTTGCACAATCACCAGACATTTTCTCTCTCCCCCAAGTTCAGAAATCTTTATCTGAAAGAATTGTTGACGTTTCCACTCAGGTTAGAGAAGCATCAGTTGATATTGTGGGCAAGTATATGGTCTTTAAACCTCAGTTTGCCAAAGACTTTTACATGGTGGTCTGCGATCGGTCAAGCGATACCGGTGCAGCTGTTCGCAAGCGTGTCATTAAGCTGCTCCATTCTATTTACCACATTGTCGAAGATGAACATATCAAGATTGAAATCACTGAACGTATTATTCGTCGCATTGATGACGAGGAAAAGTCAATTAGTGAGCTTTCTACAGGGATTTTAACAGAATTGTTTTTCCCGCCTATGAAGTCCAAATCTGCTGGTGATATGGTTGACGAGTTTGAGCAGCGCAAGACTGCACGCGAGATTGCATCAATTTTGCTTGCTGTGTGGTCCCGTGGTGACAAAAACTCGCGTTTTCTTCGGGACTTGTTTATAAAACTTTTCCACCCAATCAGGGGCACTGCTTCCCCGGCTGTAAAGATCACAGCCAAATATTTGATTGAAGACTTGGTTGAACAAGCCTCGCAGTATCAATCACTATCTCAAGCAGAAAAGATTCTCGGACTTTTGTCTGACATTATAGGTGCAAATGGGTCGTTTATGATCCAAGATCACTTAATGCTCCTTAGTGGGTTTATTTCCGATGAATCCCCTGAAGCGCAAAACTGCTGTTACTATACCCTTTGTATTTTCCACAAAACTCTTGACAAGATGGGCCCACTTCGCCCCCAACTCCTAAAAGACTTGCAGGGCACTCTTTTGAAGCGACTTGGAAAGTTTAACTTTAAGGAGCTTTCTGAAGCTATTCCTTGTCTTTGGGTAGTTTCAGTTATGAAGGGAGAAGCAGAAAAAGTTGCCAAGGTTTGCAAATCATGTATGGCTTCTGTCGAGCCCAGTTACCGAAAGGCCTTGGCCAAAACCCCAGTTGAAGACCAACGCCTCAATAAGTTTTTGTTCATTCTTGGAAACATTGGACAATACTGTAACCTTGATGAATATATAACGCAACTTTCTGCTTTCCAACAAAAGAACAATATCAAAACAACTCTCCCCGAGCTTATCATTGCCAAGTGTACAGTTTTTGCGGACCCAGTTCAGTCCATAAAAACTCGCAAAATGGCAATCAAAAATATCTGCAATATTTGCACAACCCATCCACTATTGTTTCTTTCTGCACCTGTTCTAAAGGTTCTTGATGCTGTGTTTAAAGACTCCGATGATTCATTAAAAGATACTTTGATGCGATCTTTCACTTCCTTCTTATACTATGAAGAAGATGTTGCTAACGCCAAGTCGGCAATGAAAAACACGAACAAACCTGACAATGTTGACTTGGAAGTTTTTTTGGGTGTTACAGACAAATTTCATAATGATGGTGCATCTGCATCTTTAATGCAACGTTATCTCACTAATATTATGGATCTGGCACTTTCCGGAGAGACAGAATTTGCTCACACTGCATGTCTTTTACTTGAACGTATCATTAGACAAGGTTTGGCTAACCCCCGTATCGCTATCAGCACAATTATTGCTTTAGAAACGTCCAAGAAGCGCGATATTTCCGTCATTGGGCGCGAGATGCATACAAAGCTTCACGACAAGCACGAAAGTTTGATTGACGGAAGTTATGTCGAAGGTGCAAAGCATGCTGCAAACTATCGCATTAAAGTATCGTCAAATTTGTTTAAAGAGTTTGATAACTTTTCCGGCTTTTACCATTTTCTCAAAAATAGCCGTCAGGCAAAGAAAAAATTCCTTCTTGGATTATGTCGCACTTTTGATTTTGAGCCAACTCAGGATTTTAATGAGCTTGATCATCATATCAAGTATCTTGTATATATGTCAAACTCACTCTCCACTCTTCATTTTTACATGGCTGAAGAGGTCATGTACTTAATCCACGGTCTTGATAAAATCATATCTAGCACTGGTGTATCTGTGTCACACTACTGCGAAAAGATTTTAGAAAAGTTTCAGGAAACAGAGCAGACCAAAACCGAATCCACTCAACAAATTTCCGAGATACAAGAAGAGGAGACTATTGATCTTACTGCAATTTTAGACGCAAGTAGAGTGGGAGAATTCATCCATGTGGATTCTAGCGCACTTGCCAAAAGTTCTGGTTCCACACAAACTATTGTTGATGGGCCCGGGAACAGGTCCGCTAAAAATATTGAGGAGACTGTAAGTCCTGAAGAACTCGAGCGGTACGCGAGATCTGCGGTTCTTGTAAATATACTATGGGATCTGCGCCAATTCTTGCGCAAGGCGTACAATTTTTCTGAAGAACGGATTCAGAGTTTTGACATTAGCAAGCTTGGAAAAGATCCAAAAGCAGCATCGCGCTCTGTCGCTCAAATGTATGAGAAGTTGGATATAGATCGCACGGTGGACTTAAATAGTAGCTTCACAGAGAACCCCAAGGCAAACCTTGCTCGAATCGAGGCATTTGTTACTCACGTTTCGCCAGACTCTTTAAATCCTGACGACTACTTTGATGGAGAAGGAGATGAAACGCTTGTTTCAAATACAAGCCAGCCGGCAACAAAAAAACGAAGTCATAATGGAAGCTCTGGCAGCCACCACGGATCGAAAAAATCTCGCCATAATAATGATTAAAAAAAAAAGTTCCCAAAACTATGGGCGTGTATGATTAGGTTTTATTTTTTTTATTATATATATAGGAAAATTTATATTTGTGCTTTTAAATTAATACATTAATACCTATTAAATAAATATACAGATATATATTCACGAGCATTTTTTTCCCATAAAGAATGCTTTATCGATTTCTAGATCTTCTTGATCTCTCTCTATCCCGTTCTCTGTCCATTTCGCGCTGCTTGCGAGTACCTGTTTTGCGACCCATACTATAATTCAAATTACGCTCAAAAGATCTTTTCCCTAAAGCACCAGAACCCGATCGGCGAAGACGTTCTGCCACAATTCTCTCCGGTGGTTCAGCAAAAATACGTGATGGCTTAGTTTTGGTGTGCATAATCGGAGCCGGTGAACCATCTCGGCGCGAGCGGTTGGGAGAGCGCGATGGCGATCGCGACCATGAGCGGGACCGAGAACGGGAGGGAGACCGAGAGCGAGAACGCGACCTGGAGCGCGAGTATCCAGGTGAACGAGATCGGCGACGACCGTTAGGAGATGGCGAACGTGAATACCCACGATCCCGTGACCGTCGGCCAGCGGGCGAGCGTGAGCGCGAGCCTTCATCCCGTGAGCCACGATGCCGACTGCTTCTCCGGCGGTCCTCCTCCATGTCTTTGTCTCCATCATCATAATCTCTCGAAGACCGTTGTAGCGCGTTAGAATTCGTGGTATCTTTGTTCTCTTTACTTAAAGACTCTTTTTTTGGTTTGGCTTGTGTGGTATTTCCTGGGTCAAGAATCAATTCAGCAGTGGCTTGACCATCCTGATCCTTGCCATATTTGACACCCCATCTTTTCAAAGATCGAACACCTTCCTTTTCTTCCATTTCTATCCATTCACCCAGCTTCTCAGGTGGTATATAATCGGCCATCATATATGGACGATGCTCATGTTGCGGGGGAAATCGAGACATATGGATGGCCTCACGAGCGAGTTTGGACGCGTTTGTATCTTCAAACTCAACAAAACAGTGTGTTCTAATTCTATCAAACCATATTTTTTTAGGTTTCTGACCGCCTGCACATAAAATAATGTGTCTTTGAAGTTCAAGAATGACTAGTGGTCGTGACAAATTCCAGATATAGATTGTATTGGTAATGGGGTATTGGGATGGGACCGCGTCTGAATCAAAAGCAGGGTTTGGTTCCTCCTTTATTTCTAAGTCCGTATTGGCATCATTATTTGTATCAGCCAATGATGTATCGGGCTCTTCTTTCACTTCCGGTTCAGTGGCGGACTCGGTAGCAAGTTCGCCCTTAATTTCAGGTTCGACGGGTTGTTGAGATGCGAGTTCTTCGGTTTTAACTGGTTCTGTCGTATCTGCCATATTTTGGTCGTCCACAGGGAGCTTTTCAGATTCAATGACTTCTGATTTTATTGTAATATCACCTTCAGATTCAGATTGAAGCGACATTTTATTGGGAAATCAATTGGTTGTTAAAAAGAATGTAAATATTTATGAAAAAAAAAAAACAAAAAAAAAAAACAAAAAATTAGTATTGAGGGGTGATGCTGCCATAAACTGTGGATAAACGAAGAGGCGCTTAGACAGTGAGCAAAAAAAAATTTTTTAGAGCTGTTGACCAAAGTGAAAAATTGGCAAAGACATAGGAACATCTGCTATAGATGTGTTACAAGGTTTAATGGGTTAGGTTAGTATGTTGCATTTTTGTTGCAGTTGACCTGTTCAATTGGAGACACGGCTTGCGGAGATTTTCAAGACGGTCTGGTGGTTACGCTCCGGGAACTTTTCCATTATCCAAGATTTCGAACACACCTCCCCCTTCATTTTATATAATAAAGATATTCTTTTTTAAACACAAATCGTTCAAAGCCCACTCATTAGGTGCATATAAGTTTCTATAATGGGTCTCTATGGGCTGGATGATCAAACTCGACGACTTATTCGTCTTGAGAACTTTAAGGTAAGGCAAAAACTTGCGCGAAATGAACACTTGCTCTCCTTTGGCTGCCCCCTTTTCAAACCAACATTATTAACACGCGAATGCTTGCGGAAAACTATAGGACAACTTTTCAGTTAAAGAATTTATAGAAGTAGTTGCGGTAAATTATGATGGGTTCACAAGCTCAAAGAATACTGAAGGTATGTAAAAAAACAAAAAACAAAAAACAAAAAACAAAAACACTTATACTTACCACATTTTTTTCACAAGCACTGGATCCCAAACCTTACATTCGAACGTTTGAAGCAGTTCTCCATGAATTAGAGCGACTTCAAAATGATATTTCTAATCATGAAAGCGCAGCAGCAATTGAAGTTAAAAATGCTGAAATAAAGCACTGTCAAAATGTTATTGCAACTTCTCAAGAAATTACTGGTGTGCTGCGCGATTTTGGAGCACTTGACGATACAGTTGGTGATATTTCAACAGCAACTTCACAGTTAAATGGCCGACTAGAGAAATTAAGTCTTCAATACGAAAAATCTGTTGAATCAAGTTTTTTGATAAACTCATACCTGAACATAAATAAACACAGTTCGTGCGAAGGCTTAGAGCGGTTATGGGAGTCAAATCATCCCGCAGACAAAAGAAAATGCGCAAATGTGGTTCGACAAATTCAAATTCTTTCACGAAAGCTTGAAGATGTTGAAAATGGAGAAAAATCTAGAGATATTATCGACAAATTTGCCGAAAAGCTCGAGCGCGATTTACTTAACGATTTTGATACAGCATACAGATCTGCCGATTTGGTAATCATGAAAGAGTCGGCAGACATTTTGACAGACTTTAATGGAGGATCCAGTGTAGTCCAAATGTTTGTTAACCAGCATGACTACTTTATTGTCCAGGAAAATCTTGTCGATGAGTCTTTAGTCATGAATGATGAGGTCTGGACTAAAATTTGTGACCCTGAGGGTGACTACAGCGAATTCGAGGACACTCTGACAAAAATGGCTACAGGCATGGAAGATGTTATTATGCAAGAACTTCAAATTATTCGAAAAGTTTTTAGGGACCCAGTAGTCATTCTCAAAGTTTTCCTTCAGCGTGTATTTGCTCAAAAGATTCAACTACAAATTGAGGCATATCTTAAAAAGGCTGAAAGTTTATCATCGCTCGCCTACGTCCGTACCCTCCACGTCGCATATACTAAAATCAAACTCTTCACAACTTCTCTTAAATCAGCATTTTCCAAACAGAACATTGATACTAATGATGAACTATCTGCCTTATTAGACCAAAACTTTTTAGATAACTTTGTACCGTATATTGAAAACGGCCAATATTTCGATGCTGAACTTAGAAGTTTGAATGAAGTTACTATGCAGTCTATGGCGAAATTTACCGAAGCACACAATCATAAACTTTCTAGGGAGCAGTCGCTATTAAGCAGGTTTACTTCTTCGGGCGACAAGCAAGCTGGACCTCTGCCAGCAGGTACTGCCGGAGCAGCTGTGTCAGACACCACATTAGAACGCCATGGAAGTTTCAGTAGTCTTAACAATAATTCCAAAGAAAAGGAAACTGGTCGTATTGGCCAACTGATACGAGCTGTAAGACTTGAACGTACAAATTCAGATCGTAAACCCGGAGAAAATCATTTTGGCATGCATAGCAGCGGTAGTAGCAGCAATCTTAATCAGTATACTGAATACGACGAAACTGATGGTGATATTAAGCCAGAAATGGTCAGAAGAATTTTATCTTCAATGGCAGAAAGCGTTAAACGTGATTTGGAGATGAGCGAAGCTTCTCGCATTCCTGGACATGCAAAACTCTTTGTGAACCACCTTCTCAATTCTTTGTGCAAAAATTGTATTGACATTGTTTTAGAAGAAGCTTATCAATTAAGTTTAAACCAAGAAATCAAATCTCAGGTCGATTTATCATACCTCAAACTTATTAGCGATGCATCAAATGCCATAATGCTCATGTCATCCATGATTAAAACTGTCATTTACCCAATGGTATCTACAAGTTCACCCCCAATGCGCACCGTCATTACAACATTGGTTAATACTTACTATCAACGATCAGAAACTAAAATTAACAAGACAATTTCTAATACTGTGGAAACCTGTATTAGCCGGTTGTCATATTTGTTATCTAGACAAAAGAAGAAGGACTTTTTGCCTAGGGAAGATAGCATTGAAATTGTACAGCAAAGTGTCACTTGTACCGAAGTTATTGTCTTTTTAACTATGATCCATAAATCTGCCCTGACTGCTCTTGATGGTGACAACCTTACAATGCTTTTAGAAGATATCGGCTTTGGCTTTAGAGACCTTGTTTTAGATCACTTTAAGAAATTTTCAGTGAACCGGACAGGTGCACGCATTGCTGCAAAAGATATTGATCAATATCATGAAGCTATGGAAAGATGGTCTGTTCCTGCAGTTTCATCTGCATTCATGGTTGCTGATGCCATTGCAGAATTGTTTACGGTTTCACCTCAGAATGTGAGCCAACTTATCCGCAACACACCAAACCTATCTCAAGCCAAATTTTACAACCTTAGAGAATATCTAGCAAAACGTGCTGATTTCACATCTGATGGAATCGTCGATCAGCTTTCAGCTTTGGAACTGGCAGGCTCCGGTCGTTCACAGTAAATTAGAATACCATTTATGTAATGGAAATGCAATACAAATGATTTTTTTTATTTAATATTCTTTACATTTTTATTTATTTATTCATTTATTTATTCATTGTAAATAGATCGTGATAAAAAGAAAAAATACAAAAACGTTGGAATGGCAATATATGCAAGTTCTTTCCCAACTACTTTCCAAGAAGAGCGCTGAGCCATCTTGCGGCGCATGCGACGCCATAACGCTGTAAAATTAGCATTTCTACTGTTATGTGACTCATCCAAAGCAAACGTAACAGTTTTACGCACTGGAACCTCAGGAGAAGCTGAAGGTGACGATGATGATGACGATAGTCTTGATGTCGCTGTTGTTGTGGCTGCTCTAGCTGTAGATTGCTTTGTTATTTCAGAGGCATAAGAGGGCAGCAGACCTCCTGATACTGGGTGAAGTGTTGGTGATGATTCCGGAGAAGAATCTGGGGAGTATGGAACCGACGAATAAAGAGGTCTGCGACGAGTGAGGATGGCGTGAACTGTAGATGGGAAAATCTCGGGCAAAAAGTTAATTAAAACAGAGAGCGAGACCGTAAGGCCTATAAGCGAAATATAAAGAACAAACGCTCTAAAGGGGTTAGGCATCAAACAAATTCGTGTGGCATATGAAGGAGTTTGGGGGTTATATTTAGGATCCGATGTATCATGATAAAGTGTAAGAAGCTGAATTCCTGGATGACCAATGCCCATAGCCATTGAGATGGATTTTGCTGTATATTCTGACGCTGAAGCAGTAGGCTGATTTTCTAAAGACGTTCCATCGTTTGAAGAAGAAATGGTATAATTATGAACTACATAACAAGCATCATGGTCATCACCCGAAAAAACTGCTGCTGGCCTTAAGGCATTTAAAATAGTTTGGGATAGTTCCGGACTTGCCATTGTCTGATATTGATACCCTTTAACATATGGGAGTGGTTTTTTGCTTTCACGGTGCCGACCGCAAGGATGCTTAGGGTCTCTGAAGAGTGGGACATGAGAAAGAAGAATGCGAGGGCTTTGATTGTAAAAGTCAGGAGTGTTGATAATCCTGTTAAGGAAGTCATATGGCTTTGAGTACACTGTCTTATTTTCAGTGTTGAGCATAGAAATAGTATCCAACAATACAAGAGTGTGGTTGCCGATGTCAACAGTAGAAGAAGGTTCACCAAAGTACATAGAAAATCGTTCAAGGGCATGATAAACAATTGTATTTCCATAACCAATATCATGGTTTCCAGGAAGGCTCATAATGGTTCGTTTGTAGGGCGGTTTTGTAAAGATTCGATTCCAACGCTCATATTCCTTATACCAAACGTTATCGGACCATTCTCTACCTCCATCAAACAAATCACCCAAAAAAATATTGGCATCGGGATCAAGCACAGAATTTATATAAACCCAGTTGCGTCGAAGATAGACATCAACAATAAATTCACTAATGCGTTGGAAAATCCAATTGCGACTAGGGTATGTATGATCGTCAATAAGTTGGGGGTCAGCAACAAGTGCTATACGAGCTGGGTGCACATCAGAAGGCCAGTCCTTGTCTTTTGGCCATCGGCAAGCTGAAATAGCCGATCTAGGATAAATCCGCTCGCCGTAATAAAGGGCTAAAAACCAGACAACTAGAAGAATATGTATGTAAGAAAGTGATATCTGCATATTTTGTGCAAGTGTGATGAAGAAAACAAGGGGAGGTATGCTTTAAAGAATTTAGAAAGGCATTTAAATCGCTCTTAAAATTTCGCACATTCCTCGAAGTAGATACAATGTAGTGAGATTGTATTTGATAAAACTAGATTGAATTTCTATCAAGTATTCAAATGTTCATGTAACCGGCCGCAATGAGCTGATGTTGATAATAGTTATGGGGTTTAGAAAGAAACTTGACGGAGTGGTGTTTATGTTGTGTTGTTGTGTTGATTATTTTAAGTAATTAATTAAAATAATAAACCTATGTCACGTGACATTTTTTTAATTAACTTCACCAAATTTGAAACTGCCAAAAAAAAAAAAAAATTGGAGATCTCTAAAGATAGGCAAGTGGGTTATTTTCCACAAAAAGCTTTTGTTTTCACCCAAATATATTATTACAAAAGATTATACAGGTTAAAAAAACAATGGTCAATGATACACTAAAACAGACCTCTTCAGATTCAGGAAAAAGACACCTAAGATCAAAAAGCCGGGGAAAATCAGTGCCCCCTACAACATATATCTTTGACTTCGATCTTTTGCAAAATAATGTCGACTTTGATCAGCCGTTTGTAGTTGGCTTAAAAATACCGGATGAAAAAAAATCATTAAAGGATCAGTCTTTAAAGTTCCAACCATCATCGATTTCCTCATCTTCGTCTTCATCTGGATCTTCGGTCGCTTCAGGAGAGTCGGAAAGTGTACCATCTTCAATTCAAACACCAGTCTCCCCGGCTGATCCTTTGCCTCAAGCATCAGTGCAAGAAAATAGAAACAATCAGCGAGTTGAGTTCAAGATATTTTCTTATGCTGGAATATCTACTGGACGAAGACACACACCTGATCCGCTGGTCAATGCTACGTTTGAGCCCTTCCACAAGCACATGGAGCGGGTTGAAAAAAGAGCCAGACAACAAGAACGTGAACGAAGTGTCAATGAGCACGAGAAACTTAAACAACTTAAACACGACCTTACTGGCCCGTTATGGCGGAGCATCTTACCCACTGTGACAAAAATAAATAATTTAAAAGACAAAGTGGAGATGGAAACAAAATGCAAGAAAACCATTAACGAAATCAATTTTTTTATGGATAGATATACCAAATATCGGCAGCTTGAAAAGAAAATGCAACTACACAGTGTGGTTTCATACGACGATGATGAACATGCAAGCGTAGGTAATATATCTAATCGCCGTGATAAAGTGGAGAATATAAGAAATGAAACAAAAAAACAAAAGATCCAAAATACACCTAAACGACGAAGTGTTGGAGATTTTGTTTCAGAAACCAAGGGGGTTGTGCACAATACATATGATCCCAAGGAACCTGGAGTTGATTATGTATCTAGTGAAGACGAAGAAGATCCAAACGCACCAGGACAGTGGGAATGGGTCTATGATGGGTACGGAGCGGGAATTCGGGCCAATCAAAGGTGATATATCAGAGCGATTAACTTGTGATTTAAAATTTACATATTGATATGCGAGTGTTAAGAAGTACATTACGATCTATTGCTATCTGACAGACATACATCGACTGTCTGTTGTTGTGTATTAGTAAGTCACGTGCTCGAACTGAAATTTGGCCTTTTCTCCTAAGCTTGAGATTTTTTTAAAAAGTAACCATAATATCATTCTCATATTCAAAGCTTTCAGCAGCTTGCAATTGTTATTTTAAATTGAATTTTCAATGACTCGAACACTTCTTACAGTAAGCACAAAAAACTCATGTTCAAATTTTATACTAATTTTTTTTCTTTTTTTTTTTTTTTTTGTCTTGCGACTAGGTTAACGCTCGAGTAGTACCGGCGATCCATACAGGTCTCGCCTTGACGGGGTTTTTTGCAGCTTTTGTAACTGGGACTCTTTTGCATTATACAAAACTTACTCAACCTTTTGGTATTGGCGAATGGCTTCCATCTGCATTAGTGGTCATTGGACGGTATTTTCCTGAACGGTCGATATTCCAAATATTTGCAGCACTAGCTTCGTGGTTTCATATTGGGATCGTTGTGATCTGGTACTTTATAACTAAGACTCCGAACTCAAAAGTTCCAGAACTAGTTTTTGCGTCAGGTTTGGTGAGGACAGTGTTTTTGGCGGGGATCATATACATTCCGAGCCAAGATGATCATGATACGCATGACAAGTGTTTTGCAGGATATCTTTTAATGACTGGTATCTGGTTTTACGGCCTCCTTACCTTTACTGGAGGTACACAAGATGGAGCACAACAAATGAAGGGAGAGAATGTGGATCAAAGTGCAAGCGAAATTGCTGACTCAGAAGCAGATATGAGCATATTACCTAGACATGAGCAAACCATTAAATCACGGGAAAAACCTTCAAGTAAGCTTGGGCACGAACAAAACGAAGAAGATAAAGAAGATAGTAGTAAAAGATACAGAAAACCCCATGCTACTGAAGGATACAAACTTCGAAAACAAATAGCAATTACATATGCCCTATTGTTCATTCCTTTGGGCCACTACATGATGCAGACACGGGTTTATGGTTTATCCGGAGCTGTGTCTAAGTATGCTATTTTTGAATGGCTGGCAATTATTCTTGATATTGCATTTGATGGGGTAGCCATGAAAGAGTTTAATGGACTAGAATTGAAGGTATTAGCATACCCATATCCATCCCATTACAACGGATCACTTGGTGACGAAAAAGACGAAAATCTGGACGAAGATAAGACAGTTTCTTCATCTCAAAAGGAGCACATGGAACGGTACTTTGCTTGATCTATTTTGAAGATTTTAGAGTTTAATAATAATGCCATTTGTTTCTGATAATAAATATTGAGTAATAAAAAGTGTAAACTGGCATATTAATATAGTAGCGGTTAATGTTGTATTTCTTTAAAATGGAATTATCAAGAAGAAACAAAAGTAGTTTTTGTTAAGACAAGGAAGCTTTTTTGACTATTTTGATCACAAACAAAAACACAAACAAAAAAAAAAATTACGCACTATTAATATTAAATTAAATATTTGAAATACAAGTCAACTACAAGCAACATCTACAATAGAAAACTCCGTTATGAATGACCTAGAAAGAAAAATTTTACGAGAGCTTGGAGAAATCTTAGATACTTGCGAACGGACGTAAGTCAATATATAAACCCTTTTTTTTTCAAGAAAAAGTGTTCATTATTACCCAGTGAAAATCTTGCCCAACTAATGACAGAATGCATTATTTAGGAACAAAAACCTTCAAGACACTCTTAATTTAGTAATAGAACAGCGTCTCAACGGTGGTCTGCGATATGCTCATTTAAATGGGAAGAATGATGATTCGCTCATGGCTGTCATGGTACAGTCAAGAGATGCTTTGCGCCGAGCATTGGATGTCTTGTCGCCTGGTGGTGATGAGCCTTAGTAGATTATAAAACTGAGGGTACGACGGCTGCTGATACACATGAGCCTTAAATTGGAAACTGTAAATTATAATTTTTTTTTATTATTGTCATCATATAAAACTAAAAACCTTTGCCTATTTTTTTTTTGTCCTCTTAAACTTTTTTTCTCCATATTTTTATTATCCCTATTAAAATTTCTCCATTCTTCTATTTCGCATACCATCCAAAACTAACCTCCAGCAATGCTCATCAATCTCATTTTTGGGCTTTTTTATCTTAGTATTATAAACGATTTTGAGCTGGGGTATAGTGTTGCCAGAAATCTAACCGGCTTCCAGTATTATGACAGCGGTTCCCAGCTTATTTATCTGGCCCCAGGTGGTTCTAATATACTAGGATCATGGGGCACCACTTATCTTCCTTTTGTTAAAGATCCTAATCTTGATTATTGCATGAATTCGTCCGTCATTCCTCCACGATCAAATTCTCCTGATGCTGGACCTTATGGTTTAACGACAGTTACTATTTACGACATTCCAAAATATACAGTCCCCGTAGCCATTGCCCCATATGTTGATAGTCAATGCGCAAACGCCTTTGCTGACCAGGCCTCTGCCGACAAAGCCAAAGTTCTCATTTTTGTTAATGATCAGAATGTCAATGCTTCGACTCTTTTAAATGCACCTTCGGGCTCAGGCGCTCTTGGGTACTCAATGATATCGACATCAATTGCCACTGGCTCTAATATACTTTACGCCATGGTGAAATTTCGCACAAATGAAACAACCTCTATATCACTTGACCCAGCATTAAATAGTACTATACCGCGAATTGGTGTTGAGTTTCTGAATCAAAATGGAAATGGTCTCTCAAAGTTATGGATAGCTATTCTCTCTGTTCTTGCTGGAATTCTGGTTTTTTTCATTACTATTTCCCTTACACTCAACCTTATTCAACTCCGCCGCAGAAGAAACTTACGACAGCGCATAGTCCGTGGCGAGGTTAATCTCGAGGTAATGGGCGTTTCCAGAATGACAGTTCCCACTTACATTTTAAATTCTCTTCCTATTCGTACATACAAGTATGGTGAGATGCATTTTTTGACAGAAGATGAGCGGAGGAATCTAAATACGGCAAAGACTGTGACATCGACTGATGTTCTCACAGCCCGGTCTGAAAACTCTAATGATAAAAATTTCGTCGCTGCCGCTTCGACAAATGATGATACAAAATCGAGCTTTGAGTCTGTCGACGAGCCAAAATCCCGCAAGAACGTTTTACAAACCATTAATAGTATTTCAGAAGATGATGATGTGAGTAAAGTTGCAAAATCAGCACCATTCGGCAGAGTTCTATCCTCGGACAATCTAAGCGCAGTTCTTGATTACTCAACGACACTCTCAGATGAAGAAACTGCGGGACGGAAAGTCGGACCGGAAACAAAGGTGGTAGGAACCTGTGGGGGCAGCGGCTCCAACACTAACCTAGACGAACAAAACGGGAACACCCCTACAACAAGCCACGCGAGTAACGCCGCACCCCACACAAAACCCACTAAATCACTACTCATTGACAATAATGAAGATGAAGATGAAACAAATTCTTTATCTGCAAAGAAAATCCCCAAAAAGAAGAGATATGGATTTCATCGCGTTAATTCTGACGATGAGCAGAATGAGGAGCACATTTATAACCAAATATCATGTCCTATTTGTTTAGAAGATTTTGTGGATGGCGAAACTGACATCCGCGAGCTTCCGTGTCGCCACATCTACCACATGGAATGTATCGACCCATTTTTGCGAACACGCTCAAGTTTATGTCCACTCTGCAAGGTGTCAGTGCTACCTCCAGGTTACATTCCTCGTGACTTGAAACTCACTTCTGCAACTATTCGACGAGAGCGTATTATGGCTCGTCGTGCGGGGCGCACAAGGGACCTGGAGCATGGGCAAGCCAACGATACAGAGCAGCAGCAACGACAACAAGCGTCTCGTGGATTCTGGAGCCGTAATTTTTTACGAAGAGATCAACAAGATAATGGTTATGTCGATGAGCAAAATAATAACACCAATGATAGCTCGGAAAGTCACGGACAAAGTATGTCTATGCAGACTTTTAACAGAATCCGGCGCCCTTCAAGGGCTGTGACACAGCCACCAAGAAATGACTCTACTAATCGACCTAGTGGACGGCGGCTACGTGCTAACTTAAATGACATCCCATCTTCAAACCCGGTAGAGGATGTGACGATATCGCCATTTCAAATGTTGTTTAGACGACTCTTTCCCCACTCCTAAAATTATTTTCACGATGTCATGAGTTATATGTATACCTTTAATGTTTTTTTTATAATAATAATACTTGTTTGCTTTAACTTTTATCAAATGAAAGAAAAACAGGATACTTGATTAATTTGGTTTTTGCTCTTATAATTTTTTTTTTTGATTATTTAAATAATGTTTCACCCAACAATTCACTTGACGAACAGAATACTTCAGCATATGAAAACTCTAAGGATTTCTAATGTAATTTATATGTTGTTTAGCATAAAAAACTAATATTCTCAAGAACCATTCATATCTTACCCCATTATTTTCAAACTTTAATATGATTACAACGCTTTTTGTAGAGTACTGTAAAAATACTTGTCATACTTTGTTTTAAAATATGTAGACAAATAGTCTAATGTGGAGTTTTTGTGAACAAAATTTTAGCAATAAATCTATAAATTTGAATATCTCTATTTGTTTGCCCAGGAAATTTATACATGAATACGTATCTACAATACATAAAATACAACCATTTGATAAAATTCATACATAATCTTATTTCATTGTATTTTATGGCTCAGGTACCTTAACAACGTAAAGCCCCAGTGTAACATAGGACGATAAAGTTCTTATTTCCAAAGTGGGTTAAAAACATTGGTAGTAGCTGGACCTTTAACAAACCATTGACCACCTTTTCTAACCTTGTGGCGTTTTGTTATCAACTAATTATGCTGATACATCTTAACAGGGTAAAAAGTATTATACTCTATTTTTTTTTTTCATTAACATAAACATAGACTTCTAGAAAAAAAAACAATTAATTTAAACAACAGAGAGAAAGAAGTCCACAACAGTATGGGTCAGATTGACCGCTTAGTCCCGTATTTCCACCTCCTGCCAGATTTGTTGCGATGTTTATAACATCCCCAACCATTGCAATATTTTGGCCTCCAATGTTCGGCTGATTAGGTTGGTTAAATATAGCTTGTTGTTGATTTAATGTATGTTGGTTTATAGCATTAATTTGATTCATAACCATGGCATCTTGGTATTGGTTTATTGCCTGGTTTTGTTGATGGAAAGTGGCTAGATCGGGTGGTGCGGGAGGAAAGCTCCTACTAGGGACATATGGTAGTCCTGGGGTCTCACCATAGTATGCATTGGTTTTGGTAGGAGGATCATTGGGATCAACTAGCATGGTTGATTTCAATAGTTGTCAAACTTGAAAAATATAGTGTTTAGCAAAATTTTCAAGTACTGTAAATAATGCACCAAGTGTCTGAATTCCAGAAGTTTTTAGTCAAAATTTGGGAATTTTAATGAGGTTGATTTGTGAAGTTATTTTTATCTGTACTTTTCAGCCGTTATATATAGAATCATTAATGAAGAAAAGTTTTGAGAAAAATAACTGTTGAAGATAAAGAGCTCTTTCACTCGATATATTTAAAGACACTTTGGGGGGTTTCCTGTATGTATGATCAATTTCCACTCTGAAATGCAGAAAGCTAGACCCACTTTAATTATCATAAACCATTGTATACCTTAAGGTACATAGATCCCTGAAGCTGGCGCAGCAGTTTAATTCTTTTTTTAAGGAAAACCGAAGACTCCGATCATTTGCTGCCGTAAAATAAAATTTTTGACAAGCAAAAAATTTCCTTTTGCTTTTTTACACTCTAAATTAAAGCCAAGCTTGATATTGCGCTTGGCAATTCTGGAAATAGAAAAAAAAAAAAAGAGGTCTTCTTCTGTTCAAACGACTTTTACGTTAATTTCTTTTTTTTTTTTTCTCTCTCTCTCTTTTATTTGAGTCTCCTCAGAATTCATTTAGCCTATATATCCAAATAATTCGGCCGTGGAGATTTTTTTAAATGAGGGGTGCATATGGGAATATCACATATGTATTACGTTGATATTATATAATCAAAGTGTTTTTTGAAAAATATTTTTTTCTTGGTGGCACGATGAGAAGGGTCACAAAAATAAATAAAATTAGGATTAGGGTTTATTAAAACCATTACACCTTTAATTTTCAGAGGAGGATGATTCTTTAATATCTAATCTATAGACTACATGTATTTAAACTCGGTTGTGTGAATATCAAACTTCAAGACCCTAATAATGTACGAATAGAATTCCCGTTTAAACCGACATTCCGTTGATAAATATACAAAAACTTATGATTTTTATAAAACTAACCCTTTCTTTGTTTTCAAAGCATTGCCACCAATATGCATATGGACGCCAAATCAAGTGCAATTCTCTCTTCATACCAGTCATCTCTCGCTAAAGATGACTCAGATATAAGTGACACTGATTCTCTTCTTGAATTACTTAATGATGACACTGATCCTGTATTTTCAGCATACCGTGAGCAACGTACTCAACAATTGGCCCAAGAGTTAAAGCAGTCACAAATCCGAGCCTCCGATGCAGCAAGAGTAGAGACTCTAACCTCCGAATCAGAGCTATTTGATATGGCTATTTCGATGGATTCATCTTCTCTTGATTCATCATCATCTATAGCTTCTACTAATACCAACACACCTAAATTAAGACAAGATAGCTATCGATCTATAATCATTCACTTCTTTCATCCAGATTTTCGCACGTGCAAACTTTTAGATGATGCTTTAACTAAACTTGCAGCTACACATTTTAATACTACTAAAATTGTGCGGATTAACGCTGTCACAAATGCACCCTTTTTAACATCTAAATTTGGGTTGCGAGTACTTCCAGCTGTACTTGGCTTTAAGGATGGAAAAATGGTAGCCAAATTCAGCGGCCTTGATAGATTTATTGATCCTAAAACAATGGCAAAGTTGGCTGTTAAAGCCGATGTAAATAATCAAAGTGCAAGCTCGCCTGGTAAACCAACAAGTCCAATGGACAATATTAAAGAATTAAATGTCGACTGGATTGAAAATGAGCTCATAAAAGTTGGTCTTCTTTTCCGAAATACCGGAAATTCCATCAAAAATGATTACAGCGATGATGAACAAGAATATAATAAAAAGAGAAGCATTAGAGGAAGTACTAAGAGTTCATGGACAAGGTCTGTTAAAACCCATGAGCATGATGAAAGCGATGATGATGATGGCTTGGATCTCTGATAATATATCAATCATTAATTAATTATTATTCATTATAATGAATATATTTAAGACTAAGCTTTTACTGTCAGTCTCTTCCTTTTAATTAGAAATTAATTATTTTTTTCAGAATTATGGCTAAATAATTATTCCAAAAAAAAAAAATAAAAACAAAAGAAGATGCATATGTTTATTTGCCATGTGAAATGCTATTCTATTTTTGGAAACCCTTTTGCGATCTAAATTCTTCATATTCTTAGGGAATTACATTTGCATATTTTTGATACTCTTGGACCCTTTGGTGATACTTGAAAGAAAAAAAAAAGGAGTAAATGATTTTTTTTAAGGATATCTAAATAATCTTAAGAACCTTAACCCTTTTTGACTGATCCATTTAATCAATTACACTAATCCTAAATTCCCAGCATTTATGAACCTTCAAATATTGGTCTAACAATATTATGATTATGATTCCGACCTATTAATATTGGGGATAAATTTATGTTAGGTTAAATATCTGTTTCTCTCTTTTCATATTGCACCTTAAATTGAAGCCAAGTTTTCAATCAAGCTTGGCAATTTTGTTTGGACACCAATTTTTTAATGTAACAGTTATATTTATTTCATTTATGGTATTTGACACATTTTTCATAATCCCCAGAATTACAATTAAATGTAAATTTATCAATAGCAACAAACCATTGAAGATGTGAAATGAAATGAATCTACTTGGAAAAGTTATTCTGAATTTTACTAGCTCACTTTAAAAGATTTTTACTAATATTGATAACGATTTTAATTTGAAATATATCAAGCCAATACTTTGCGCTAGTTTTAAAAAAAGGCCTAGAAATTTAGGAAACTTTTTAAAACGCAATATTTAAACTTCATAATTACCATTGCTTATGATTTTTGATGGCCCCTAAAAAATATTCCTGTTTTTTAAATGAATAAATCAAATAATGTACCGAAAATGTTTGAATGTTTTTTTTTTCTGAAGCGGCGTAAAACTTTTATATAATATATTATACGTGTATACGTATTACTACAGTGAATTATTAGTTGCATCAATGTCTAAAGGAAATATCGGTAGCCTCATTTCTATCTAATGATTACAAGTGGAGTTAAAAATATACTAATGTAGTTAGTTTCTGTAAAATAAATGTTTTCTTATCCAGTAACAAATGAAATTATTTATGATTTTCTCATAATATGATAAGATCTTCTCAAAGTGCTGTTCATTAATATACAGAAAGAAATAAAAAAAAATATAAATAGCCTTGAAAAGACCTACATATCATGAAAAAAAGAAGCAGTTCTTTAAATTTCAATCGTTTCATTTCTATTAAAATCTTTAAATAGACAACAATTTATTACAATTTTTTAAGCAATGGGCCGAACTCATTTAACCCAAGCTGTTCTTGAGGGTGAAAGAATTGCAAGCGAAAATCTTAAGAATCAACAAGTTCAAGTTCTTCAAAATGAAATTTATTCAGAAGAATTGCAAAATCAAGCTCAAACTCAAGGATATATAAATTCTCAAGATCCCAACAATCAGCCTGATTTGGAAAACCAGAATGTGGATACTGGAAGTAATAATGAGAATGAAAACGAGGATGACTCATGTTATTCATGTTTCTGTGGTGGATTAATTTCTTTATTTTGCTCAGAATAATATAACAGAGGTGAGTAAATAAATGTGATATAAATGAAATGGTTCAAAACATGTTGTCGTGAAATATTAAAATTTTGTTAATTCTGACCCAGTTTAATAAATTGTCAATGATTTAAGAGAAAACTACATTAATGTATATTGTTTTCCTTAACGGAACACATGTTGCAACATGTTAATTGGGACTATAATAATTAAAAGATAAAGCTATAGTAATAAATTGACTTCTAAAAAAAAATTCTAAGTTGGCTGTAATATTATACTATGATATCCAGAATTATCATTATTAGGAGTATTGGAAACTTGGTTACTAAAACTCACATGATGTTGTAACCTGGGGCATCCATTTTGCTGCATTTGTTCTTCCTGCCCAATCATATATTCATAGCGATACGATTGATCCTGTCGGTCAAGTGAATGATTTTCTTGTCGACGTATTATTCCGGTTCTAGCCTTGGAAGCCAATCTTTTGTTTTTTTCCTTAAGGTCCATTAGCTTTTGCTCGATTTTGATGAGCAAACTTTTGATGAGCTCCTTTATTTGTTTAATATACAACAGGACTATGTTAGAGGTAGGAAGAAACCGCTCCTCATTCTCATCGCTGCCACTGCTTTCTTCACCTCGATTCCACCATTGCCCTATAAAGTTACTTTTGCTTGTATTCCTTTCAACCGCATTAACACTTCCGTTATTTTTGTTGTTGTTATTTTTAGCATTTTGTCGACGTCGGCGTCGACGTCGACGTCTTAAACCAGTAATTCGTCGACCCATTCCTCCTTCACTATAATCATCTTCTTCATCTGTCGATGCAAAGTTTCCAAATGCATTTTCCAAAGGCACTGGTCGTAAAGTGCTGCGACCTGTGGTATGAGTAAGTGGCTGACCCATGTACCCCACATATTCTGTTGATGTTGGAGGCCCTGTCGGTGATGGAGAAGACATGCGAAACACAAATCCAAACCCTTCTCCTAAATCAGGATCTTGAGAAATTGGTGCTGATGACTGTTCCATAACAGGAATCATTGTTGTGGGAGAAAGTGCAGGGTTCATTGCCATCGCAGGGGGAATAGTCTGCATTTTGGATCTTGTTGATGTTGTCAATGTCACTGGTGCTGTAACGAACACATTATTAATATGTTGCTGGGATTTTATTTCTCCAGAAGAAGATTTAACAATATTATTAAGCGGTTGTTGCAAAAATGCTTGACTTGGTGGTGCAGGAGCTGGACGACTAGGAATAGGTAATGAATCGTAATCAACAAATGTTGGATCAAGTTGATTGGGCTCAATAGTTGAGCTCGGTTGGCAGACCTTATCTGAAGCATTGTTAATTTTGCCAAGTGTTAAAGAATCTAAGTTCTCATCAATGGTGTTATCATTGGTTTCCCTAACAGCATCTATTCTTTTTGTGATCTGTTGCCGTCCATTCATAAGATTTTCATTTGCAGCAAATTTCTTTCTGTCCAAATTTTTTAAAGCATCACCATCACCTCCCAAAATATTGTTAGACTCCATTCTCTGCACTTTTAAAGTTTCATTAGGTTCATCTTCTTCCACAAAATCAAGGTTTAAATTCTTGAAATTTGCAGAAACTCCATTTACTCCACCTCCCACAGTTTCGGCATATTGTCCAAACATACTCACTGTTGAATCAGAAGAAAAAATACCATCTGAATTCATTCTTCCCTGACTATTAATATATGGTGGCATAAGTCTCGGATGATAAGTTGGTTGTGATGATTGATTTGTTATTTGGGAAGAAACTTGGGGCTGCTGCTCTTCCTGGGAAGCCTGTGGCTGTTTAGTTTGCCTTTCTTGTTGCTGTTGTTTACGCTGGCGCTGTTGATAGTTTGTTATTGTACTACTAATAGATCCAAGCTTACTGCTAATGTTACTACGACCTTTTGACTTTTTTGTATCCTTGTTGAGTGCAGGAAAGGTAAACTGGGGTGCAACCTTGAACTCATCTAGTTCATTACCAGAATCTCCTCCAGAATCTCCACCAAAAGCTACTGCCGTCATTCCTCCAACTCCAGAAATTGGAATATTCCCCAAACTATCAACTTTATTCTCGTTATGAGGTTGAGCATTTACCCCATAATCGCCAGTGCCGCCATCAGCAATAGCATGATAAGGGTGTTGTTGTGGTGCAGTTCTACTATAGACCCGGTAGGGATTTTCTTGTTGCAACTCATTAAACTCATGCTGTTCATAAAAGGTCTCTTGTATAGCATTGGAATCAACAGCATAATGTGACGGTAAAGGATTTATTTTGTTGGCTTCTTTGTTTCCTTGAGAAGACAAATAACCATTAGCATCCATGACATTCCATTCAGTATCATTATCAGAATCAAAATAGGTTTCGCCATTCGATTTCAGATGAGATTTATGGTTTATTGGCAATTTTAAAACTTCAATGTCTTCTGTATAGGTTCCATTTGTGTGTTGGTGTTGGGAAGCAGAAACTCCTTCATTTTTATTACTTATCTCGGATTCAGGATTTTCATAATTTTGATGATATCCCTGTTGCATTTGATTTTGTAAAGCCTCTTGTAGTATTTCTTGTTGTTGTTTCAAATGTTCGTAATACTGAAGCTGATGCTGTTGTTGTTGCTGTTGCTGCTGCCTTTGCAGTATTTGATAAGGTGGTACGCCGGGTCCCCCAAAAACATGACCGAAGCTTTCCTCGCTAGTAATGCTAGCAGTTTCAACACCATCATCATCGCTGCTAATTTCTTTTATTTTTCCTTCACCTTCTAATGACAAAATCTCTTGACATAAAGGTGAAGCAAATTGAACAGTATTTTGAGGTTTGCTCTTCTTTTGATTACTCATGGATTCACGAAACTTATTTTCAAAAGGAAAATGTAAAGAACGCATAGAGCTATTGAGAATTGGAGATGAAAATATTTTGTTTGTATTTAAAGAAAGCACTGAAGAAGATGCTGCAGCCATGGTCGAAATCGAAAGCGAATGTATTGAACTAGTTGGTAAAGCTGCTGTATAAACACTGATATTTTGTTGTATTTGTATTGGGATAACATCAGTTTGATGCTTTGCTAATATTTTATTCTTTTTGGAATCAACTAATTCAAAAGTTTCCATATTTGGTGAAGTAACTGTAATGGAAACTTTAGATTTTTCAAGTAAATTCTTTTTTGATATATCAGATACTTTAGCATTCTCGTTTTTTTCATCATCAATTTTACCCAAAAAGCTATCCCCACCATTTATCATCCCAACATACAACTGTGAACCGTTATAATAATAATCTGGGTATCCTTCACTTACTGAGTCTCTTTCAGTAGACTCTGTGCCGGTGGTTATGCTACCTTCATATTCCAAACTACTTCGTTGACGGCGGTGTCTTGAAATATCGGCGTAATCCCCTTGAACTTCTTCAGCTTCAATTTCAAAAACTTTGTTCTGAGATGGAATATTACCACTCTGATTCTGCAATCTAATGAAGTCCTGCTCGTAAGGCCGTGATTGATCACGATTCTGTTGCCCAAGCTGTTGCTGTGGTTGTTGTAATACCTTCCCCTCTCCCTGTTGATTGTCTTCGTTTTCTAGTGAAATTGAAGAAGCCCAATCGAGACAAATAGGTGTGCTTTTCAGTCCATTTATGCAATTCGAACTTGGGTGTTCTTCCGATGATAAATCATTAAGAGAATTATTTTTTGCTGCAGAATCTGCTTTTAATTCATCCAGCTTATCTGATTCTGGTATATTTAAATGGTTTTTATTTTGAATAAAAGAATGTAAATTTGATTTGGAAACAGAAAGTCTGGAAGAGTTGATCCCATTTGATGACAAAAATGTTTCTTGTTTTTGGCAATAAGATTGTTGAGGTTTCCAATTGGTTGCGGATTCTATACCAGTGTCTTCATACTCGTCTGAAGAATATTCAAGTTCATGAATATCTTGACCCCCAGTTAAAAAAATTTCCTCACCACTGAAATCTTCCTCCTCTTCTTTGATAAATGACAATAATTGTTTGTAGGCTTTGTTGAGTTCATTTAATGATTGTGGTAAAGATGGATTATCGATGTTTTCGTAAAATGGTAATGAAATTTGGTATTGTTTGGCATCACCCATAGGGTGATGAATTATTGGCTCATCTGAGTCAATAGTATTACTTGTTTCAGGTTTATTTAAATTCAAACTAGTTACAGATGATTGAGACTCCTTGTTTGAATGAAAACTTGTTACAGGTGACTGGGGACCCTTTGAAAAATTAAAGCTTGTTACTGAAGATGGTGGAAACCCCTTCAAATATGGTTCTAATCCACTTTGAACAAGGCCCAACCAGTTTTGGGCCCATCCCATTTCTCGGTAATCATTATAATGCGCAGGTGCAACAGGTTCAGATTTCGGAGAATCCAAAGGGCTGGTGGTTTTGTTTTGTTTTCTTTGGAATCTTTTCTGTCTTTCAATATTTTTAGCATTGAAGTCACCGCTTGGATTGCGTTCATGGGTGATATTATCTCGAGGAGAAAACAAAATTTGGTTTTTGTTAAAATCTGAAAGGCGTTTAAAGCTGTTTGAGTTATTTCCATTTTTTGCCTCTGATTCTACTTGGTCCAGTGTTTTATGAAACCGTTTAAGAGTTTTAACTAAATCTGTTAGCTCCTGCTCTTTGCTAAAGATACGGTTTTTTTCGTAGATTATCTGAGCTGATTCTTCCTCATCTTCACCAATTTGAGATAATCTGCTGTTTAACTCCACTGAATTTAACGCACCAGATCCATCAATACAAGTATCATGTGTATTATCGTAGTTTGAAGAATGACCCGTTCTAAAGTTTTGATTATTAATATCTTTTTGAATTTGTTTATTAGGTAAATATCTTGATTTGCTTTTTAAAGAAAAAATGGAGCTGTTAGGGTTATAGTTATCATCGTTTTCATAGACTGGTTTATTTTCTATGTAACTCTTTTGACTAGCTGCAGATGGCCTGAATTTCCACTGGTTTTTGGCAACCTTTCCAACTTGTTGAGACACAGTTTGAATTTGGATTGGAGTAAGAGATTCCAGTTGTTTCTGTAATTTTAAGGTTGTTTGTTTAACTGATTCATTCCGTTTTAAAAGTGGGACTGATTCTGGGGATATAGGGCTTTCTGCCATTTTGTTCATGTGATCGAAACTTTGAGCTTCAACTTTAGTCACAGTAGAAACTCCTTCGTGATATTTGTTTCTTTTGCGGTTCAAAAACGATAACCTTTTCTTTTTAATAGGTCGTTTATTTTGATCTGAAGTTGAAGAACCAGAAGACTCAAAACGGCTAAACAAAGCATAAGCTGAAGCAATTTGGGACGATTTAAAATTGGGCTTTTTGCGAAGTGTGGGCTGCCGAAATTCTTGTTTTTCTGGATTGTCACTTTGAGACCCAAAAGATTCAAAACCATGGTGATGCTCGTCTCTAGCCAACGAATAGTTGGATGTTATATTTTGGTAAGCCTCAGGTGGTAAAGGTGGTAGTGGAGCAGTTTCTTTTTCTTTTAAAGACGCCAATATAGATTTTCGAGCAATTTTAGATGAGTTTTTTTTATCAATAGTGTTAGACAAATTATTATTATCTTGAGATTTAACAAACGAATCGTGAGTTGCCGTAGGAGATAATATCTCATCAGGTTCTTCAGGAATACCCTCCATAGGTTGATGAGTTGCAGAACCAAATCTTGGACGAGTTATGTCTTCAACTCCGCTATCATTTATAGTATCTGAATAAATACGACCTATGCTGTTGTATGGGTCACCAAGGTTATAATATTTTTGAAAGCTTTCGTCATATTCGGAAGAAAGATATTCGTCCACAATTTCATTTGAATCTGTTAATTCATCTGAATTTAAAGATGCAAAATTGGGACGGTTTGAAAGGTCGTATTCCGGTGAAATTTTTTGGTTTGCAGGTTTCATAAAGTCCGCACTAAATGAGTTCAAATATAAGTCTAATTATTATTATTAGAATAAGTTTGAAATCGAAAATAGGGGAAAATATTTTATTAAATTCAAATACACATACCTTTATATAGTGAGAAACCTTGCCTTTGGTTATCGGAGTGATTTTCTGCCATCTTGATATTTCCATTTGATGAAATATCAAAGTGAGGTTGATAATCAAAAGAATGAAATTCAATGTTGACTTGAATACAAGTAACTTGAAAACTACTTAAATGAAAAGACTGATTAATTTTTCTAAAGATAAATAAGTAATAATGAAAGTGTTTTATTGATTAAAAAACTAGTCTCAGATAGTGCTAAGTGTAAAACATATATGAAAAAAGAAGAGAGAAAGAAAGAAAGAAAGAAAGAAAGAAAAAGAAAACGAAAGCTGGTAGACTTTTCTTTGAGCTTTTCAAAACCTTTTTAAAAGCATCATCAATAAAAAAATACTCCTACAGTTTCTTTTTAAAGAAAAACACAATGAGAATATTTTCCCTTATTTTTCTAAAAAAAATAGAATTTGAATGATATTCATCTTTATTAATTTCGCCTATAAATTACGATGTGATTTTTAAAAATGTAACGCCAGCATCCGACTTCTTCATCTTAAGGTGAAAGAAGGTATCAGTTGCCGAATGAATTAGCATAATATATATGGCTCAAATAAGAAAGTATAGTAAAGGATAACGTTATAAGCAACATGTGAATGGGCATAAATAGCATAAAAAGTTAACATTTGTACGCGAAATAGTCGCGTAAATGAGAATTAAATTCCTAACTAATTATACTAATTATAACTAATTAGTTAACTTATAAGTTAAATGTGGTTTTCTGAATTAATTTTTGTAACAATATTTTGTCATATAATTTATTCCACTTTTCTGTAATATCATTATCACGTGTATTAGTAGTGTTTTGTTGAGTTACCCGTTTTAGATGAGTACTTTTGAGAATGCTATTTTTTCATACCAGAGACTCACCGATGCATCTCTGAAAAAATTTTATATAAATATTTTTTTAAGGCTCCTCCCTTCTTTTTTTTTTTTTTTTTTCCTTAGCCTCATTTCCGGTAAGAAAGAAAGTACGTACTTGTGTAAATATGCTGTTTTTATCTGTTATTTTTTCAATATATTAATCTAGCTTTTAGCACTCACCTCGACTGTTGACGAGCCGCTTGTGAAGCCAAAATGCAGATTTTTGTCAAGACCCTTACGGGTAAGACTATCACCCTTGAGGTGGAGTCTTCCGATTCCATTGAGAACGTCAAGTCTAAGATTCAGGACAAGGAGGGTATCCCCCCTGACCAACAGAGACTGATCTTCGCTGGTAAGCAGCTTGAGGACGGCCGCACTCTTTCTGACTACAACATCCAGAAGGAGTCCACCCTCCACCTCGTCCTTCGTCTTCGTGGTGGTGGTAAGAAGAGAAAGAAGAAAGTCTACACCACTCCCAAGAAGATCAAGCACAAGAGAAAGAAAGTCAAACTCGCTGTTCTCTCTTACTACAAGGTCGCTGATGACGGTTCCGTCACCCGTCTTCGCCGTGAATGCTCTAACTGTGGCTCCGGTGTCTTCATGGCCAACATGAAGAAGAACGCCCACAACGTCGAGCGTCAGTACTGCGGCCGCTGCGGTCTTACCTACGTTGTTGACAATTAAATTTATAAATAACTTTGTATTTTAATTTTATTTCAACGTTGAACAAAAAAATTTGTATTTTTTTATGTAATGATAGATGCGGTTGTTTTATTATTTACACTAATATATCTACACAAATTCTGAGCAAAAAAAGAGAAAGATTATGGCACAATTTCAACACCAACAGACTTGGCAGTTCCAAGAATTGACTTAACAATTCCTTCCAGTTCAAGGTTCTTATGTCGGTCATCCTACAATATAGAAAGTTAGTATCAAAATCATAGAAGAGAACATTTTTTCAGTGGAAAAAAAAAAACCTACCGTCTTCTTTATCTTAGCAATTTCATAAACATGCTTCAGGGAGATGGTTCCAACTTTAGGATCTTTCCCACTGGCAATACCCTTCTCGGCACCGGCAGCTTTCAGGACCAACCATGCAGTGGGAGGGCTTTTAAGCTCGAAAGAAAAGGTACGGTCAGGCTTGACAGTGACCAAGGTGGGAATGGGGACTCCTGGGTTGAAGTGAGCTGTGCGGGCATTGAACTCCTTGCAAAAGTCAATAGCTTTGACACCCTTGGAACCAAGGGCAGGACCAACGGGTGGAGAAGGGGTTGCCTGAGCAGCTCCGACTATCAGTTTGATGAGAACATCCTTGGTGTTGGCAGCAGCTTTTTTGGACATTTTTGTGGTAGTGATGTGTGTGATTTGCGGTCCTCAAAAGATACAAGTGATCCGTCAAGAGAGCAAAAATAAAAAAATTTTCGTGATTTCTCGTAGTCTCTATGGATGGGTGTTGAATTTTTAAAAAACACCATTTCTTTATGTAATCAACTGTAATGATTATGTAATTATATTATTATGGTTGTTATATAGTGAATAAATATGATTACTGACCAAGCCTAACTAATTATAATTAGTTAAAGGTTGGCTAGTTAATAGCGCATTCCAAGCGGATGTTTTTTCCCAAGCTTTACTCGAATCTTTGCTAACTATTATAAGATTCCGAAATTATAAAAGAAAACAAGGACCGAAAAATGATATTTAACTTTAGAAAACAGTAAATCTATCTTTTAAAGCCTTTTTTAAAAAGTTGGATAAATACATCCTATGGTGTATAGCTATACCAAATATTAAACTAGATATGGGCATGATGGAGAAAAAATGGGATTAGAATACTTTTATAAATAGAAATGGAGCATAAAAAATACCCAATTTTTTCAAACATTTTAAAATATATAAAAGTGACATCATTTGATATTATAAAATATATTGTTCGCTCTCTTTCCCGTATTTGAAAAACAAATTAAATATCTTAAGATTTGTTCTCTATTCCACAGAACCTTGTTAATATGACTGGATATAAGTTTTGAATGGTATATTTTTAACATTATGAGATAGCTTTATCTTTTTTTCAGCTATGATGATCAAAAAAAAACAAAAATAACTTTTTTATTTCAGCTAACGATCGACAAACTATCCCGTTAAAAACAATTTGACTAAAGTTCCGGAGACTTTGGTATTTTTTTCTAAAAATATATGATTGAAGTCTTTTAAAAAGATGTTTTTTTTTGACAATCATATATGTGATTATCTATTTACTGGAACAAAAAGCTATATTAAAAGATATTTCCTGTGATAAAAATAATGGGCATTTTTATGACTGATAAGCACGGAATAAACTTTGATTTGGCTTTTGCACTTTTAGTGATTGAACATAAATTTAGCAGTGCGTTGGTATTTTTTTTATTACAACAACCTCCAATCTTAGAAAGATTTTTTCTTTAAACCTCGAGATTTTAGTTTAAATGATGATATTCAATGGAAAAGAACAAATAAAAAATCGTTTATAGTGTGGTTTGGAACTATACATTAAAAGTACTTTTTATGTATGTCTAAATTAAGGACCGTCACATACCTAAGCTTTATTTCTTTATATGAGATAGAACGGATTCGAATAAAAAGAGCAATGATAATTAAAAGAAACTTTTTATTTAGTAGCTTAAGTGATTTTTTCCAGTGCTCTTTCCATTTCACTCTTATATCTCGATAACAAAATTCTGACCTAATTTTTTATTTTTTTGATTAAACTTTAGCCATGATGCCAGAAATTCTTAGAATAGAAACCCCGGATTATTTTAGATCTTTACACGTTGGTTAAATGCAATTGATTTTGAATACAGTAGGTTTTTTAGGATATTTTTGTTTTGAATTAACTATATGACGTTAAACACATTGCGATGTTTTGGACAATATTCCACAAAAAATGATCAAAAGTTTGAAGAAGTTTTGTATCAGATGTTAATGTTCAATTTTTTTTTTTTTTTTGGAAAAAAGGAACGAGGAACGAGAAAGTATTTTACTAGATCTTCGCTTAATAATGCTTTTATTTCCAAAGAAACTATAAAGATGAGGCGGTAGACATATTCAATTGATTAAATAGTGTTCATTAAACTGACCACAAAACATTTCTTTAACCTAAAAATTTCACAAAAAAAATCTGTCTCTGTTTAATGAAGTTGCAGTGGGATATTTTTCTTCCTAGTGAGGCAGCGATAGAATCAAAACTAAGTTATAAATAATAAGATGCAAGATTCATAGAAATAGTAAAAAAAAATAGTGTTTACGGAAACGGGGAATATAAAATATTTGGAAGATAATTTACGTGAAAAAGACTATATTTCAAATACAGTTTTTATTTTTATTTTATTTTTTTTGAAATAATATTGAAACTTCCACAACTTTACACTGTGGTTGAATCATCATCAAGTTTTAAAAAAAGTTACATTTTTTTTTTTGAAAAAATATAAAAAAATGAGTAATTAACTTAGGCATCCTGGTAGGACTCATTTTTTTTTAAAAAAAACCTTCAAAAAAAATCCAAAAATCGAAAAGCCCATTTGAATCATTTGAAACTCTACCATACTTTTCTTTTTTAAAGAAAAATTCTTAATGAACTGTAGTAAAAGACTAAAAATGTCATGTGATTATAATTTTCCAGAAAAAAATAGTTCAAATATTGCTCATCAATTTTGAGTTTTCGCTTGAAGTATATGGTGAGCATCGGGACATGTGTGTTTTAAAAGATCCACGATTCCCAAACTCAAGGCCAAGTGTCTATTGAATAGAGTCTTGGGATTCATTAAAAGAGGACCACGAATTTCCAATGAATCGAGCTCAAATTCAAATATAGATTTAAAAAACAAAAAAAAAAAAAAAATAATGAGTTTCTGTTCCATCATTTTTTAACTGAAAAATTTAGAGGTAAAAGAAATCTCATATGGTTTGTTAGTTTATTACAAAAAATAATGAATACCTTATAATACTAATTAGTAGGGTTCGTTGGTGATGTTTTTTTTTTCACATCATGTTTCCATCCTATTCATATTAGTTTCAAGTTCAATAAATGGTGACTATTGCTGGGCATATGTAAGCGCGTCTAGAGCTTTAAATTTATTTTGGGCCAATTAGTGTTCAAAGATGAGAAGTTTTAGTGACTGAATAAGGGAAAATTTTTTTAAAAAATAAGAGACGCGTCGTTGTTTGGTGAAGATGACGACGAAGATTTACGAGGGCGACTAAAATAATATATATATATTTTTCAAAATTTATTCTTATAATAAGTTTCGATATGGTCGTATTTGAAAAAACCAAAATTGCGATCAAAAAAATATATTGGTATACAAGAAAATCTTAAGAGTATTGGCCAAGGCTTAGGAGTATGCCTTCGATATGGATGAAGTGAGGAAAGACAAACGAACTAAGGAAGCCCGGGATCTGGTCTTTAATAACGGTGATTGTATTTAGTCAATCTTCTATAATAGATGGAAATTCATGAAGTGCTTTTTTTTTGACAAAGGGGATATTTTTATTGTAGTTGGTGGTTTTGTCAAATGTGAAAAAATAAATTTTATGTGATTTTTTTTGACGGTTTTTTTTTTTTTTTTTTTTGAAACCAACTAGGTGCGCTTCAAGTACCCCTTCCATCGTCACATGGGCGGGTGGCTGCCTTTATTTATTAATATTATCCTGTCAGGCTTATCTGCATGAACAAAAGAGAATCTCGTTAAGATAATGGTTATTTGTAATATGTGATTCAATCTGCAGGTATTACTGCCTGGCCGTTCAGTTGTGCAGCAGAAGTAATATCTGCAGAAGACGGGAGAAGATCGAGTAGGTCAAAAATGATGTATTTCAAATATATATGGCATTTTCCTATATATAGGAAGCCACTAAATTATAATCTAATTAACTAATTTAGTATAAAAAATAACTAATAATACTATTGAAATTGGTCAAATATGAAGACCTCAAAGCTTCGGAGGCAGCGTGAAACTTTAAAACCTAGTGAGACCTACATTAAAGCTTTTCTATTAATAATATTTTATATATTTAATTTTTTTTTAATCTTCCCATCAAGAACAAAAACCTCCTAATAATTAGTGACTTTGGTAATCTTCCAACTCTATGAGTAGGGGGATTTCATCAAAAAGCTTTCGAAACTAATTAATAGAAGGAGGAGCATTGTAGTTTTCAAAAAACACACAAAAAAAATCAAAGACCATATTTTGGAATAGAAGATTTTTGTTCAAAAAAAAAACAAATAGTATTAAAACATTAAATTTAATAATAAAAAAATTCAAACAACAAAGCCCCGCAGCAGAAAAGTGATTGAATGTTTTGGCAGAAGAAAAAAAAAATTCAAGTTGAAAATGACAGGTTTGTAATCAATAACTTATAAGTTAATCATAATTATGATTCAAAATGATTGAATATTATTGAATTAAATTTGAATTAAATTTGAATATAAATGAAAAGTTTTATTTTCAATTTTCATGTTTGGGAACAATATATTTTTTGAAATATTAAAAGGAAATCCCTAAGCCTCAACTATCGAATGAAATCAAATCAAATCAAAAAAAAAAAAAAGACATATGAAAAAGAACAAATCCATTATTACTATTACCATTACTATTACTAACACTCACTATCTTGATATCTTTTTATTTAAAAATACAAAAAGGTAAACTTAACACTATAGACAGCTTCGAGTTGTTTGTCAGGATATGTGTTCCGGACAAATGAAGTATTTTTTTTTAGAATCGTGATTTTTTTCAAATATTATCAATATCTTTAAAAATATCTTGACAAAAGATGTGCTATCTTTGCTGATCACTTATCTTTTTATGAATCCTTTTTTTTTTGAAGTGCTAACATATTTTTCTTTTTTCTTTATTGCAATGAAGGTGATATGTTAAATACTTTAATGAATCCGGGAGTCTGACCCGTTAGAATAGAAAGAATGCCAACTGGAACATTGATTAGGATATCTCCGGAACAATGTCAATCGTTATATGAGATATTAAAGGAGGCTTGTTGATTTGGGGAGGTATGAAACTTTAACCTTAGACAGAATAAATAAGCTTTTCTTTCTTTCTTTCTTTTTTTAGTATCTCTGGGAAACGAAGGTGGAAAAAATAGAGTCTTGTTGCTAAGATATCTTTTTGATGTAAATTACGACTACTACGACATTTGCTGCTTCAATTGAGTAACAGCTAGTGGTGATAATGATATATATTTGTTCATATATTTTGACAGTATGCCTAGGTACTGTGGTGACAGTAATTGGTGCGCAGGCTAACAAAAGATCTTGAAGACTGCGCACCTGTCAAGCTACTCCCCGGGACAAGCTGCTACACCAGGCGTTAGAGTAAGGTGTGGGCAACCAAGGGGATGATGACGACGGCCGACAATACTGCTGTATAAAACCTAGTATAGTAAAATAGTACCTGAGAATCACCGCTGCGGCTACTATAAAGCATAGATGGTGATTTTACAGACGCCCATAGCCAATGAGGATTGCAACTTGAAAACGCGAAACCTCACAGATCATAGCTGTTTGGTGATCGTACTGGGTAGAGTATATTATATAGTTGAACGGGAGAAGAAGTAGCAGCACTGCTATTTATAAGAGCTCTTTTTATTTTTATTTTTATTTTTTTTGGAGTGCCAGTGTGCAACTGCAGGAAGCCTAAAAGCTTGAATCAAAGACTTTTTTTTTCTTTTTAAAATGGCAATTGTCGCTGCACCAGCAAAGTTTTTGTATATATATACAAATATATGAAAGTACTATTCAAGAGTTTGCCAAAATGAGCCAAAAGTATAAGTTAACGAGAGTATCTAGAGAGAGAAAGAAAAAAAAAAAAAAAAAGCGCAGCAGTATATAGTAGATACCTTTAAAATTGAATCTTTCTTTCTTTTTTTTTTTCTATTCAGTAATCATAATTATTAATTTTTATCAATTTTCATAATGATTCCAATTTAAAACGGACTTTGTAAAGGGAAATGAAAAATCAGGGCGGACCAAGTAACTCCTTTGAAGAGAATCATATAGTTCTCCTTGACTAAAGAAAAGTTAAAACCTTGACCGAAACCACCATCGTACAATAATCATCCAAGACCTGAGATATGGATGATCACTCTTTATTTTTTTTTTTTTTTTTTTGATATACAACGGGTTGGTATGCTTTTTATGAATATAATTTTTTTTTTATTTCCCCTTTTCACAAGTGAATTATCGGTTTATAAGCTTAAATAGCATGTATGTAATTATGGTTGGGAAGAATAATAATTAATAACTACCATTTAAGCTCTTCTTGATAATCCCTGTCTTGGGTAGATATTCACACATTTAAGCTTATATATAAAAAGCCTTCAATGTCCCTTGAAATAATCCCATTTTCTTCTTCCTTTTTTTTTATATATATTCTTTAAATATATATTTTTCGTTCTTCTCTATAAAAGTTTAGACTGACCATTTTGGGGCTTTTTTTTTGGAGTATTTTTTTTTCACTCTTATTTTTGTCTTTTTTCCCTTATCGTTTCTAACAACTTTGATTTGGGTCTAATTTCCCTATCACAGAGTTAGGGCAAGCATAGTATATCCATATCACTTTGGTCACTCCTTTTTTTTTCGTTTCGTTTCATTTCATTTCATTTCATTTTATTCCATTCATTTTTTTTTTCGGTTTTTTCCTTTTTAAACACATTCAGAGGCTTTTATATATATATATATATATATATATTATCAGCCCGTCCACAATCTATTTATTTCCATACAACATATGTTCTTCTCAATACTCCGGTGTTTGGCGATATCTCTCACTGCTGGCAGTGTGATGGCAGCCCCGGTGGCCCAAAATACCGTCGAGACAGGAGTAAGCTCTTCAGCCAACGCTTCAGTCGACTTCCAAGTGTCAGGCCCACTGTTAAGTGTCGGCGACCCAGTCTATCAACAGGTCATTGTTCAACACACCTTTTCCAATTCGTTTGGCCAGCCCTTTGTCGGCACAATCAACTACCCAAATGTTGATTTCACTCATGTCTTCTTGACAATAGAAACTACTTCAACAGGCATTCAGTACGACCGATTAGCCAAAATTTATCTCAATGGCGCAGAGATTTGGCGCACATCAACCTCAGAGCCCGCAGGCAGCGACATTTATTTCACATATACTAAAGATGTGTCCCGTTATGTTTCTCTCTTTAAGATTCCAGATGCTCCAATTGTCATGGACCTAGGCAACATTGTCAATGACCAGTACACGGGGCCCTTTAATGTACAGATAACTGCAAAGTACTACAATGTAGCCAGCTCGTCAAGTTCAAACAGCAGCTCTGTTTTTAACTCGTACTACGAGCGTAAGTCCGCTACAAACGTCACACCTCTGCGCCCATCCTCTCAGTCAAAGACCAGTGCATTTTCTTGGTCAATCCCGCAACAACTTGCGCAGGTTTCGCTTGACGCTCTCCCTCGCAACACAACACGTGCAGTCCTCGACATTTTCGCTTCAGGCAATGCGAATGAGGAATTTTGGTACATGAACTTTTTGGACGAAAACGCCAATGCCATCCCCTCGGATCCGCAACAGGGAGGGAACGCAGCACGTATAGTAAAGGCTACAATTAATGACGATTTGGTGGCTGTGACGCTACCATTCCCTGTTGTTTACAGCGGCGGGTTTTCACCTGGGTTGTGGATTCCAGTGATTGGTATTAATGCATATGACGTGCCATCATATCAAATTGATGTCACACCTTATTTGCCTAAACTGTGGGATGGTGCCTCCATCACACTTTACGTTGATAACGGATATGGTGGGGTCCCCTATAATGAGTGGTTTGTCAATGCCAACTTGTTGACATGGCAAGAGGCTGGTGTTACTGGAAATGGTGAAGTTTTGGCCGGAACTAAGTACAATGACACAAACAAGTTTTCCAATGCCGATGCGACCAACTCGATTGTGGAGCTTCAGTCTGTTGCACGAGATGTGTCAACGCGTGCCATTCTCAATTTTACTGATAGTGACGGCTTTGTCGAGGAAGCTTTTGTGTCATCGACACAAACCATTTCTTTTACCAACACAAAGCATCACTATACAAACGGTGGAAGTTTTTTCCGGGCAGCACAAGTATCGAGCGGATATAATAGCTTCAAGATTAGCAATGCCGGAACCGACTTGTCACAATACCGGTCCAATAATAATGATCCTAACTCTGACACCTTTTCACCTGTTTTGACTGACCTTAACACAGACTCAAATTTGTTGACTGTGTCGGAATGGACATTTATTTACCCTCTGGCCATGAACTATTTTACGGGGTCTAGCAACTCGTTCCAGGTGGATATTAACCGAGGATATGGGTACGATGACAATTACCTAACGGTGTGGACTAAGCAGAATGTATCAGCCAATGCCCAGCAATCTTCTTCTTCTTCGATTACAACCTCTAGCTCGCGTGGAGACCAATACTATGCCCAGAACCTGGTACAGTTGAGTGGAGGCCGTGACAACTACGATCAGTATGTGGTTACTAATAATAACAAGGTTGTACAAAACACCTATGGCAATGGGAACTCAGATTCGCTGCTCCAGTATGGCCAGTCCGATCCTATCACAACCTTAGTTTCGTATGCAGCCAAGTTGGCTCAAAGCAACCCCAGTGATAAAACCTCTGTTACCAATGCTATTTTGAATGTGTTTACTACAGTTCTGCCTCAGGTATCGTTTAGCTCAACATCGTCTAAGAGAGATGCTATTAAGAAGGTGGATGACTATGACGAGTCGTGGTTGGATGAGCGCGATGGAGACTTGTTCCGCAGCCCAGGTCATGGCTACCCTGCAGGGTCCATTCCTGGTTCTGATCTTGATCGTCGTGACGATGGAAGCAGTGGGTTGCTTGCATCCAAGATTGCAGAATTCCAGGTTGGCTGGGATTGGTCCAACGACACTGTCAATGTGTGCTGGACATGCAAGGTTGCATGTACGACAGAGAGTGATTGTACTGCCGGGTATGTTTATAGTGCCGGGATCCCAGGGACTGCTTCGGAGTTGAGCAAGCGAGGAGAGGGTAATGTGGAGAGTGGTGTGCTTGTTGGGCTTGGACGGAACCCCATGTACCACGGGACAAAGAATGAGTGACGGGACGACGTGAAGTTTGTCAAGCGCAATTACTTGGACAACAACAGTATAGAGTCGTACTTGTCGGTAGACTTAATTTCTTAAGATGCATTGTGGTATACTGGGGAGGAGACAAGAAGTTGTTTGGGTACTAATGATGTTTAATGTTTGTTCTGTTTTGTTTTTGTTTTGTTTTACTTTATATATATTTACAAAAAAAAAAATGAAAAAAAATATAAATAAAAATTTTTAAAAAAATTTTTAAATAAAGAATAAAGAATTTTAATTTCCATGATATCTTATTAGTTAAACTAATTCATGAAAGGTTAGTCTATGGAAGCCTTGGTTGGTTGTTGATGGTGACAGAATTTAAAGCATAGAGAAAATCGCCGCATGAAGGTTGGATGGTTATTAATATGCTGGGTGTGTGTATGACACAGTAGTAACATTTCAAAATCTATATATATATATATATATAAATATATATAACCTCGGCTTTATACTAATGAGCATAGTGGAGCATGATTGTTGAATAAGGCACTTTTATGATATTTTACTATTACTATCATCATAATAATCTAGAAAAGAAAGGGCTTCACCAGGTTAGAGCTTATTAGAAGCAAATGTCATGCTAAATTTTTTAAGAAGATGGGGATTAGAAGGTCTTTAAAAAGTTGAAATTGAAATTCCAAACCTTTTTTTTTTATTATTATTTTTCTGTTTTCAATATTTTAAAGTACAAAGTTTAGAGTAATATATCATTATTCATCTTAGATATGCATTAGATATACATTCAATCATCTATCATCTAATAAAAAAAAAAAAAGTTCAATTTCTCTCTCTCTCACAAACGTCAGAAACCAATTTCTTCATTTACGGTGATGATTCTACAATTTTAATGAATTAAGGGAAATTATATATATATATATATATAAATACCTAACGGAATCCTACATGCCGTTCCTTTTTTTTTTTTTTTTATTCATTTTTTAATCTATTAATTTATAATTCATTTCATTTCATTTCATACATTTCTCTCTTTCCAAACTGACCTGATCTGATCTGATTTGTTTTTTTTTTTTTTTTTTTTTATATATATTTTGGAATATTACAGTTACAAATAAATAAATAAATAAAAAAATAACCCCCTGGAATTCTACACGTTTACACTAATTAAATCTACCACCACCACAACTAACTATATAAAAAAACCTCCTTGTTTGAAAAAAAAAAAAAAAAAAAAAAAAAAAAAACCGCGCAAAGGAACTCAAAAAACTGGAATTCCAACAGACCAAAATTCATTTTTAAAAACCTTTCTGCCTCTTAAAAAAAAAATATATTTTATAAATTTATAAAAATTTACCCCTAAAATCACTTTTAGTCCAATTTTTTTTTTTCTTTTATTTTTATTTCTTTTTTTTTTTCACCAACCTTTTTTTTTTCATAATTCTTTAATTTTAATAATATAATACTCTTCCAGTAATATTTCAAATGTCTGTTGCAGCTGTCGCACCCAGCAAGGACCTCAGAGACGCCGTACTTGCCGCTGACGAGGCAGAATCTGTCATGGCCCGGGACTATCCGGACATCAAGGCTGATCTGGACACGCGCGTCAACACCCACCATCCGCACAATGAACCCATTCCCATCAACATCTCTTACTCGGATTCAAGTGCAATCACCCTCCATTCTCATACTATTGCTCCCATACACTCAGCAAATTTATCAAACTCTTCCGGAGGCCCTCCATTGACAAGCACCCAGCATAGCCATCTTCCTCCTTCTCATCATCAGCATCAGCATCAACATCACCATAATCAATCCACTGAGCCTGGGTCTCCTACTAAGCATAACCACCAAGAAGACCTGCATGGCCGCTCAACTATTGCTGCTTCTAATACTACCACTACCACCATCACCACTACCACCAATTCTTCTTCTTCTTCTTCTTCTTCTTCCTCTCCTCTTCATCAAACCACTCTCTCTCACTCTGTGCCTATCGACACTTCCGCGACATTGGTCTCTGATATTTCATCACCTTCATCCTCTTTGGTTTCTCCAGTCTCTTCTCCATCATCAACCTCTACTACCCCTTCTCCTACTTTAGCGCCGTCTACTACAAATACACCCGCTGCAACCACAGCAAATCTTCAACAGGAGAAGAAGCAGCTCCACTCACAACAACCCCTCGAAGCCACCCTCATGTCCCAGTCTTCCTCGGCTACTTCAGAGTCAAACACTACTTACTCAGACTCGGGGAAGTCCACCCATTACTCGGAACTTAACGAGGTCGAGTTTGGCAAGCTCACTAGCAAAAAATATCTCTACAAGTCTCACTGGCCTGCAGGCAAGGAGCTCCCGTTCGTCCCTGAAGACCTCCCTAATCTCTACGTCTTCATCTCAACTTACCTCAGTTACCTGCTTCTCATCATTCTGGGCCATGCTGAAGACTACTTTTATGATTTGATTCGCGACGATTCTACCAAGAACCTTCGCATCAGCAATGGCTTTGCTCCAATCGTCTCTGCCTTTGACAGTTTCTACGTCCGTCGCCAGAAGCAACGTCTCACCGACTGCTTCAGTCGTATCACTACCGGTGTCCCTGGCCGTTTCATTCGTGTTTTAGACCGACACACAGAGGATAACATGACTTCTTTTATTTACGACGGTACTGACTCTCTCTGCCTTAACCTCTCTTCGTACAACTACTTGGGCTTTGCCCAATCGGCTGGCCAGTGTACTGATGTGGCAGACGTGGCAATCAACAGCTACGGTACTACTTCTGGCGCCCCAAGAATCGCTGGCGGAACCCTTGATTACCACCTCATTTCTGAAAAAGTTGTTGCTGACTTTGTCGGAAAAGAGTCGGCTCTCATTTATTCGATGGGCTACGGCACAAACGCAACTATCTTCTCCTCTCTTGTTGACAAGCAGTGTCTTGTCATCTCCGACGAACTCAACCACGCTTCTATCCGTTTTGGTGTCCGCATGTCTGGAGCCTTCATTAAGATTTTCAAGCATAATGATATGGTCGACCTCGAACACTTGCTCCGTGAGCAAATCAGTCAAGGCCAACCCCGCACCCGCAGACCTTGGAAAAAGATTTTGATTGTTGTTGAAGGCCTTTACTCCATGGAGGGTACCATGTGCAATCTCCCTGCTCTGGTCAATCTCCGCAAAAAGTATAAGTTTTACCTCTTTGTTGATGAAGCCCACTCTGTTGGTGCCATTGGCCCCCATGGCCGTGGTGTTGCCGATTTTTTCTCCATTGATACAAAAAACATTGACATTATGATGGGCACTCTTACCAAAAGTTTTGGAGCTACAGGTGGTTACATTGCTGCAGACAAGCTCATCGTCGATAAGCTCAAACTAAACAACTTTGGCAACCTTTACTCAGAAAGTGCTGCTCCCCCAGTCCTTGCCCAGATCAACTCTTCTCTGCTTACTATCACTGGCGATCTTCTCCCAGGCCAGGGCCAAGAACGTCTCCAACGCATTGCCTTTAACTCGCGATATCTTCGTCTTGGTCTTAAACGTCTTGGTTTCATTGTCTCCGGCATGGAAGACAGTCCCATTATCCCACTCATGGTCTACCAGCCCAGTAAAATGTCTGCCTTTTCACGTCTCATGCTTTCTCGCAAAATTGCTGTTGTTGTTGTTGGCTATCCGGCTACACCGCTTACTTCCTCGCGTGTTCGCCTGTGTGTTTCTGCTTCATTGACCAAGGAAGATCTTGACCGCTTGCTTCGCGAAGTGAATGAGGCTGGTGACTACTTGAATCTCAAGTTTAGTTGTGAGCTATCTCCTACTACTGGTAAGCTACGCAGAGAAAATATTGATGATGTTCTTAAGACTTTGGTGGATGATGTGCAAAAGGATATGTCTCAATTTTAAAAGGCGATACAATAAAAAAAGAAAAGAGATTATACAGGGGGTGGGAATGTGAGAGAATATGTGAGAAGATATAGCTTTTAATTGAGATTGCTGAATTATTGCTGAATGATGTGAAAATTATTAAAAAAAAATCTTAATTTGCTTTTTTTTTGCTACTCAGAATATAATTTTAAATAGATGAATTCCATAAACTAATAACTATTATTCAAAAAAAAAAAAAAAAAAAACGAAAAGTACACGCTTAACTTATGTCTATGACTGACGGTCCTTTCCTTTTTTAAACTCAAAATTTAAGGTGCAGATGATGGGGAAAATAGGAGGGGGAGATAGATTATCGCTAAAAAAAAAAAATAGAGGGGAAAAGGAAGTGAAGTTTTTTGATAGCACATGAGAAGGAAGATTGACTTGTTGATTTTTTTTAAGAAACAAATTTGAAATTTTAGTAATTTTAAAAAAAGAAAAAAAAGAAAAAAAAAAAGTCCATCTCATCAATTCATTTATTATCTTCTTTTTTTTTATGGTGAATTCATGCAATCAATTTAATATTCAAACAATAGAAGAAAAAAATCAGTATAATGTCATATAATATACCAGAAAGGGAAAAGCCTTTCATCTCTTCTTTTACATTTAAATTAAAGTAGATTAAATAAAATAGAAACCTCAAATTAATCTTTAATTAAAGACTATTATTATAATAAGCTATATATTATTCTTAAAAAAAAAAAAAAAAACTTTCTTCAAAGAACTTTCAACAATTGGATATGCTACACTTTGGTGCCCTGATAAAAAAAAAAAAAAAAAAAAAAGAATAATGGGCATTAGATTTCTATACATTTAGACTTAAAATAGTACAAATATTTTTTTTGTTTTGTTTACTTACCAAGATTCAGATTCATGGATACAGTCTAAAAATTAAGAAAAAGAGAAGAGAAAAAAAAAAAATAAATAAAATAAAATAAAAATAAGGCTGTAAAATCACAGTCGTGGACTGAATAAACATTTTCATTTTGTTTTTGTTTTTTTTTAATCAAACATTTATGCATCAATAATTTCGTTTTCCCAAGTATACAATTTGGTTTTTTTTTTTTTTTTTGAACCAGTAATACAAGGTTGTTTTCCCGATATGTTGTTTTTAAAAAAAAAAAAAAGAAAAATCTTTATCTTCTATAGCTCAAGTTTTTTTCTAATTAGACCTTTTCATCAATAATATACAGCATTGGTTTCTTTCCCCCGGACTCAGAGAGCTCTACAAAACAACAAGAAAATGGGCTTTAATTAACCCAATTTTTTTTTAATAGTTTACAAACAATAACGGGGAAAATGTTTCACTATACTTAGACTTGAGTAACTCTTAAAACAAAAGGAAAAAAAAAAATAAGGAATGAATGAATTAATAAAAAAAAGGGCCTTAATAGATATTTACATTTTTTTAAGCAGAGCTGAAGAGGTCCATATTGTTTCCTACATTTATTTAAAATTACAAAATTGTATGCACACGCAACAAGAAAGTCTGTCCGTTTATTTCCTATTTTGGAAAGATTTTATCTTATACATCTGCAAATAATTCGGAGAAACATAAAAAAAAAAATCTTAAACCAAAATTCAGCTTGAAAACAAAAGACTTTGATGCATACCACATCGGTATTTAGGATTAAATACAAGCTCAATATGTTGAAAAAAAAATAAAATAAGAACGTATACATCGGTGAGAAAAGAACCCCCACTCTGTTATTATTTATTTTTTCACATTGAGCTTATTTTAATGGATTTCAACGGTTTACTGCATATTAGGTTTTTTTTTTTGAGGCTCACATTTTATCAGTCTCTCAAACCTGATTTCAAGCCAAATATTTGTTATTCATCCATTCTTTTGGTTTTTACTACCAATAGTTGAAAGTATACATATCAGTAAAAACAATAATGCAAAGGTTATTTATTCATTACCAAAGAAAACTGAATTCTTAATTTGTCGTTGATGCAAAAGGTTTTCCCAAAAGGGGGGGTTAGAATGAATGAGTAGTTACTCATACTATTAATTGGTTTCCAAAAATTGAAATATATTTAGAATGTGTTTTGTTATTAAAGCACTTATGTACTAATGGAATTCATGTTTTTTTACAGTTAAAGACCAAAATTGCTATTCAAAACACATTAATGCCAAAAATCATGGCTGTAGAATTTACCAAAAAAAAAAAAAAACATTATAATGATAATTATCCTTTTTTTTTCTTACCTTGCTCCTGTAAATGTCATCAAAGTAAACTCCTAGTTAGGGATGTACCGGCATACATATGCCTATAAGCATTTTCTGAAAACCTCACAAGTACAGCTATTTTACAAAAAAATTAGTCTTCATTTTTAAGATTTTGTTATCAAATAATCTCACAAACTTTTAAACTTTTAATGTCAAAATTTTGACATTTGCACAAAATGAGCACAAAGACCAATTAAAATGTAAAGAAAATTTTTTTTTTCTTTTAAATGACTGCCAAGCACTTGAACCAAGCTTTCTGAAATGAAGTATTTATTGCACCAGCTTTAAGAATTGCTTGAAGACTTTCCAAAAAAAAAAAAAAAAAAATTGATACTAATAAAGTTCTAGAATTTATGGGAACTCAGCTGCACGGGCAACAAAACATCATCTTGGTGAAAAATTATCTTTTTTTTTGGGTCTCTCTTTGCACTTTTGCAGTTTCAAACCATCAAAGAAAATTTTATAGATCAAGTCATTATATCTAAAGGTTATGTTTTTAAAATCTCATGAATTCAAGCATCAAAATACCTTGTATCCAGCTTTTTATATCTCTTTCTTATGAATGTCAATCTATTAGATTCCAATTACACTTATAAAGTTTTACCAATTCTTTCAATTACACAATCTTAGCATGAACCACATGGCGATTTACTTAATATATCATTCTTCTTTCCATTGCCTTTGTTTCTTTGATCTTGGCCAATTTTATGCAAAAACTGTACGACCGAATGCGCAAGGCCTGTCATAAAGTTGATGAACAATCAAAAGGGTGTCAAAAAAAAAAAAATTACTTTTTTTTAAGCTTTTTTAAGCTTTTGTTATTATTTGGTGAAAAATATCTTTCCAATGTGTCATTGTGTGACCATTCAATGCATTTGTTGCTTCGTGATTTAGTGCATAATAATGGCTCTGTTTCTTTTGCATTAAAAATTTTAATTCAAAGATCTGTAATTTTTTTTTTACTATAGTATTATTCTTTACTTAGACAGTAAATCAATAAGTTGCATTACATTTCGTCTTCATATTAATGAATGTTCTTTTTCTACCTTTTTTTTATTATATTTTTGAGGCTTTAAAGATAACTATTGAACAATAATGGCAGGTTTTTTTTTCTATATATCTATAAATTGTTTTTTTAAGGCTTAGTTTTTCTATATTTTTTTTTGCATAGTTTTTATTTTTCCTATTTAAGCATGTCCAAGGTTTTTCTATAAAATAGACATATGTTGCCTCGGGTTTTGATGTTGGTTTGTTTATTTCTGTAGCAAATTTGTAGCAAACATCATCAGTACACCATTTGCATTGCTTTATATGAAAATCTGTGAGTTTTTTTACAAATTATCTATGTATACATGAAAGAGATATTATTTTCATGCTCACTTAGAACTTTGGAATTTTTGACATTATGTTCAAGCAGCATTCAATAGATTTCTAAATATTCCCTGAATCGGCTTTCACTAAGTCTAAAAAAGATATGTTTGAACAGTGGTTATCTATGAAAATCATTATCATGAGTTTGGCCATAAAAGAAAATGAATAGCCACTTTAGAAATTTTTCTTTTTTTTTTTGAAATATTTTACGACCAATAATATACAAAACGATGCGGTCAAGTCGTCAGGCGAGAAGTAGTCTTTCTCGTCAGCCTACACATTTAAGAAAAGGTTTGAAATCAGAAGAACTCCAGAAGTACTTCACCACTAAAGGATTAAATGATTATTATAAAATTCCTGATTCTGAATTTCCATCCCAAAGAACTGAAATCATGACAATAGAATGCAAAATTGAATCCAATTTAATATTTGAAGAAATTTTTCATGACGCACACTTTAAACTTTCCAAATATCTTACTGTCAAAGATTCTCTAAACCTGAGCCAGTGCTCAAATAGGTTGAGGTCAATTTACAGTCAGATTGTTTGGAAAACATGTGGCATTTTTTGGAACAGAGAAATTTCACACAGAAACCCCCCAGAACTCCGTAATCCGATGCATACTAGCGAGCTCGAGCAATATCCTTTTATTAACGCTTATATTTTCTTTGCACCAGAGACTTATGGATGGAAGCATAGAGTTAATATACGCCGACTTATAGTTGTTATTCCACATGAAAGGGTTTTGACACAGTTTTTCAAAAGGTCAAGATTTTTTAGACCAGAATTGTATCCAGCTCTTGAAGAAGTTGTGATTGTTTCTTATTCCACAAACTCGACAGAAGTTGCAGTTGATTCGCAAAGTTTTATTTTCACTTCACCCTTTTATATTTCTTTATGGAGATATTATATGAGCATGCCAGAACCCAAGCTTCGAATTTTAATCAGAAAATTTAACGATATGTCATCGGGAAAGTTGTTCAACTGTGGCGCCATTAAAGACTTTATTCAAGATCTTACATTAGAACACTATGACGAACCGCCTCCAATTGAAAATGTTGATTTCTGTTTCCCAAACTTGATGTCACTTGAAATAAAAAATATGGATCCTTCATTTGCTAATTACGTGTTGAGTAATCTTGATCAAATTCCCAAGTTGGAAAATTTGATTTTCCATTTGGGTATAATTTTATTAGAAGACCCACCGTACGAAGATACTCGAGTAATCATGGAGCGATCAATTCAAGCACTGTCGACAGTAGAAAAACAGATAAAAAGAGTTACCTTGGAGTTGTTTCCCATTTTACCTATGACCCATATTAGATTCGATGGAAGAAAGTTCATGATAGTTGATGGCTCTATTGAACTCAAAGCAGTCACCTTTCTGGTTGATTCTAAAGCTCACAATATGGCAAACTTTGCCATGAGATATCTTAAACTCCCACAATTGAGTGTAATGTGCTGTACAGCCTTTACCAAGATTAGGTATCCACAAATAACTCCAGAGGTTACCATTATTCCTGAAACAGTTACCTGCTTTGATTGGGTTCTGGGAACAGATCTAAACTCATTTATTTTGGATGGTATTAAGAAACTGAAAGGCTTGAAAAAATTTTCAGTTACAATTGATGAAAATGGGCCATCACTTTGGGAAGATAGAGTTTGGTATGTTGAGATGATTTCGTACCTTTCGTACAAGTTTCACGTCAATAAGAGCTTGGAACCCCAGGATATTGAAGATGTCATATTGTTCCAAAAGATTAGATTTGGAAAGGATGTTAAAACATTGGCGCGAATGGCTTTATCTACAGAGTCGTTGTTGAATAACTGGATTGATAACCCGCTTGGGTTTAACAAGGATCGGTCAATATTTCTCCCCAAACTTTTGGATAATATGTTTTTGCTGGAGAGTCTTTTTCAACAAGTAATATTGATGCCTTTGGAATATTTTTCCTTCACGTCAGCACGTTTAATTTATCCGTCGCTTTGGTTGCAACGGTTGTTGAGTGATACTGGCAAAAGCATTAAGCAAATATTGGTTGATGTGCACCGAAATGATCCCAATACTGAGTTTTTTTCAATGCCGCATTGTGTTCCATGCAGCAATAGATTTTTATATGAAACAAATTTTAAATCTTTTTTGTTTGATTGTCAGCTTGAGCGCACGTTTCACTCCGAATATGGTGTTCTCTTGGAAGTAAATAGGATTGATATCCTAGAAGAAGAGTTTAACGGTTGGATTAACTAGTTTAGTTGTAAAATGTGTATTTTTCATAGCAATAAATCATTGTCAAACGGTAGGGAATTTACAGCTTTTGCAATTTCTTTATTGGAGGGTAACTTTGCGGCAGATATTGGCTTTGTTTTGGTAGCAAGATCTTTTGCCATGTCTTGAATATTTGAGAGGATGGTTTGAGCCTTGTCGTTTGAGCTGTTGAGAGTATTTAATGCTTGTTGATTTGATCTTCTTAAATTGGATAGTTGTTCTTTTAGTTCAGCAATTTTGGATTGTTGGTAAGGAACAATGTGTGCTGAAACAATTGTTTCAGGAGCCAGAGATTGTAAAAATAATGGGGCATCAGGGCCTGTGAGCTTTGGTGGATCTTTAATGCCCTTTTCTTGAGCTTCTTTTAGTAGTTTTTCAGACTTGTCTTTTCTTTCGTAGGCTTCTTTTATTAGAATTTCTAGCTCATGAAACAGGTATGCAATGTTGCGCTCTTCGTAAATAGTTTCAAACTCTCTAAGTGCCGCGTTTTCAAAAAAGTTTTGAATCTGCGTGAGAGCTTGTTGCAGAGCATATTCGCCACTAGTAGTACTGGCAATAGTGGGATAGCATGTTGCAAGTTCTTTATAATTCAAGCGCTTGATTGTTTCAGTAACTGAAAGCTCAGTTATTTGAACTAGTCTGGAGTATCGAATGGATTCTGGAAGTGTTTGTTTTAGTTCTTCGCTAGGGGATTTTGTGGCTCCTTCAGTATTGTAAGTGCCATTTTGTTCTTTCCCAGCTGGTAGATCATTTTCTCCAAAAGAACTCGTCTGTGAATTATCCTGATTTGCATCATCTTGTTGTATCTGTTTAGCTTCTGCGTCAGTGTTTGTCTCGAGCTCGATGTTTTCTTGCTTGGACTCTGGAGGTTGTAAAGAGTCCAGCTCTTTTTGTGTTTTAGAATTGCTTTCAGATTTTCGTAATGAATTAGGTAAAGAACTCGGGCTGTCTAGATGTTGTTCTTGCGGTTTTGGTTGTAGGCTGATAATGTTTTGATTTTCTAGAGTCTGTATTGGCTTAGTAACAATCCTGAGCTCTGGATCTGGCAATTCATTAGACTGCTTTTGATTTGTTAACTCAGGTGTGTTTCTAGACTCAGCGGTATGATTATTGATATCAATAGAAGATATTTCTTTTAGTGAATCTTGGGATATGCTTTCAGGTGATTGTTGGTTCTTTGGTTTGTCTTGTTGTTGTGATTTTAAAGCTGTCGCGTGTATGGGTGTTGGGATATCATTGTTAGTACTGGTGGTAGCTGTAACTGTATCTACTTCCAAGTCTGTATGAGATTCTTGAATAGACATTATGCTGGTATATGAAGATTACAAGTGAGTTGAAAGAAGTCGATGTGGATTAAAGTATTTATATATAATAGACTCGTGAATTGAGAAGATCGCGTTTGGTCTCTTTTTTTTTTTTTTTTTTTTTCAAACGCGTCTTGTTGGAGTTCATGATGATGTGAAATTTGACAAGGTAGGGTAACTTTGTGTTGTTTTTTTTTTGTTTTTTTTTGTTTTCACAAGATGCTAACTTCTAATGATTATCAAGAAACAGCAATACTAAAAGAAAATCATTTTACAAGATTAATTATTATTATTTAATTGAATAACATTTGATTACTAGTAATTTTATTTATTTTTTATTATTCAGCTGAAAGAATAAAATAAATAAAAAAAAATAGAGCTTGACAATTTTTTTTTTTTAAGCTTCCAACTATATTAGAGAACGTGAAGAGTAAATAGCGCTCATAAGCCACTACTATTTAAGGACACTTAGTAAACTTTGTATGTTACATTACAGTTGCCCCCACAGCCACATGTAACATACAAAAAAAAGACCGCGCATCAGTCTTCATTTCTTTAGTATTTTATTAACACAAGTCCTCCTTTTTCCGATCTCTCTTTGCTATACCACCACGTACATTCAACATTATAATTACTCTCTAAACTACGACTTTTCGGAAAAACATTAACAAATTCCTGAGCTTTTATTTTTGATCTCATTCCGTTTCGTCTTTTGTTAAAACTTAATATTTGGCATTTTTTTTCTTAAATTTTTTCCCTATTTTTTTTTTTTTCATTTTGTTTGACCTGATACACAATGTCTGTTGACCCTCAGATTTTATTGGCTAAGGTATGTATTGATAACGATATCTTTACAAATAAGAGAAAAGTTCTTGATTCTAAAACGAAAAATACATTTAGGCTGATAAGAAGGCCGCCCCTGCCAGTGGCTTTTCCAAGTTATTTTCTGGTAGCTCTACCTACCAATATGAAGAAGCAGCCGACCTTTATATACAGGCTGCCAATGTGTTTCGGATACAGAGAGAAGGTAAGTTGTTTTAACAATGATGTGGCAAACATGAGCATTGAGTTGAACAATTCGTAATAACTTTTTTTTTTCTTTCTTTTAAGGACGCGCTGCTGGCCAAGCGTTTGAGAAGGCAGCTGCAGCTCAGCAAAAGAGCGAGTCGAAAGACGAAGCAGCCAACACACTGGTGGAGGCATACAAGTCATATAAGCAGACAGACCCTGAGGATGCGGTGCGGGTGTTGAAGCAGGCCATTCAATTATTTACCCTGCGAGGCCAGTTTCGACGAGCGGCCAACTATGAGATGGACCTTGGAGGAATCTACGAGAAGGAGTTGGTGAACATTACCGAGGCTATTGCCGCATATGATACCGCAGGTGAGTGGTACTTCCAAGACCAGGCGGAGGCTCTGGCCAACAAGGCGTTTTTGAAGGTTGCGGATTTGTCTGCACTGAATGGAGATTATGCACATGCGGTGCAACGATATGAGCAAGTTGCACGGGCCAGCTTGAACAATAATCTGACGAGGTGGAGTTTGAAGGAGTATTTTCTCAAGTCTGGTCTGTGTCACATTGCTGCACAGGATCTTGTTGCAGCAGAGCGGGCAGTTTCGCAGTATATGGAATGGGAACCGAGCTTTGTTGGAACTAGGGAGTGTCTTTTGCTGCAGGATGTGCTTCAGTGTGTGAAGGATTCAGATGCAGAGCAACTTTCGGCCAAGTTGTTTGAGTATGACCAGTTTTCGAAGCTTGACAACTGGAAGGCAACTATTCTGCTTAAGATTAAGAACAACATTGCCAATGCCGAAGAGGATATTTTGTAAAAAAAAGAAAAAAACTAAAGGTTTTTTTCTTTTTTTATTTCATGACAATTTTTTTTTTTTTTTTTTTTTTTACTCTGGTTATATAAAGTAGGATGGTAGAAAAACCAAAAGGAAGCATGTTGACGGCGTGCGCACTTCTATAGTTGCTGTAGGTCGATGGAAGAGATGAAGTTATTGAAGAAGTTGATTTGGGTTACTGTGAAGTAACTTTAAATAGGTATTTCAAGTAACTTGAATTTTTTAAAAAAAAAAAAAAAAAAGAAAAAAAAAATAGAAATTAGCTTTAAGGCTTCAAAGCCAAAGAATTTAAATGGATCCCAAGTCACGATATTTCAGTTACTCTAAATGAGGTTCTTTAAATATATAGGACAACTACGAAAGGAAGTTGCAATATTATTTTGGATTGTTTGAAAATGAAGATTGGTGAATAAAATAAAAAAAAGAAAAAAAGAAAAAAGTTTTTCACAAGAAGACCCGGGTTGCTGTTGAATTTTTCACACAAAAGCGAGTCACCGGCAGTCCTCGGATAGAAACCGTTGAACCTTTGATATCCGCACTTTTAACTTAGAAAAAAGTGGAAATATTTAGTAGGTAAAGATTAACGCATTTTTTTTTTTAAAAAAAAAATCATATCAAAGAAAAATCAAAGATCTTTTTTAAAGGAAAAAAATTACTCATAGCAATCAATTAAGACCATCAAAAAAAAAAAAAAAAAAAAAAAAAAAAAAACAAACAAAAAAAAAAAAAAAAAAAAGAGGAACTGAAAACGTTTCCTGTCATGATTTTTGCGTAGACTCATAGACATTGACTTGGAATTTCTAGGATTGCTAAATACTAGTTTAATAGTATTAATTAATTATTATAATAGCCCAACAAGCAGTAGGACATTATGAGCAATCCAACGTGCGTCTGAGGACCCAATTGGTTCTTTTATGAGGACTGAGGTAAGAATTGAGCGGTAATCCCGAGAACAGGTGTTTCTTTTTAAGAAATAGCACAATTCAAAATAAGTTTTTTTTTTTTTTTTCTTTTTCTTCATAGGGATTTATTTAAGAAAAGTCAATAAAACAATTTAATTTTTATTTTAATTTTAATTTTAAATATAAATATAAAAATTATAACAAAGTTTATTTAAATAAATTAAACATCTGATAAACTGTGAAAAAAATTTTTTTTTTTTTTTTGGTTTAGACAGTTGCTGTTTGTTACCGGTCGTATAAGAGAGTAGTAGTCTTTAAGCCGTTGTTACAGTTACAACTTAACAAACTTACCCGACATCCCCAGAAAATTTTTTTTTTTTTTTTTTTTTTTTTTGCAAGAGTCACCACCACTGCTTACAGAAATAAAAAAAATTTTCTTATCTGTGTGTGTGTGACAGTCAGTACTGACTGGTGCGCTGCTGATTCACCTAGTACTTGTGTATATATAAGCGTATAGCTAACTATAAGTATTTAATATTTATTAATTTTATATTTATTTATATTTATTTATATTTATTTATATTTATTTATATTTATTTATATTAAATAAACTGCCTTTTTTTTTTTTTTTTTCTTTCTTTCTTTTCTTTTCTTTTTCTTTCTTTTCTTTTTTTTTTTTTTTTTTTTTTTTTTTTTTTTTTTTTCTTTCTTTTTCTCCACACTCTTCATTCAGATTTTCTCTTCTTCTCTCTAAAACCCCTGAAAAAGAAAGAACACCTTTTTGCTCTTTTCTTTTCCCGGACTTTAGAAAGACCCAAAAATGATTGTTCGATCATCCATCCCTGCGCCCATCCGCGCAGCCTATAAGGCCGTTGCCTCGTCATCCTTCAAGCCTAACAGCTTCCAGCAGCACCTCTCTAAACCTGTCTTTGCTTCTCGTCGCTACAACAGCTCAAAGGCCTCCACAGAAAAAGCCTCCAAGTACGTTGGTGCAGGAATCCTTACTCCAAACAGTTCCAAAGAAGGTCTTGTCGATGTCACCAATGTTCTTGTCATTGGTTCCGGTGGTTTAAGCATTGGCCAGGCAGGTGAATTCGATTACTCGGGTAAGTTTTAAAGAAAAAAAAAATTTTTTTTTTTGTATAAAAATTTTCAATGGGGGAGCACCAAAAAAAAAAAAATAAAAATAAAACACTGCAAGGTTGCTGCTATTACAGTAGAGAAATATACTTACAGAATTCGCTTGAAAAATACCACCAATTATTCACACAAAATAACCCACCTTTACAAACAACTCGCAACAGCCAATTCCTTTTTATTCTCAATTCTTAATTCTTAATTCTCAATTCTCAATTCTCATCAAAAATTTTTTTGAGAGATAATTTTCTCATCTTTTCCCAAACCGTCTTAATTTTTTTTTATTCCCTTTTCTCCATACATATTTTTTATCCACTATCTTCCTATCTAAACTTACTTTCATTGGTAAACCTTGTTTTTTTTTTTTTGATACTCCCCTGCTGGTATATATATATATATATATATATATATTTGGTCTAACTCAATCATTTAGGTTCTCAGGCTATCAAGGCTCTCAAAGAAGAAAACAAAAAGTCAATTCTTATCAACCCAAATATTGCCACTATCCAAACTTCTCACGGCCTCGCCGATGAAGTTTACTTCCTCCCCGTTACTCCTGAATACATTATTGACATTATTGAGCGCGAAAAACCCGATGGTATTCTTTTGACTTTTGGTGGCCAAACTGGCCTCAACGTCGGTGTCCAGCTTGACAAGATGGGTGTCTTTGAACGCTACGGTGTCAAGGTCCTTGGTACCCCCATTAAGACCCTTGAAACCTCTGAAGATCGTGATTTGTTTGCCCAGGCTCTTAAGGAAATTAACATCCCTATTGCCGAATCTATTGCCGTTGATACTGTTGATGATGCTCTTTCTGCCGCTGAAAAGGTCGGCTACCCCATCATTGTTCGTTCTGCTTATGCTCTTGGTGGTCTTGGTTCCGGTTTTGCTAACAACAAGGAAGAATTGTACAACTTGGCCTCTCAGTCTCTCTCCCTCGCCCCTCAAATTCTTGTCGAAAAGTCTTTGAAGGGCTGGAAGGAAGTCGAGTACGAGGTTGTCCGCGACCGCCTTGGTAACTGTATCACTGTCTGCAACATGGAAAACTTTGATCCTCTCGGTATCCACACTGGTGACTCCATTGTCGTTGCTCCTTCTCAGACTCTTTCTGATGAGGAGTACCACATGCTTCGTTCTGCTGCTATTAAGATTATCCGTCACCTCGGTGTCGTTGGTGAGTGCAACGTCCAGTACGCTCTCCAGCCTGATGGTCTTGACTATCGTGTCATTGAGGTTAATGCCCGTCTCTCCAGATCTTCTGCTCTTGCTTCCAAGGCTACCGGCTATCCTCTTGCTTACACTGCTGCTAAGATTGGTCTTGGTCACACTCTTCCTGAACTCCCTAACGCTGTTACCAAGACTACCTCTGCTAACTTTGAACCTTCCCTTGATTACATGGTCACCAAGATCCCCCGATGGGATTTGTCCAAGTTCCAGCACGTCAAGCGTGACATTGGCTCTTCCATGAAGTCTGTTGGTGAAGTTATGGCCATTGGCAGAACTTTTGAGGAATCTTTCCAAAAGGCTATCCGCCAGGTAGACCCCTCCTTTGTTGGATTCCAGGGTGCTCAGTTTGATGACCTTGATTTTGCTCTTGCTAACCCTACCGACCGTAGATGGCTTGCCGTTGGCCAGGCCCTCATGCACGAAGGCTACACTGTTGACCGTGTTCACGAGCTTTCCAAGATTGACAAGTGGTTCCTTTACAAGCTTATGAACATTGTTAACCACCAGAAGTCTCTTGAGGCTATTGGCAGTCTCTTTGGCGTTACCCACGACGTTATGCTCACCTCCAAGAAGCTTGGTTTCTCTGACAAGCAGATTTCTATTGCTGTTGGCTGCACCGAGGATGAAGTCCGCTCTCGCAGATTGTCCTTTGGTATCCGACCCTTTGTTAAGAAGATTGATACTCTTGCTGCCGAATTCCCTGCCGACACCAACTACCTCTACACCACTTACAATGCCACTACCCACGACGTTGAGTTTGATGAATCTGGAACCATGGTTCTTGGTTCCGGTGTTTACCGTATTGGTTCTTCCGTCGAGTTTGATTGGTGCGCTGTTAACACTGCTCGCTCTCTCCGTAGTGAGGGCAAGAAGACCATCATGGTTAACTACAATCCTGAGACCGTTTCAACTGATTTCGATGAGGTCGACAGACTCTACTTTGAGGAGCTCTCTTACGAGCGTGTCATGGATATTTACGAGCTCGAGAACTCCAAGGGTATTGTGGTTTCTGTCGGTGGCCAGCTCCCCCAGAACATTGCCCTTAAGCTTCAGGAGGGTGGTGCCAATGTCCTTGGTACTGATCCCCGTGACATTGACAAGGCTGAGGACCGTCACAAATTCTCTTCCATTCTTGACTCCATTGGTGTTGACCAACCTGCTTGGAAGGAGCTTTCCTCTGTTGCTGATGCCAAGAAGTTTGCTGATACTGTTGGTTTCCCCGTTCTTGTTCGTCCCTCTTATGTCCTTTCTGGTGCTGCCATGTCTGTCATTCGTGATGAGACTGAGCTCGAGGCTAAGCTTACCAATGCTGCTTCTGTTTCCCCTGACCACCCTGTCGTTATTACCAAGTTCATTGAGGGTGCTGAGGAAATTGATGTCGATGCTGTTGCCCACGATGGTAAGCTTCTTGTCCACGCCATTTCTGAGCACGTTGAGAATGCCGGTGTCCACTCTGGTGATGCTACCTTGATCCTTCCCCCCGTTAACCTTACCGACTCTGACAAGTCTCGTCTTAAAGAGATTGCTGTTAAGGTTGCTGCTGCTTGGAAGATTACTGGTCCTTTCAACATGCAAATCATCAAGGCTAAGAACCCTGACAATGTCACTTTCCCTGATCTCAAGGTCATTGAGTGCAACATTAGAGCTTCCAGATCTTTCCCCTTCGTTTCCAAGGTTTTGGGCACTAACTTCATTGAAGTTTCCACCAAGGCTCTTCTTAACAAGGATGTTCCTGAGCCCGTTGATCTCATGGCCCAGCCCCGCAACTACGTTGCCACTAAGGTTCCTCAGTTTTCCTTCACTCGTCTTGCTGGTGCTGATCCTTTCTTGGGTGTCGAGATGGCTTCCACTGGTGAGGTTGCCTGCTTTGGTAAGGATCTTAAGGAGGCCTACTGGACTTCTATGCAATCTACTATGAACTTCAAGCTTGCTGTTCCTCCCTCTGGTCTCCTGTTTGGCGGTGACTTGACCAACGACAATCTTGCTCATGTTGCCAAGACCCTTGCTCCTTTGGGCTACAAGATTTACACAGCTTCTCCTGCAGTCAAGGAGTACCTTGACAAGGCTCTTGAGGGATCTAGTGAAGTTTCCGTCATTGAGTTCCCCAAGGCTGACAAGCGCAAGTTGCGTGAGGTCTTTGAGAAGTACGACATCAAGACTGTTTTCAACCTGGCTAAGAAGCGTGCTGAGGATCTGTTGGATGAGGACTACGTCATGCGCCGCAATGCCATTGACTTTGCCATTCCCTTGTTCAATGAGCCCAACACTGCTAAGCTCTTTGCTGAGTCTGTTGCTGAGAAGCTTCCTCAGAAGAAGGAGGGTGTTATTCCCAGTGAAGTCAAGAGATGGAGTGAATGGATTGGCTCCAAGTCTGTTTAAGGACTTGTGTGTTTGAAAAAGAAATAAAAATAGAGATGATAAAATTTTTTTCTCTATTTTTTATTTTTGTTTTTGGAAGAAGAAATAGAAAAAAAAAATATGAATGAATGATAAAAAAAACTTGTAAAATATATAATGGTTTAAAATAAATAAATTAAAGTATGAAAAAAATAAAAAAACTATATATATATGTCTAGACATAAATTTCGGAGACAAAAAATTAGGTCCGAATGAAAAATTATTCATTTTATCTTCCCCACATTTATAAATATTTTATTTTTGATTAAACGAGAAACAAGCGCGGGCTTTTTTTTTTTTTTTTTTTTTTTTTAAAAAGGGGAATTAGAATCAGCAAATCACGGATTTATCCGTTTGTGCGAAATGCTTTTCTTTTTTTTTTTTTTTTTTTTTTTTTTTTTCAGAAATCCGGGGGAAATCCACGGCTTGCGGCTTCTCATTTTTTGCGGCGGTAGCGGCAGAGGATTTTTTTGGCATTGGAGAAAACTCAGGCCTTTTTCTTTTCTTTCGTGTGTGACAGTAACAAAAAAAAAAAAATTTTTTTTTGTCAGCTAACAGCCAACAGCCAACAGCCAACAGCCAACCAAGAAAGCTTAGAGATTTTTTTTTTTTGTCTTGTCTTGTCTTCTCTTTTAAAAAACAAAAAACAAAAACCCTAACCCAACCAAAGGGAAAGTTTCCCCCATAAATCCGATGGCACAATTGAGTTCTGTGGAGAAAAAAAAAAAAAAAAAAAAAAAGGGTTGCAGCACTGGGGAAAATAAATAAATAAATAAAGAAAGAAAGAAAAGAAAGAAAGAAAAAAAATAATTAAATAAATAGGTCCGTATATCCTTTGCTTTTTCATAATTTTTTTTCCCCCCTTATATTTAATTCTTTTTCTTCTTTTTTATTTTATTTTATTTATTTCATTTATTTCCTCATCATAGGATCTAATCTACTATTCTTAATATCACTCACTCTCTTCATCAGCCGTAACAATGAGTCTTGTCGCTAACCATCCCACTCTTACTCATGTCGTCAGCATGCTGGAAAAAACCAGTAAGTATTACTACTACTACTACTACTACTACTACCAACACTTGCTTTATTTGCTCTTGCCTAACTAACATTTTATAAAAGCCGGCCGTGACAAGATCCTAAGAACCATCCAGTACTTTTCCCGATTCTTTGCTTACGTTCTGTTTAAGAAGGGTGCCACCAAGGAGTCTATTGCCTTTTGGAAACACCTCCAGGCACAGGTCGCTCTCTCCCGTAAACTATTTCGTGTCGGCAAGCCTTTCAACCACCTGAAGCTCGCTGCTAAGGCATATGCAAATAAAACCCAAGACCCTGTTTTGCGCACCACTGCTGTTTTGCGCAACGTCTTTTACACAGGATACTTTTCCATCGACTCTCTTGTCTGGCTCAACACTTCCAAAGTCTACCAGATCCCCAACTTTAAGCCCATCCAAAAGCTTGGCTCGCGGCTCTGGCTTATTGGTATCATCTTCAACCTCATCAACTCACTCCGTCGCTACCAGCTTGCCACTTTCCAGGAATCAGCTCTTCTCTCTGAGTCTGAAAAGGACTCGGCTCAACTTAAAAAGGTCCAGATTGAAAAGGCCGCAGCTACTCACCAATTTGTTTGGGACGCCCTTGATTCGTCTATCCCCACCTTTGCCCTTGATCTGGCTCCAGGTCTTCTCGACGATGGTATTGTTGGCCTCTTTGGTCTTATCACATCTATCTTTGGTCTCAAGCAGCAATGGAGAATCACTGCTTAAAAAGAAAGATGAGAAGATTTCAATTTATTTTAAGATACCCCTTGCCCGATCCATCTCATATTCCTTATCCTCCCCCCCCTTCCTCCTTTCACATTTTAAAATCATCTATTCTGCTCAATGATTATGACTTTTTTTTTGTACGCACACAGATGCTACATGACTTGAAACGACTCTGACCTTTTGGTCTATTTTTTTCAAAAAAAAATATATATATATAAAATAATTTTTGTTTTATTTACCTGTTTTTTTTTTTTTTTTTTAATGAATTGTTTATAGATTGTCTTCTTTTTTTAGACATTAAAAAAATATATACTCTTAAAACCAATGTTTTTGAAGTGCAAAATCTTCGTTTTTAAAAAGATTATTATGCAGAAAATGAAACCCTTATTTCAGAAACCCTTTATTGTGATGTGAATAATGTTGCTGTTATACAGACAATTATTATAATTATATGAAGATAGATATATGCCTTTATATCAAAACGGCCAACTAATTGTGGCTTTTTTTAATTTGCTTTTATTTATTTATTTTTTTTTTTTTATATAAGACTTTATTAGCTACTTTTCACTTGGACAATTTCATTTTATCCGCGGATCATTAATGTCCGATTTTAAAGTAGAATTTTAACACTTTATATGAGTGATTGACTCATACTTATATGCTTTAACACTTTTAAATGTAATCTAAAGTCTTTTAGAAACTTTTTGCAATATTTTCTTTACTTTGAATGGCACAATTCTTCCCCACGTTTGGATACAATTATCAGGTTAGGGTTTACAAAAAGTTTTTTTTTTTTTGGTTACTTTCAGGATAATTCTCAATGTATTCTGTTTTAACAGAGAAAACAAGCCCAAATGAATACTTTTATAATTATAAGTTTATAAATATGACTAAAGTCAATTCCTTTTTGTTTAAACTAGATTAAACTCTTACATTCTCGATAGTGAATGGTTAGAATCTCTAATATATCCTAAAATACAAACAGTTTCATAGAAAGAAAAAAAAAATTGTTAAATTTTTTATTAACTAAATGTCGCGTGACTATGTTCCTGTTAAGCCTGAGGAATCACCAATCTTTTGACCATAAAATAAGGGTTTATATTAAATATAAAAATGAACATATTAAGATACAGAAGTAACAGTTTAGGGATTGTAAGAGTCATCAAATATTTAAGATTTTAACAGGTTTTGTTTGTTTTATTACTCAATTAATAAGTGTTATCAAGTGACTATGTTCTTTTACTGCTTTCCCTTCTAATAAACTATAATAACTTAGCTATTAAACCCAGAAATCAATTCAGAAACCTACGTAAATCCCGATAGAACAGGCTCTAATATGGGTATGATACATATAGTTAGATATTAGTTGATAGAAAAAACTATATAATGTTAGCATATGTTTTACAACTAGATCGACAAGTTCTATTGATAGAGTTTAGAAATTAAACGAGATAATAAAAAATCGGTATTTGATTTTATTATATTCTTTCTTTATATGATTCATTCGATGCAATCCCTTTTAAACGATAACTTAGCTCATAAATCAAACCTAATATTAATGAAGTCAGTGTTGGATCTTAGCAAGGTTTGCAATAAGAAAAAGACCCTTAATACCAAAAAAAAAAAAAAAGTAAACCCAAATTTGATAAAATGATAAAATGATAAAATTCAGTGCTTAAGTCTACTCAACCTGGAATGAATAGAACCTTCACCCAAAAAAAAAAAAAAATTTTTTTTTTTTTTTTTTTTGACAAATTCTCTGTAAAATGGAAAATTTTAACTTTCAAGCCATCTTTCGAAGACTGTCTTTAAGTCCATGGATTAAGGGTTTAAAAATAACAATATCATTTTATAAATTTCGCATCTATAAATTGGAATTTTTTTTGTATTTAACAAACCATTACTGTGTTTGCTTCTCTGTGATTAAAATAAACATAAAATATCGATATTAAGATATCTTAACTAAAGAAATCAATATAGTACAGAGCATCTTAGAAATTGATTTATGTTTCAACGAACTGTGGTAATATTAAGCCTTTAGATTTATTCTTTTAAATCATAGTGATTAAATTCTATTATTAATATCTAAAAACTATTTTTTTTTCCTTCTTTCTTTCTCGTTTAGTTATTGATGATAATAAAGCTTGGATAAGAGGTGATATTGATTGATTGATTGATTGATTGATTGATAAACTTATTATTTTTAAACTAATCAAAAGTGAAATATAGATATAAATTATATAAACATTACATAAACATGACTAATTTAACAAGGACTTTTAAAAGTATCACAAAGCCATTCTAAAAAAAAAAAAAAAAAAAAAAAAAATCCCACACACACCCATTTTTCTCTTTTCTCATTTTCACAGCACAAAGATATACACACACACCCAGTGAATCATTATTCATTGCACACGCGCTTACAACATCTAAAGATATTTCATTTCTTCCCCACCTCTCGTCTCGGTTATTTTTTCGCGTCACCTAATATCAGCATTTTAGATTTAGGAATTTTTGGGGTTTGATTTTAGATTTCTGTTATCTTATCCTTTTCATTGGATTTGTTTTTCTTTTTTTTTTTGTTTTTGTTTTTTTTTGTTTTTTTTTTTTTTTTTTTTTTTTTCGTCTGTGAATCATCACCACCTAGAAAATTTCAGTACCACCTTCACAACACGAAAAATATAAAGAACTGAAAGAAGACACTTCATGGTGGCCAGTTATCACTAAACGTAATTGAGCCATCCTGAAATCTGTTATAAATCTTTTTGCGCTCTATCTAATCATTAGCATATCAATTCATGAATTAATATTACATTCGTTTCCTTCTTTTTTTTTTTTTACTTGCATTTCATACCTTGTCCTGTACTTTTAGTTTTACTCAAGCTTGTCACCACCACCCTTTGGTCCTATCCACCTTTCTCCACATCAAGCTTCTTTAAAACAAACGAAAAAATCAAATTCAAATCAATAAACCTACATTTATCAATCTGATTTTTCAATATCTACTTACAACAATCATTTTGAAGAGATAACAATTCTTTATACCATTGACACATCTAGATCTTAAGAAAAAAAATCCTAGACGTGACAACCAATATATATATATATATATATATACTGCTTAAAAACATATCAACAGTAAACCAACATCTGAAATAATATTTACATCAACGAATAAACTTGATAAGCATACCATAGTCTACTACTGCTAATGTCTTATAAAGCACCATGTCTGCTTCTCCTCCAGGTTCCTCTTTTGTGTCTCCGGTCACTACAACCGCCACAGTCAACAATACAAATAATCAGAATCCTCAGCAGCAGCAGCAGCAGCAGCAGCAACAACAACAACAACAACAGCAACAACAACAAGTTCCACAAGTTCAGCAACATGCATCATTACCTCCACCTCAGGTTACGGTGCATCCAGTTACTGGTGTGCCGGTAGTACAGTTTTCTAAGGAACACTTTCTTCGGCAGTTTCAAATGCTGACCCCAAGCCAAGTCCAGCATTTGCATCAACTTTCGGGCCCTGAACAACAACAACTTATTTACAAACATCTTCTTTATCGATTTTATAATTCCAACCCTGAAATAAAAGCCCAAATTATGGCGCATACCCAACAGGCGCAAGCTCAAGCGCAAGCCCAAGCGCAAGCTCAAGCGCAAGCTCAAGCGCAAGCTCAAGCGCAAGCTCAAGCGCAAGCTCAAGCGCAAGCTCAAGCCCAAGCGCAAGCCCAAGTCCAAGCTCAAGCTCAAGCTCAAGCCCAAGCCCAAACTCAAGTTCAAGCTCAAGTTCAAGCTCAAGCTCAAGCCCAAGCCCAAGCCCAAGCCCAAGCCCAAGCCCAATCACCACAAACTCAAACACAAGCACAAGTACAAGTGCAAGCACAAGCTCAGCCACAGACATCTCAAAATTCTCCTCAGTCTCAAGAAATGTCTCCTGCTATTTCGCAAAGTCAACTAGCTGCCGTTCAAAGTGCGTCTTCGCCACGTATTGCTAGCCCTGTCATTGCACAACGGGTAGCATCTTCTAAGTCACCACTTCCTGGCAGCCCAATAGCAATGACTACAACGGTATCAACAAAAGGTGTTAACAAACCAGTAAACGGTGCCATGAATGGGTTTAAGGTTGAAACTGGTCGTAAGTTCAACTTTGCAGAAACTTCTGAGGATATTCTTAAAAAATTCAAAGATGATCCTCCTAGTTTGATACTTCATATTCATTTATCGCATTTCAGATTTGAAGGTCAAGAAACTGTTATTCCTAAAAAGAGTCCTTTAATGAAGGTTAGTCTTAAAGTTGGTTTATTATTATTATTATTATTATTATTATTATTATTATTATTATTATTATTATTATTATTATTATTATTATTATTATTATTATTATTATTATTATCATTATTATCATTGTTATTCTAACAGCGTTTTTAGGCTTTTTTTGAGTATGTATCACAAAATGCTATTCCACCAGCTGCAACCGAAGTTTTTGGAGACTCGTGTATTAAATTCTACGAGGGAAATATAATATTGGAAATACACGACCATCGTGCGATACCACAAGATTTAACAGAGAGCACCCCACAAGATGGAACTGTCAAAACAGAAGTCAAAGAAGAGGAAAAACAAATTAAGACTGAAGATAGCAAGGAAAACGATAAAGAGGGTGAGAAGAATAAGGAGAGGGAAAAAGAAAAGGAAAAGGAGAAGGAAAAAGAAAAAGAAAAAGAAAAAGAAAAGGATGTTTCTGATGATAAAAACTTTGCTGCTATTTCTTCTTCATCTCCCAAGGCTGAGCCCAAAATAATAAGGACAGTTTTGCGCCCTACTCCGTTATCCATGTGGCATGATTTGTTATATTACACAGATTTTAATCATGTTCAACTCACAGATTTCACTGCTCTTCGTGTTGAAGAAGAAATACTTCGGTTCACTCTACGGAACGTTGATTTAACAGTACCTAAAAACCCATTTCATTCTCCAATTGGGCCCATTCTAACAAACCAAAAGGAAGTTCGGCGGCATATGGAACAAGAGCAGGGGAAAAGGACATGGTCAGAACTTCAAGCCGAACAAAATTTTCTTGCTCAAGAGAGGAAGAAACAAAAAGCGGAGGCTAGTTCCATTTCAATTGAAGAAGCCCAAAAAAATATTGCCAAGCTGCAAAGCGAACAGGAACAAAACAGAAAACAGTTATTGCTTTCTTCCCAGTTTCAGTCACCTTCATCTGCTGCCAGATCATTGTACGCTTCTCGACCTGAGGTTCGGAAACCATTTCGACGCCTGCATGAAGACTTTAAGCATCATGGTTCTGAGTATGAAGAACTTATGCTCATTATGTCTGATATTCCTCCTGCTCAGAATTCATCATCAGCTGCATCTGGTCAGCTTATGCGTCTTTCGGTTATTGAACAGATTCGTAAAAAAAATCAAAATGCTCTGTTGACTCAGCAAAGAATGGCAATGCTACAACGTCAGCAGCAGCAACAACAACAACAACAGCAGCAGCAGCAACAACAACAACAACAACAACAACAACAACAACAACAACAACAACAACAACAACAACAACAACAACAACAACAACAACAACAACAACAACAACAACAACAACAACAACAACAACAACAACAACAACAACAACAACAACAACAACAACAACAACAACAACAACAGCAGCAGCAGCAGCAGCAGCAGCAGCAGCAGCAACAACAACAGCAACCAACATCTCAATCTCAAGCACAGGCACAAGGGCAGGCCCAACCTCAAACACCGGCACAAACTAATCAACCACAGCTGCAACCCCAGTTACAAGTTCAAGCTCAAGCTCAAGCTCAGCAGCAGCAGCAACAGCAACAAGCTCAACAGCAACAAGCTCAACAGCAACAAGCTCAACAGCAACAACATGTTCAGCAACAAGTTCAACAGCAGCAACAAGCTCAACAGCAGCAACAATTGCAACAACAACAGCAACAGCAAGTTCAACAAGCTCAACTAGCGCAACAAGCTCAACTAGCGCAACAAGCTCAACAGGCGCAACAAGCGCAACAAGTGCAGTTCCAACAGCTTCAACAGCAGAAGCAACAACAACAAATGCAATCATCTCCACAACAAATCCAGCAACAGTTAATACAACAACAAAGAGCCCAGCAGCAACAACAAAAATTACCAAACAATTCACAACATTTATCAGATGGCAATAACCATCAACAACCCAATGGACAACCAACCATTCAAAGATCTCAAGGTTCATTTTCTTCTGCATCCCCCCAGCTAGCTACGGCTAATATTCCTAATTCTGCATTGCAAATGCAACCACAGTTACAAGGTCAGGTTCAGGGACAACAACAGCAGTTCTCTCATCAAGTCAATGGAAATCAACAACATTCCCAGCAGCAACCGCAGCAACAGCAACAGCAACAACAACAACAGCTTCAAATCACACCTCAGCAATTACTTGTTTTGCAGCATCAAATTCAGCAGCTCCAACAAATCCAACAGCAGCAGCAACTAACCCCTCAGCAGCAACAAACTATTCAGTTTCAAATTCAACAGTACCGAAACCAACATGCTGCGATCCAAAAAGTTCTTATTCAAGCTCACAAGGCCCAGCAACAAGCTGCTCAGAACAATAACCCCAATAACCAAATCCAGCAGTCTCAGTTTACATTACAGCAACAACAACAAATCCAACAACTGCAACAGCAGCAGCGCACTGGTAACGCTGGTCCTAACCAAAATGTTGTGACACCCATAATTTCTAATCCAGGATCTCCAGGAAATATGATGCAAAGTCCGCTAATGGTCTCAAATACTCTTAATGGACAATCCATGTCTGGACAGAATTCCGCAGGTCCTGGTACGCCAACAATGGGTAATGCAAATGTGAATAATAGCGCTGGAAATAATATCAATACACGGGGTGGTCGTGGGAAGACTCAACGGCCCAGGGGTAGAACCCCATCTCGTGGAAATGCTACTTCTTCTAGAGGAAGAGGTAGCACAGCTGGATCACCTGTGTCTACACCAGGACCTGCGGGAAATACTCCACAGATTCAACATGCAAACATTTCTGGGAAAACAGTACCTGGCGCTGGCAACATGAACAACGGCACTGCTAACATCAGTCCACAAATGGGATTTGCTAATGTTTCTGGAAAAACCCTTCCTGGTACTCGTCCTGGCAATCAAATGATGAATAATGGTGCTACGGCTGGCGGAGCAGGCAACAGTGGAGCCATGGGAATTCTTGGTGGGTTTATGGGAGGAAATAACAATGGTATTCTTGGTGCTTCTGGGAATAGCAATATTACTGGTGGTGGTGGTAATGGTCTTATGGACTCTAGTTCTGGATTTAATTTTGGGAACTTGGGAGGAAATACAGGAGTTGTTTTGGGGATGTCACAACAGTCAGCGTTCCATCACCAAAATATCAGCGGCAAGACCGTTCCTGGAAAGACGATTCCTGGAAAAACAGTGCCCGGTAAAACGGTACCTGGTAAGACGGTACCTGGTAAGACGACTCCAGGAAAGACAGTACCTGGCAAGACAATTCCTGGCAAAACAATTCCAGGTAGCGGTGGTGGTGGATTATAAGTTGCTCGTATAATATCACCCTCTATATACATTGTCGATATATTAATATAATGTATATATGAATTTAAAACAGATATACATTACAGCTGTTTGTGGATATAGAATGATAGAATGATAATATATTGATTGAATGAATATGTTGAACAGACTAGGATCTTGGTCGAAGGTTTAAATTTTCGGCTTTTGAAAAATATGGACAGTAAAAGCCGACCATTCTCTGAAAAATCCTGATTACTTTTATAATTCGTGTGAAATCTATATTGACAGAGATGCCAACAGAGCCAGAACCATCACAATCTACTGTCTGGCTTTTTCTATCTAAACCCAGGTGTGGGTTTATTTTTCCTTTAAGAGAATCAATGCCATTTTATGGTACATTTAAGTGAACGGTTTAATCTCGTATTTTTTTTTTTGGAACCCTTTGATCACTATACATATGTGCGGCTAACTAAGATTAGTCTAAGAACAGAAACAAAAAACAACCCTAAAAAGCCAGAGAATATTTATTAACACACCATTGACATTAGCTCAAATTATGCTGATTTTTTTTTAATTAAAAAAAAAAAATTAGGATGATGATGAATGATATTGAATATAAATTTAAAACTACAAAAAAAAAAGATTAAAGAGCTGCTTTTGTCTTTTTGAGTCTTCTTAAGTTTTTTTTTTTCTGTGCTTGGCATATTACAAAATTCTTTTTTCGATTATGTAAGAAATCACAAAATGGCATCACGTCCAGTCATACGGAATCACTTGCACTCACCACCCAAATGTTCTCCTCCATTTTTTTTGCCTTGTAAAATAAACTCGGATATATTGTGGTGATTATGGCTACATCATTGTGAAAAATCTAAAAATCTTCTTTTAGAAAAATTCTCCTGATCTGTTAAAATATTACTGTAGAACTCTTAATGAAACCCATTGGAAATCAAATCTTGGAAGTGAACCTCTCATGGGTCGTATTATGCTGCACGCAGATGCTAGCACTAGTGCAGTTGTTAGAATAAGCATAAATAATATGTTTTTTCCGCTCCTTTTTCCCTCCTTTTTTTTTTTACACATTGGTATATTTCTTTATTGCGATATCATACAGAATTTTTAGCACAACTTAATAGATCCATTTGATGAGTCCCAAACTACAACAGCAGGCAGGCCCTGCTCCAGAAGAGGACTCATTTATTATCACGGACGAACAAAATCATTCTCCAGAATTAAATCACGGCCACCCGCTATCTTATCAGCATGAAAAAGACCACAAAACGCATCACAGTATCCATCTTGTTAAATCATCACACAGTGAAAAATTAGACAAGAAACAAAAAAAGAAGGAAAAGAAGGAAAAGAAAGAGAAAAAAGATGACGATTCTAACGATGACATCAAGTCACTTAATTTTGAAGGTCGTACTGAAGAAGAAATTGAAATTCTGAAAAGCCAAATTATCCAGCTAAATCAGAGTTTCTCGTATTTTACATTATATCGCTACGCTACACGGTTCGATCTGTTTCTTATATTTTCTTCCAATGTCAGTGCCATAATCTCCGGTGCTGCTCTTCCTCTTTTTACTTTAGTCATGGGTGGAATCACTAATGACTTTACTCACTTTTTAACCACCAACCAAGGCGGTGATGAGTTTCAAAAAAGTGTCAACCATAATACCCTTTTTTTTCTTTACCTCATGATTGGAATTCTCGCTTGTTCGACATTTCAAACTTTTATTTCAGTTGAACGTGGTGAAGTCCTTACTGCTCGTATTAGAGAGCATTATATAAAAGCTATTCTTCGCCAAAATATTGCTTATTTTGACAAAATTGGCCCCGGTGAAATAACAAATAGAATCACATCCGATATTAACGTTATTCAAGAGGGTATCTCAGAAAAGGTAAATCTGGTTTTTCAAGGATTTTCCACGTTTTTCTCTGCCCTTATTATTAGTTTCATTCGTTCCTGGCGTCTTTCTCTTATTCTTTTGTCTACCACATTTGCAATCATCTTTACTATGGGTGCATGCTCCTTTTTTCTCATGAAATACACAATTCGTGGCTTAGACGCCTTTTCAAAAGCTTCTTCTGTAGCTGAGGACATTCTCAGTTCTATTCGAACAACCACCGCTTTTGGCATTCAATCTCGTCTAACAAAGGGATACACTGAAAGCGTTAACGAATCATTTTTGAACGGGGTAAAAGCAGGCAGAGCAATGATGGTCATGGCAGGTGTATTGTGGGCTATTGCCTACTGGACTTATGGTCTCGCATTTTGGCAGGGATCCCGGTTTATTGCCAATGGCTCAAGTTCTCCAGGTGCCATGATCACAGTCACAATTTCTATCATGATTGGTGCAATGAGTATAGGAAATTTGGCCCCTGCTTTTCAATCTATTGGAAAATCCGTTGGCGCTGCCACAAAAATTTTTGGAACTATTGACCGAGTTCCGGTCATTGACTCTTCCTCAGAAGAGGGCGTAAAGCTGGATTCTATTGTTGGAAAAATTGAATTTCGTGATGTTTGCTTTGCCTATCCCTCACGGCCTAATGTCACTGTTTTAAATGGGTTTAATTTGTTGGTCAATCCTGGCGAAACAGTTGCTTTGGTGGGTGCATCAGGGTCTGGTAAATCCACAATAATTGGCATTTTGGAACGGTTTTACAGCTATCTAGGCGGCTCTGTCACTCTTGATGGCATTGAGCTTTCAACTTTTAATGTCAAGTGGCTCCGCCGGAACATCTCTCTTGTTTCCCAAGAACCTACATTGTTTAGTGTTTCCATTTTTGAAAATATTTGCTACGGTCTTCTTGGAACTGATTATGAAAATTCATCAGATGAAGAAAAATTAAGGCTAGTTGAAGATGCTTGCAAACAAGCCAATGCATGGGATTTCATTCAAACTCTTCCTCAAAAACTTGATACCAATGTGGGTCAACAGGGATTCCTACTCTCCGGTGGCCAAAAACAGCGCATTGCTATTGCTCGCGCAATCGTTTCTCAACCAAAAATTCTCCTCTTAGATGAAGCTACCTCTGCTTTGGACACAAAGTCAGAAGGTGTGGTGCAAGAAGCTTTAGACCGTGTTTCTACCAACCGCACCACCATTGTTATTGCTCATCGTCTTTCAACTATTAAAGATGCAGACAAAATCGTTGTTTTGTCCTCTGGTACTATCATTGAAACTGGAACACACAATGAGCTTTTGGAAAAAAGAGGTGCTTATTATTCTTTAGTTAAAGCACAAGACATTAAACAAAACGATTCTCACAATCATCATCATCATCCAGGATCTGCAAATCACAGTATTAAAAGTGTCGATGAAAAATCTGTTCAGAGTGAAAACGGTGGTAAGCAAGACTTATCGTTGTCTAAAACAGAAACAGTCAGCTCAGCTCAGTCAATTTCGGAAAAAGTTGTTGCCGATTTAACAGAAAAGGGCTATTTTAACACTGAAGTGGAAAAAAGAACAGTTCTTCAGTTGATTAAATTTGTGAGTTATTATCTCTATTTTTTAAAAAAAATTCTTCATTCTAACAGTTTTTTAGCTTTTAAAATTCACAAAGGGCTACAACAAGATTATTATTTTTGGTATTTTGGGCGGAACTATTGCTGGTGTCGGCTATCCTATAATGGCTTTTCTCTTTGGGAAAATTCTAAATAGTGTGATGGTCACCCCCGACCAGTATCCCCAAATGCGACATAATGTGAATGTTTACGCAGGGTATTGTGTTTTGCTTGGAGGTATCGAGTTAATTGTTACTTTCATTCTTTATGGAACTATGACATACCATACACAAGTTTTGGTCAGAGGTATTAGAATAAAGGTTTTTGAACATTACCTTAAAATGGATATTGCCTTTTTTGATAAAGATGAGAACTCCACTGGTGCTTTAACTTCTACGCTTTCCAAGGATGGTCAAAATGTTGAGGGTTTTGGTGGTGTTACACTTTCCCAGATTCTAAACAGTTTGGTCATTTTGATTAGTGGTATAATCATGTCTATTGTCATCAATTGGCGTCTTGGTTTAGTATGTACTGCTTGTGTTCCTCTTCTTGTCGGGTGCGGGTTTCTTCGCGTTTTTATTTTGCTCCGCTTGGAGGAGAGAGCCAAAAAGACTTATGAAGAATCGGGACAATATGCATGCGAAAGTGTCAGTGCCGTCCGTACCGTGGCATCTTTGACGAAAGAAGATCATGTTTGCCAGATATACTCTCAAACTGTTGAATCCCAGCTTTCCAATTCGAGATCTACTATGCTGCGGTCTGCCATTCTTTTTGGGCTTTCAGATGGTCTCTCCCCAGGTATCATGGGTCTTGGGTTCTGGTATGGTGCAACACTAATTAGAAAGGGTCAAAGTAATCCTTATATGTTTTTCACAGCTTTTATTGCTGTTATTTTTGGTGCTCAAAGTGCTGGAAATATTTTTTCGTATTCTTCAAGTATTGGTAAAGCACAGCAAGCTTCTCAAAACATTGCGGAGATTTTGGACGTTCAACCAAAAATTGATCCAACCTCCACAGAAGGCGATGTTTTGGAAAATATTGTAGGTGACATTGAATTCAAAAATGTTCACTTTAGATATCCATCACGTCTACATGTCCCTGTTTTACGGGGCCTTAACATTACAGTTAAACGCGGTCAATACGTTGCGCTTGTCGGATCTTCTGGGTGTGGTAAAAGTACCACAGTTAGTTTGCTGGAACGATTTTATCATCCTCTTGCAGGTCAAATTCTACTTGATGGGGTTGATATTACTACCCTTAATATTAAGAAATACCGTGAACACATTGGTCTGGTTCAGCAAGAGCCTGTGCTTTTTAGCGGTACAATCCGAGAAAATATTTTGCTTGGATTGGATGAAGAACAAGCTGCCATTGTTCCTGAAGAAGAGCTATACAATGCTGCCAAAAAGGCAAACATTCACGACTTTATCATGTCACTTCCTCAGGGATATGAAACAGATACTGGCACCAAGGGAACTCTCCTTTCAGGAGGTCAGAAACAGCGCATTGCCATTGCCCGCGCTATGATACGTAATCCCAAAGTGCTTCTTCTTGATGAAGCTACCTCGGCTTTAGACAGTGAGTCTGAAAAGGTGGTGCAAACGGCGTTAGATGAAGCTGCAAAGGGAAGAACAACAATTGCAGTGGCACATAGACTCTCGACGATTCAAAATGCAGATATTATTTATCTCATTGACAAGGGCTGTGTCGCAGAATCTGGAACTCATAGCGAACTAATTGAGCTCGAAGGTTTGTATTATCAGCTTGTCAAGATGCAGGATCTTGAGAAGACTGGGTAATAGTAATGTTTTGAATTTACTGTTTTTTTACATATTCTGATACATGTATTTTTGTTTTTCTGACTTATATATGACCAATTTTTTAAAGAAATGAACATGACTAAATTCCTTAATGCATATCTCAAAAACTATTGGGTTAGAGATGCATCATTTGTAAGACGAGTCGATCAAACATTGGTAAATGTACCAGAAAAAAATCTAGTCTGAAGTTAATAGTGCATGTTAGTTCTCCATGAGCTAGTTTAAGTAATCAATAAAAAAACCCATCACCAAAAGTCCAAACGCAACACTAGATCTAGTATAGCGAAACTTTTTCTATAAGTTTCAAATCACTAAAAGAGCAATCAAAGAAATGCCAGTAATCATAATAATAGCCTAATTTAATATCAGTAATTAGTATAGTAAAAGAAATAATCCAAAATTTTAATCAATGGATGCTATTGATAACTGATGTTTACTATTTTAAAAAAATTCATCAAGAAGCCTTGAAAACTATACCATAACTTGCTTGAAATATGGGCTATTTAATTTTTAAAAGCTTTCTTATTAAATGTTTGTTTATATGGTAATTCATTTTTCCTTAATTTTGTTGAAATTTTATAATGACATTGTCATGATATCTAGTTGGATCTAACTGCAACCTGTAGTCATTTGCCAATGAGAGTAGCGCCAAAAAGCATGTTGCTCTGGTTGGCTTACCAGGATTTAATTCAGTATCGTTTTCAAAAATAGCCGTTACTTGGTGGCTTATTTCATTAAATGAATCAGAAAGTTGGTAATAACCGGTTATTCTGCAATTCTCATCATTCTTGTCTTGACTAGCAAATGATGCCAAAAGGCACTCATCCATGGTATTCTTGAGCTCCAAAAAATTGACATAAGTAGAAAACTTGGAATATGCGAGAGGGGTATCTTTAACGCATTTGATTTCTCGCATTGTTACATTATTGTTGTTAACATCCGAAAGAGAAATAGAAACAGAGTTATTGTAGTCTGGAATATCATAAATATAGTCATTATTGTCAAACGATACCTCATCACTATCCTCTTCGTTTGGTATAGGAGGTGCTTCTCTGAAAAACATTTTAAAAAATTTATTTTGGTCAAGGGTTTCAACAATTTGAGTTAACACATTACGAATTGCTAGGTATCTATCCAGAGGTATCCGAGATTGAACATTGCCTTCTTCAAAAATCTCTTCTTCGTTAAATGGGGTATCATCGTTATCAAGAAAATCAATAAACTCTATCGGTTCACTGTCTCTTCTTCTTATTATTCTTCTTGACCTAGTTAAAAATAAAGATTCTCTTTCTTCTCCAGTCATAGCTGACCGAATGTTTTGTATCCTCCAATGCTCAGTTGGTAACTCAAAATTTCCCACAGGACCTGAATTTTCATAATTTAAAATGCTTTGAGCTTCTAAAACATTAGAAACAATATCAACAGGCTGTGCATCATTATCATTATCATTATAATCGTCATTGGTATCCTCCCAGTCCATATTATAGTCAAAAGATATCCTTTCGAATGTTGATTCTTCAAAAAAATCAACATTTGTTGTTTCCTGTGTAGCGATTCGGTTATGTTCCAATGGATGCATGCGTGTTCCTTTTGCTAGCGATTCTAGATAGGGAAGAGAAGGGCACATGGTTAGGTACTCTATATCGAGATCTCCTTCTCGTTGAAAAAATTTGCGATATACTCGTCGGAGATTAATTTGAGGAGCATCAGCATCACGTAAATCAATTTCTCGTTGAATTTCTTCTCTTCTTCGTTCTTCTTTAAGTGAAACTTTTTCATTAAGCAGAACATCATCTCCGTATAAAATTTTTGCTCCGTTGCTACCAAGACTCAATGAGTTTAAAAATAATGTCTTTGCGCTACCCTCTTTAAACTGCGACTGCAAATAGTAATATAAAGGACCTATGAAAGTGTTTTCGTTCCTGGCCTTATCACGAATGGCATCAAAATTGGGAGCTAAAGTACATGATCTTTTGTTACCTTTTCGTCGTTCTTGTCGTTGAGGTATCTCATCTTCAGAATCACTTTCCATATGAACATCGGAATCGTTCTCAACCTCGGTAGGCTGTCTTCGACGCTTATTATTTACAAAGCACACATTTATATTGTTTAATAATTGAACAGTTGATTGAGAAGCAAGATCTATTCGTGTACAATACAGTTTAACACAGTGATCGAGTGCATATGCTGTTCTTTGAAAGCTAAGCTTGTCATTTTCGAAAAGCGAATCCATCCAGTAAAACCGATCAATGAGCGAGTTAATCCATATTTTATCGTCTTTAGCATCGATAGAAGAAGCTTCTTGAAAAAGTAAGTCCCAATCATATGGCCGCTCAAAATCAAGACTTTCAGAAGATGAGCATTGCAATGCTCGAAAACTATTGGAGTCTTCCATGTTTGCTCTGGGGACTATGGCAACAAACAAACGTCATTTCGAAAAGTATGTGGTGGTGTTGAAGAAAATAAAGCCCCTCCATGATAATTTTCCGCAAACAGAATAACGCATATCACATGACCGTAATCTTGTTGGGTAACTAACGTAACATGCCGCTTCTCCAAGAAAGCTAGTCCTGACGAAAGATAAATGATTGTTTCTTGTTTCTTCATATCAGTTTCAAACTTTCTGAGGTTTTTTTTTTTTCATTCCCTTTCCTTTTGATCTCTCGTTTACACTATTCATTTTCCCCTATTTTGCATCATCTTTTGATATCTTTATAGTTATCTTTAAACTTAAACAATGCTCTCTTCGAGGCCTACAAAATGGCTTCAGATTCTTGCAAAATGTAAACCTTTAGCCCGGCCCGGACTCAAACCCCGGAAGCAACACGCCCTGCTTGGGCTGCGTGGATCTGGTGTTCAGCGGACAATGATGACTGTTCCTAACACTGAAAAGACTGCTCCATTTCGCAATCTGGCAGCTCCTTCTTTGGACTCGCTACCTAAGCCTCCGAAGAAAACAGTGCGCCCAAAGAAAACTCCTGGAGGGAAGAAGAAGGGCGGCTCAAAAGGTAAAGTTTTGTTGGTTTTACTAGGAGTCGGGACCGTGGGATACTTTTATGATTCATACTATAATGCTAGGGCACTGTCACGTACAATCAAAACAGTTTACACACTTACGAGTATTGCCATCGATTACAAACTCAACTTTGATGAATCAAAAGATATTCCTGGATTGCACTGGCGAACAGCCGAGAAGATTTACAATTTGATGATCTCTAACAAGGGTTTATACATCAAGATGGGACAGGCGTTAGCTGTGCAAGCAAGTATTTTCCCTCCCGAGTTCCAGCGCAAGTTTGCCAAGTTGTTTGATAACGCACCCCAGGATTCTTGGAGTGAAATTCGCCAGACTTTTGTCGAAGAATTTGGTAAGGAGCCAAGCGAGGTATTTGCTTATATTGACCCCAAGGCGATTGCAAGCGCTTCAGTTGCACAGGTGCACCGGGCCCAGCTTCAAAGTACAGGCGAGTGGGTTGCAGTTAAGGTACAGCATGCTGACATTCGCAAGCAAGTTGAGTGGGATTTGCAGACATACCAGAGTATGATGTGGATCTATGAAAAGTTATTTGACATGCCCATTTACTTTATTTCCAAGTACATTGCGGCGCGAATGAAGCTCGAGATTGATTTCCGCCACGAAGTGGAGAACTCGGAAATAACACGTGCCAACGTTGAGCGCGAATGGGGGTCGGGCGACTTCCCCGATGTCTACGTGCCTAAGGTTTATCGCGAGCTATGCACAGAACGCGTTATGGTGACTGAGTGGATTGACGGCACACCTCTTAGCAACAAGGAGGTGATTGTGCAGAATTTTGATGTTGCTGGTGTGATTGGTACTGTGTTGACGCTTTTTTCAAAACAGGTGTTTGAATGGGGCGCCGTGCACTGTGACCCGCATCCAGGAAATGTGATTGTACGCAAACGCCGCGGAACATCTATATTTGCCCAGTTGTTTGAGCGCGATGAGCAACAAGTTGTTTTGATTGACCATGGGTTGTATGTACACACGTCTGAAAAGTTTCGTGGAGAATACTCGCATCTCTGGCAATGTCTGTTTTTGTTTGATCGCGATGGAATCCGCGAGATTATGAAGAGCTGGGGTATTGGATCCGAGGATTTATTTGCGTCATCTGTGATGTTGAGACCTTATAGTGCAGAGGAGACCATTGTGACTTATAATGGTGGCCAGACAAACAAGGAACTGACACAGTATGAGTTGCAACAAAAGATGCGCAACAGAATGAAAACGTTTATTGTGGACGCAACGCGAATGCCGCTTGAACTTGTGTTTTTAGGCCGCACCATGTCGTTGCTTATGGGTTTGAATCGAATGTACGGATCACCTGTGAACCGTATCAAGATTTTGGCGTATGAGGCTAGTAAGGCGTTTAGTTACTACAATGCTATTGGAGTGATTGACGGGACGAGTCGGGGTGACAAGGGAACCATTTATGCTCCAGTGACTACACTTATTTATCTGTTGCAAGCATGGCTCGATTACACCAGATTCCGTTTGGTTGTAGTATTTTCAGATTTGGCATTCCACTTCTTTAGACTAGGCCAGCTATTTACTTTTAATAAGGAGCGTAAGGATCAAAAGGGTATGGAGGACTACCTTGAGAAGCAAATGGTTGGCATGGCCAACAAGATGGGCTTCCAAGTTGAAGAAGGCAAGCTCTTCAATGCATGAAAGATTGAATATAATATACAATAAAGAGATAGAGTAACAAAGACACATAACGTTTCAAGAGCCCTCCATTATGTCAACAACAATAATACAAGATCAAAAATCACCTAACAAATATACTTTTTTTTTTTATTATTTAAAAAGAAAAACAGTCTAAGCAGAAGCAGAGGCAGCCTTGAGGGAAGAAGCTCTTCTCTTCTTAGCCTCGAGGATCTCAGCATCACGCTCAGCACGGCGTTGAGCAACAAGCTGCTGGTACTCCTTGGCAGCCTGCTTGGAAGCCTCACGGCGAGCAATCTTTCTCTCCTCAATGGCCTTCTTGTGCTGGAGGGCTCTGGGGGTAACAAGACGCTGGATCTTGGGGGCCTTAGAGTAGGTCTTGCCGTTCTTGACAACCTCACGGCGGATAACGTACTTGCGGACATCATCCTCAGGAGTCAAGTTAAAGAACTTTCTAATGTTGGAAGCACGCTTGGGGCCGAGACGCTTGGGGGTCTGGGTGTTGGTAAGACCCTCAATCTCGCTGTCGCCCTGCTTGACAACAACAAGGGCAATGACGGCAAGGTCAGAACCAGTGATGCAGCCGCGGACAGACTTGCGCTTGCGCTCACCGGTTCTGCGGGGGCGGTAGCAAGAGTGGCCCTTGGAAAGCAAAAGGCGGACACGGGTGGGGTGGAGAACACCCTGCTTCATGGGGAAACCCTGCTTGTCGTTACCACCAGTGATCTTGAAGACGTAGCCCTTGAACTCGTCACCAAGGGAGTCACCCTCGACCTCCTGGCCCATGCGCTTCTCGTAAAGGACCTTGAGACGGTGCTCGTCATCAATCTCAATAAGCTTTTGAGTGCCGTTGGCAGGGTACGCAATGTTCAACTAGATTTATGGTTAGTTTTAAGTCTTTAAAATAAAAAACTTCCGACTTGACATGAATCTTATCCCTTGTGCCTTTAAATTTTCATAAATTTTTTTACGAGTTTCTCTTCATATTTTATAATTTTGCAATAGATTAAATAAAGTATAGCTGTCGTTTAAGTAGTGTCAGTAACATTTGATAAAAAAATTTCTAATAAATCGTATAAAGGTCATCCAAACTATCCACAAGTTTTAATATTTTCCTTTAATCACCAGTCGCCATGGTCAGTCTTTTAACAAGGGGTATCATCGGGCACAAGGGATATAAGTATATATAAAAAATGATAAGATATATACATTTCACACATGTCATTCATAGTGTCGGTTGACCAAAGGATGTCTAATCGTACCTTCATTGTGTGAAATTTCTGTCCTGTATATGCTGCTTGGGGCTGGGAATGTCAGTCGGCAAAGAGGTGGAAGGGGGGGAAGAAAAAAAGGGAAAAAGAAAGAGAGAGTGGGTGCGTGTGTGTGTAAGCCTAACCTAACCACTTGGTACATTGCACACACACACACATACACACACACAAACATAGGGCGCCACGCAAGAGAAATCTGTGACACTTTTTTTGTTACAACTGTTGGGCAGCAGGCCTGCCGTGAAAATTTTTTCATCTCCGAAAGCAAGGGGAACATTTATCGAGAGAGGTAGATAACATTAGGTCACGTGAGTAAGTGAAATGGTTGCTGACAACAAGATTAGAAATCCTTGGTACCGAGTCGAGCTTATGGGTAATAAAAATGAAATTTCCGTTTTTATAATTGTTGTGCGGCGCATCTTAACAAAACAAGTATATGTTCTGAGATATTTCATACTGTTAATGTGACTGTTAAGTTATGGCTGGCATTACATGGTTGTCACTTAATCAGCCCTAAGTTAGGGCTACTTAATAGTGTACTTCAAGGATAGCTCTTCTTTCATACCCGAAAATTCAAAACAGTCTTGAAAAATGAAAAAATAAGAAAAATGAGAATAATGAACTCGATAATTTTAACCATATATGCCGAATTCTAATCACAATAAGGTATTATATGCATATACTTTCATGAAACTAGGTTTTTCAATCAATTTCTTTTATAACTTTTAAACATATTTTACGTTGAATTTAGTGTTTAGGACTTTGATGATTTTTTTTCTTGTTAAATCATTTACTTCATTCATTTCATCTCATTTCGTCGTCTCTTTAAATTGGCATATTTTATTTGTTTTGTCTTTAAATTTGGAGTGTAGTATATCACTACTAATTAGTAGTTTTATTCATCCTTTTCTCTATCTAAATATAGCACCTACCGGGTCTTTTCGAATAACTTTGTTTTTCTTCTTTTTTTTCTTTCATTTAAATAACCTCAAACAAATGGAAGAAACCTTGGATAAAAAAAAATAATATATAATAAAATTTTAAAATCAATTCAGTTTTAATTTTGCTAAATGCAATGTTTCTTTAATTTCTTCTTCTATCCGTTAAATAGAAACGCCTTGCATACACTATGGCTTCTTTTTCAACCTTTTAAACGAAGATACTTGTAAAATCAAAGTTATACATGGCATTTGAGAATTAATTAACGTATACCCGGATAAGCTTATCTTTGAAATCTCAATAGAACCAGAAATAGATACAAGTTACTAATTATAGCAATTATATAGCAATTTTAGCAATTTTAGCAATTTTTCAAAAAAAAAAAATAAAAAGCATATTCCTTTTGATAGTCTTGGAATCTTGCAGCAGCCGTACAACGGCTTTCTGTATCTTTTCCTCAACAAATTTTCACAAGGTACTTGCTGTTCCACGGTCTTTTTTTTTTTTTTTTTTTTTTTTTTTTTTTTGGGAATTCCCAAAATCTCAGTTTATCTCTTATGGAATGAATTAGATTTTAAAAAAGTATTAATATCAGATATTCAAACCCCCTTTTTGAAACCACTCATTAAAAAAAAATTATACTTCTAGTTATATTTGTTAAGATCATTAATTAGTCTTTTTCATTAAACGGCTACAAAAAACAAATAAAATAATCATAGATGGGAATAAAAAAATCATTTCGTATACTATTTAAAAAACAACCAAAAAAAAAGAGAGAAAATTCATAAACATCATAAACAATAAAATAAAAGAAATAAAAAATAAAAATAAAAAACAGCAAATTTTGGGCATAAGTCATTGGTACATGTGCGGAGATTGTGGTAAAATGTTGGACTGTGTATTGAATAAAAAAAAATTTTGGGACGTGTGCGTAGACGGTTTTTTTGGTAATTTTTGTAATTTTAGTTGTAGACTTTGACTTCTCAAAGAGAAGAAACCCCCCATTCCTCAATCAATCTCTTCATAAAAATAAAAGTAATGACGAAAAAACAATATTATAGATTTCTTTATCCAGACGTCTTGATTCGCTTAGGATCTGGAGGACTAATTGCACCAATAGGCACCTCGCGTTTCAATCCACTTGAACTTTCTCCAATGCTAGACCCTGCTCCTGATGTAGAACCTATAGTTTCAGTGTCGTTACCGTTACCACTCTCTGATTCTTGTGCTAATGAGCTCGAGTTGGAACCATTAGCATCTACGCCAGCGCTTGTTCCTGAAGTTGCGCTGGGGCCTGCTTCTGGGCCTGCTCCAGAACCACTTGCAGACCCGCTGCTGTTGTTTCCAACAGCGCTCGATGATGAAGTGGTTGTGGGTGAACGCGTGTCGCTAAGCGATTGTAATGACGTTGTAACTACTGGTGTATTAAACTGCAACGGGGACTGCAAGATATCTGACCCAAGATGGTAACGACTAGGCCCACCAAGGCTAAAGTATGGAGCAGTCAAACTTGTTGCGGAAGGCAAAGCTGTAGGACCTGATTGACTGTTGCTATTACTATTATTGTTGCTACTGCTACTGCTACTGCTGTTGTTGTTATTGTTATTATTATTGTTATTGTTATTGTTATTGTTGCTATTAGCCCCATTATTGTTTGCAGTGCTATTACTTCCACCGCTGCTAGTGTTACTACCAGACCCTCCGTTGGTGCTACCAGAACTGCTAGTGCCAGCACCACCACCACCACTGCTTCCACCTGTAATCGAGTGAATTCCAAGAGAAGTTGAGGGGGCTGAAACGCCACTGCTGCTACTTGGACCACTGAAAGCCACGTTAAAATTCCAATCTCCATAAGGGTATGGTGATGGGAGAAGATCCGACATGACCCGAGACGGGAGTGCGGCGGAAAGCGGCGTCTGCTCACCATTATTTGACACAAGGGGGTGCCGACTGAAAGGGTTGGGAGGGCCGAGTCCAGCCGCACTGGGGTTGAGGTAGTTGGAAGGAGATGGTGGAGGAAGGTATACCCCGGAGGAGTTACTATTGGAAAGAGAAGCAGTGAGAGGACCATTATTAGAGGAAGAAGAAGAGGAAGAAGAGGCACCGATTCCACCCACCCCATTTGCCGAAGAGACACCGCCAAGACCTGTTTGTGAAGAGGAAGTGGGGTTAGACGAAGAGTTGGAAGAAGAAGAAGCAGCAGCGCCTGCGCCGGTGGCTCCGCCATTTCCGTGAGAACCACCTTGGGTGCCATTTGCGGCTGCAGCTGCTGCAGCTGCCTTGGACTTGTCTTGCAAGTCATCCGACAGAGTACGGTCTTTTGACCGCTCGGCCGAGGTGATTTGGCCGTCGTGTGTCTGGTCAAGAGGGATTTGGACTTTGAGCTTAGGTCGCATGCTGGGACCACTGGGGTGGAGTCCACCACCTGTGGTACCCGAGGTGGAACTAGTCAAACCACCTATGCCTTTGCCATTGATTGGTGATGGGGACGCTGATGAGCGGGGGTTCATGAAATGGTCGACTGTGCGGATAGGATGGAGAGCTGGGGCTGGGTATGTGAGAGAAGTACGGGTCGATGAAGAAGAGGTGTCATCAGGAGCATTTGATCGAGATATAAAAGGCTTATTATCAGAAATAGTTCCAGATTCACTAGACTGGCCTTGAGCCAAAGATTGGGGCTGTTGTTGTTGTTGTTGATAATATTGTTGGGTTTGAATATCACGGCTGTAAATAATACCATCAGGATAACGATGCATATTTGCTGCTGCTGCTGCCGCTGCTGCTGCAGAAGCGGCAGAAACAGGAGGCATGGCTGCTGTGGTGGTTGATGTGGGTGGTGCAGCAGTCGTCATTCCGTTAGTACGGTATGAATAAATTCGTGACGGGTGTTGCTGCATCTGAGCTTGGAATTGGCCTTGTGTCTGGAATTGGCCCTGTGCTTGGGCTTGAGCTTGAGCCTGAGCTTGAGCTTGAGCCTGAACTTGTTGAGCATATATTGGATTCATATATCCAGGATGTGGAGCATAATGCTGTTGCATACCAGTTGGGATCTGTTGCTGCTGTGGTTGTTGTTGTTGTTGGTGAGGCATGCGTGCAAACCCCTGGACATGTTGTTGCTGTTGTTGCATAGCTGCGGCTGATGATGTTGCAGCAGCTGATGCCGTGGCCATGGTAGAGGATGTGGATGGATAAAGAGTGGTAGGGTAAAACTGGGATTGTCTACTGGGGTCCTGGAGATCAGTAACCGAGGGGTATATAACAGCATGGGGGTGTTGCAGAGAAGCAGCCGATGTAGCTAATGGCTGGGGAATCATGGAATGAGCAGAATAAAGTTGTGCTTGAATTTGTTGCTGCTGTTGCTGCTGCTGCTGCTGTTGCTGCTGCTGCTGCTGCTGCTGCTGCTGTTGCTGAATTTGATGTTGAGCAGTTGCAGAAGTATAAGGGTCTTCAGACTTTATGGAAATATGAGAAAGAGATGATTTCTTGGAATGATTGCCACCACTACTTGGGCCTCCAAGTTTATCACTTGATAAAGAAGATGCATTAATATTAGGTGTGGAAGAAGCGGAGATGTTATTTTGCTGGACGTGAGGTGATGCTGTTGTGATTGAGACTTGAGAAGAGGATCGGGAGTGGGTCTTTATTTTTTTCTTGGTGACATTTGGTGATGGTGTTGCCGTGGTTGAGATATTACTGGCATTGTGGTTTGAGCCATGGCCAGCAGAAGGACGGTTTGTATGGTTAGACCCAATGTCATCGTCATCGTCATAGTCGTCATCATCGTCGTCGTGCTTTGAGTTTGGATCGGACTTATCGCGAGAATAATCCTTGAGCCGTTTTGCTTCATAAGGGGATGTCTATGAAAAAAAAAAAAAAAGTTAGTTAGTTAGTTAGTTATGGGGTTTATGTATTTTGGAAGCAAAAAGGTAAAGCAGCAAAAAAAAAAAAAAAAAAAAAAAAGGCTGTGTTTCTAAAAATAGCAGCAACACCACTTTTAAATCCCACCACTACCACCACACAATCATGAAAAAAGCATGCTGACCTGCCAAATGACAAGCAAATCGTCTTCAGTTGTAGTAGGAAAAGATGATGAAAGAGAGTCCAGAAGAAAGTTTTCGTGCAAAAAAAATAAAAAAAGAAAGAAAGAAAGATTATACTCACGGATTGATATCTGGAAATGATGTTTCTTGGTTCGGTGGAAGAGAACTCGTAAAGACGGTTGTTGGTGCCAAATATGATGACAGAGATGTCGACCTGGCAGAGTACAGCAAGCTCGTAAGCTTTTTTGAAAAGACCAGCCTTGCGCTTAAGAAATGTTCTAGAAGGTGTCAATAACAAGTAGCTTATGATGGTGATGATGGTAAATAACTTACACTGAACGGTTACGTTCATTCTCAAGAGGCAGAATGTCGATTTTCCGGCGACCCATCGGATATAAGGGTAGGAGTATATAGAGAAAGAGTTTGATGTAAAAGGATTTTAAGCCTTTTAGTAGAATAAGTCAAGAATAAAAGGGGGAAATGCCAGTTGACTGATTGTTTTGGTTCTACCGAGATATGTTAAGATGAAAAGATGATGGCACACACGGAACTAGATCGCCAAATGGAGCGAGCGCGACAAAAAAAAAAAAAAAAATTTACTCTTTTGTTTCAATATATATTCTTTTGGTTATTAGATTATTAATGGATATTAATGAAACAAATATGATATGGAGTAAATTCTTGTTGTTGATTTTTTTTTCTTTTTTTTTTTTTTAAATCAAAAGACTTTAAAAATTTTCTAGTTTTGGTAGTTGTTGTTGTTGTTGTTTTTGTTGTTGTGGTGGTGGTGATGGTGATGGTGATGGTGATGGTGGTAGAATGGGATTAATTAATTAAGTAATTAAGTAAATAGAAATAAATAAATAGAGGGGGAGAAAAAAAAATCCCCCCGAAGATTTCCCTAAAAAATAAATAAAAACTGTTGATCGGGAAGAGGAAGTGTTTATCAGCGTTTTAATATAAACAATAGAAGTCAACCTTGAAACTCCAACATGAGATTTTGCTTTTTTTTTTTTTCTCTCTCTCTATTTATTGATGATAAAAACCAATATTTAAAAGTTTTTGAAAGTAAAAAAAAAAAAAAATAAAATAAAGGAGAAAGAAAAAAAAAAAAATTAATTAATTAAACACTTTTTTTTTTTTTTTTTTGGTGGTGAAGAAAATCTGCTTTTTGCCTGTCATCCATTAACTTGTCTAATGTAGAGAGCCAACCGTTTTTTTTATTTATTTTTTATTTTTTTCTGTAACAACAAAAAAAAAAAATTAACAAAATGCGCTCTTTGATGCCTCTTCTTAGGTTTTCCGCCGGCTTTCCAGGCCATTTATTACTCGGCCCGATAAAACGTTGTTGTCAAATATAACAAACGACAATGACGGAGATGAAATTTTCAAGATAATGATAAAAAAAAATTCCATTGATGCCTGCATCTCCATGATTTCGTTCCTTCTTTTTTTTTTTCAAATATATATATATATATATATATAGGTACTTTTCTTTTGCAACGGCTTTCCTTCTCTGTTGAACCCGGAATCCAACCCGACATTTCAGGTACTGTTAGGCTTACTCTGCTGAGCGGCATCATCCTTGGTTTGCCGTACTTGATAGGTACAACAAACAAAACTGATGACGTTTGATGATGATGACCAACCTTCCTTCCTTCCTTCCTTCCATCGTTCCTTCCTTCTTTCAATCTGGATCCTCAATTTCCATGCTTGCGGGCCAAAAATCCCGTTTATTTTTCTTTAACTTTCTTCTTTTTCTAAAATTTCAATGACGTAGATTTAAGCATCTCTCTTCTTTTTCATTTAGATCCAAACAATGCTCTTATCTCCACTTTAATTCAACCTTATAAACCTTCACAATTTGACATTGTTATTCAATATATATCATTCTATTTAAATAACCCTCGTCAGAAACTTTTCTAAAAAACTTCTATTATTTTATCAACGTCATTACGGGACCTTTTTTTTTTCTTCAATCTTTTTTTTTTTTTTTTTTGGCTGGTTACTAAAAATAGCGCAGCGCCGTTCCAAGACTTTTTTTTGAGGGGAGGGGTATTTTAGCCTCCTCTAAATATGAAGTTCCTATTTAACTCTCACAAAACATTGTCTTAATTACACAGATTCAAGTCACATATTTGAAATATTCTTCTTTCTAATCCTTAAGATTACCTCAACACTAAAGAATTTACAATTTTTCCTCAATCATCAATTTATTTCAACTATTTATATTGAGAAAACCCTCCAGTTGGAAAAAATATTTTTTTAATCAAAATTTCTAAAAAAATATATTATATATTTTTATATTAATAAAAAAAAGAAAAAGATCTTAAACGATTGTCTTATTAATGTGGATATTTAGAAGACATTAATAAAAATTTCTTCTCACTCGTATAAACCGCACCTGATCTCATTCACAATTTAAATAATACATTGCCCACATATTGGATTATATAATAATTAATAATTAATAATTAATAATTAATAATTAATAATTAACACCAGCAACAATGGAAACCCTTTAGTTGATCCAATACAAGTAATTTGAGTGTCTGAAAAGTTTGTGCCAATAATAAGAAAAATCGTAAATCCATGTACAAGATTTTCAGATTTTATAGGCCCAGTTAACTAATTAATATTGACTGCAATTCCATTAATGAATTTATAATGAAAATTACAATTTAAGTTACTTATATCACTCTCACTGATAGCAAGATTTTGACCGTCACACAACTTTGTGAAACTACCACAATTATTGAAACAACAGTCTATATGAATTATATCAGACCCAAATATCATTCGGAAATAAAAAAAAAAACTATTTTTGGCAAATCTCTTAAAATATAATCATTATTTTAACTCATATTGCTGTTACCAAATAGACCTCATGGAATAATGTCAATACTAACGCAACCTCTACAGTCACCGAATTCAGTGAAATGACTACAGGTATACATTATAACAATTATATTAATAGCACAGCTTCGACTGTTACAGGGTCTTATACAACTATCAATATTTTTAGTGTGACTTTGAGAAAATACCAAATATACTTCTTATACCACTTATGTCACTATGGTTAATGGAGATACTGTGACGATTGCTGGATCTTGTAATACAAAACCTATGGGGGTTCTAATAATTTCGGGCAAGAGTAATGTTACTGTCTGTTTTTCTTGATATTTCTACAGAAAGTTGATCTATCATTACTGTTACAATACCTGTGGAAAATAATGTTTTTTTGTCATTTATCATTTGTCGTTTTTTTCCCATGGTTTCTGAAAATGTCCCAGAGTTGGCAAATACTGTTGTTAACCCAGGTTATTCTTTATAAGCTTGGGTTATCACAGTTTTACACCTTACTGAAGAAAATAATTTTGAGGCCTCTTCTGTCTCTGCCCAATCAACACCATCATCTACTTCGTTCTGCACAAATATTACTTTTGTTATTAATAGTTTCACACAGACCATTACTGCAAGGATTGCTTCACATTGATCTGCTGTTCCTGTTTTTCCAACTGAGTCCAAGAGCAGTGTTCCCTATTCAAGGTTTACCAATTTGGCACACTACATTGAAACCTGCTGGTTTTAACTTTGCCTGATACTATGAAAATTATTGAGCAATTAATTAAATGGTGGACGATTGGTTTCCCCTTTAAAAAAAATCATATTATTGCTTTTACAGTGAGCTCTGCACCTTATTTTATCTTGGCTTTTATTTTATAATAAGACATTTATCATTTTTTTATGAGGTTATTTTATTCTTTTGATGTCTGTATTAAGAGATATATATAATTTAATCACCGTTTTATTTTAAATCAAGAACTAGTTCACGTTTCCTCAAAACATCCTGACAACTAACATTTTTTTTAAAAGTCTATGTACGGCTGTATCGCCGTTACAAATATATTACAAGAAGAAATATATTACTAAAAACATTAATCCTACTTTTAATCGCGATGAGCTTTGGACACAATTTCATAAAACCACTCGCCTTGAAGTTCCGCAATCTTACGCTCAAGATCGGTAGGAGTGCGGGATCCGTCAGCACCGGCAAAAGTACCAGCACCCCAAGGGGATCCACCATGAACTTCTTCAAGGTTTGTCAAGTACTGACCAGCCTTTTTATAGCCGAGAGGGACATAAATGAGACCATGGTGGGTGAGAGTTGAGATGGAATTGAGAGCAGTAACTTCTTGACCGCCACCAGGAGTTCCAGTGGAGACAAAAAGTCCGGCATATTTGCCATTGAGAGAAGCTTTTGCCCAGAGACCGCCGGTGGAATCCCAGAAATTGCGCCATTGGGAGGGCTGGTTGCCGTACCGTGTTGGGACGCCAAAGAGAAACGCGTCGTACTCAAGGAGAGTATCAGGGGTAGCGAGAGGGTCTTCTGACTTGGGCGGGGCCTTAACGAGTTCGAGAATTTTGGGAGGAAGAGTTTCTCCGACCTGGAAGAGATCTGCCTTACCGCCGGCGTTCTTTATGCCTTGGCCGGCAGAAAGAGCGAGGGTGCGGATGTGTCCGTAGAGAGAGTAGTAGATGATAGCAATCTTAGGGGCCATTGTAGATTATTATTATGGAGATAATGGTATTATAAAGATATTGAGTTTGGTTTTGGTTTGAATCAGTATTATTTGATAGAATTATATGTATAGAAAAGATGATTGAAAAAAAAAAAGAAATTGTCTTAAAGGAGCAAACCGGTTGGCTTAAATACTTTTTTTTTTTTTGATTTTCTGTAATGGTGCAAAACACTTGGTATGATTACAACATATCTTGAACCCTGATGGACATTATCAAAATGTAAAAGAAAGACACATTATAGAGCAGCGTGTATCTGTTAATGATTGATTATTTACATTTTGATATAATCATGATTGAGTGCTTTTTTTATTTTTATTTTTTTTTTTTATTTTCAATCAATTATAAATTGACGACAAAAGGTTATTATTGCCAACTGCTTCATCATATGTTGATAAAAAGCTTGGTGTGTTAGTAACTCATTGTTAATAATACATTTATTAAGCCTATTACTAACCTGTTGCTAATGGGCTTTAAAATTCTGACCACCACCATTGCTACAATTGATCGAGAATTCATTTTTAAAATTAAACAAAAAGGGCATCATTTAGCGGAACAATATAAACGACAAAGAAATATATTGATGAATACTGCTATTATTAGCATTTGAATAAGTTTGAAATTAAAGGACGATAACTAACAATCTATACTTTCTTTTTTCTCTATTTGCCTCGCTTATTCTTGTGTTTTTTTTTTTAAAAAAACAATAGTAACAATGCATTTTTCGGAAATGAAGATAAAGATTAAATCGTCATCAACTTAAATATACAATTGAGCATTTTCAAAAAAAAAAAAAAAAAAAAAAAAAAAAAAAAAAATTATTCATCAACAACATTTATATTATTTATAAACTTAGTACACATTACACAGTATCTGGGAACTTGACGAGTGAGACAGTTTCGTAAAAAGACTTGCCCTGAATAAAAGCAATTTTGAGCTCCAATTTAGTGGGCTGGCGTGAACCATCGGCTCCTGCAAAAGTACCGGCACCCCAAGGAGAGCCACCATGGACTTCGTCAAGACTCGTCACTTCAGGGAAAGTGTTTTTGTAGCCCAAGGGCACAAAAATGATGCCATGGTGAGCCAATGTAGACAAGGAATTAAGAACAGTGACTTCCTGACCACCACCGGGGGTTCCTGAGGACACAAACACGCCAGCGTATTTACCGTGGAGAGCACCTTTAGCCCAAAGTCCGCCCGTGGCATCCCAGTAGGCCTTCCACTGGGCAGGGAAGTTGCCGTAGCGGGTGGGAATTCCAAACAAAAAGGCATCGTAGTGAGTGAGAGTCTCACGGTCAGCTACTGGGTCGCTGGGTTTGGGAGGAGCATGCATCTTGACCAAAACATCGTCAGAAAGGGTCTCAGGGACTTGGAAAATGTCAGCAGTGCCACCAGCAGCCTCAATGCCGGCTTTGACTTCATGGGCGACAGTGGCAATGTGGCCGTAAAGTGAGTAGTAGACGATAGCAATTTTAGGTCCAGCCATTGTTAAGCGTATATGTTTTGATTTTTTTTTTCTTTTTTTTTGTAAGAAAGCAGTTTTTTTTATGGAGATTGTAAGAGAGAGTTTGTATAAGGGTTTATAGAAGAGAAAGAGAGGAAAAAAACAGATAAAAAGGGAAACATCTTGATATTTATATCTATACTTAACGGCTACAATTGAACTTTAATCTTTGTCGAGTTTCATGCCAATGACCGTGTAAAGATTAGCACCTTATTATCCTCCCCCACACACACTCCAACCCACTGCAACCACAATATTAAAAAAAAAAAAGTAAACTTATATTGGGATAACACATGAGTAACAGATTGGTAATTCTTGAAAAGGGGAGAAAACTTAAAAAAAAAATTCGTATAAGATATTACTACACGATTTAAAATTGAAATTTTTACCAATTGAACTGACAGCAAGTTAATAAACACCCAGTCATCAAGTTTGTTAGTTTTTTTTTTTATGTGAAATGTCTTGGTACATAACGATGATGACAAAGGGATCGCCGTGCGCGTGTTTTTTTTCTTGAAGAGACGCGTATGGAGGTCAATCAACATGACAATATCATTCATTCACGTGATAACTTTAGTTTACTCAAGTTAAAGTTATTAAAGTTATTTAAGTTATTTTAAAGTAAATTGATTTAGGGTTCCAACATAAAACTTACTCCCGACTTTTGTTTTCTCACAAAAGGAATCTTTATACTCAAGCTTATTTAATGAATACAAAATAATTGTAGCTATTTCTTATTTGGAACTACAATTTTTTTTCCAAAAATTTTAATGGTGTAATCATACATATAGATCAGTACTTTTAATCAATAAGTTCTAATTGTAACTAATTCTACTCGATATATATCGACCCCACTACAAATAGTCTTTGATCTTCCACTTTCCACTATGCACAAAGAAATTAGCCCATCGACAAATGCGACTATATATCAGCAAGTTAACAGATCAAGAGTTTATCTGCTCCAATTATGGAATTGGTAAATTGTAGGATAATATGAATGTGGGGATGACAGCAGCTAAAACAAATAAAAAGGGGACGAGGAAGTGACTGAGAGAAGTGGCAAAGTTAATGAGTTCATAGTGTTAAGGCTACCGTTGAAAAAAAAAACCAATTGAGGAGCATTCTGGAGGCAGGAAGAGACCCAGAAACTTTGAAATACATGGAAATGTTATCACTTCTTATTGGAGAAGAGGCTATTAAAGAAAAACAGAAAAAATTGATACGGTAAAAAAAAAAAAGTAAACTTTGAACCGAGGCTGCTAGATGGCTTAGTGATACCAATAGCACCGATGTTCTTAAGGCTGAGGGTAAACGAAATTGGGATTTTTTGCAATGGTTCATATTGTTTCAGGAGAGTAAAAGAAAAAAAATGGAAGTCTGAGAATGATTTCAGACAGACTTTAGTGAGCTTAATAAGCATGTTCGACCACAAAATACAGACCTGATGACGGTTGAACGTATGTTATGTATAATACAAGGTGCTATCAACCTTGGGCTAATCTAAAGAAGTGTCAATTTGCATTGACAGACTTTAAGTACTTAAGGTACAGGGTTATTAGAGGGAGAAGGGGGGGGGGGGAAAGAATGTTTAATTGCCGAAGCATATTAATACCTTTATGGAAATGGCCACTTCCAAAACTGTAAGTCAAGTGGATATATTTTCCTGGCAGTGGTCCCAATGGGGTGAAATTTCTCCAAGACTGATTGTTGGTAATGGTCAACTTAAAAGAATTCTGGAGTCAATAATAACAACAGGCGCAATATCAACGAAGAGTTGCAGAAAAGTGGACGCACAGCGACAATTTTACAGGGAAGCTGATATCAGACATTTATGACATTCGGAGGCTGTTAAAGTATCAAATTTCCCAGTGGAGTTACTTGGGTTATTAATTGGGAGCTACACAAGATACACATTATTTTAAAGAGTGAGAAGGAAAGGCCGGGTCCCGGTAAAAGTGAATAGAGAATGGAGAAGGGTGGGTTAATGAGTGGTCGAAAGTTGAGACTTGGTTTAATGCTCTATACACAGTGATGAAAGTGATGAGGGGACACGATGTGATATCGGTCTTTGATAATGTAATTTTGAGAGGTGATGAGAGGGTGAAGAATAAAGAATTAGACTTAGAGGGACCCAAAGGCCAATAAGAAAAAAATTATAGCCGGTGAGTAAGGGCTTCGAAAAAGAAAAAAAAAAGGATATCTTTTGTGAGGTTGCCCAAGATAGGATTTAGAAGAAGGGAATTGCTGTAGATACGTGGTCGCAGGGATCCTTAAAGTGTAGGATAGGATTTAGATCAAGATCAAACAAGTTTGTGGATAAATTAGAAATCTGGTGACAATAAGGGAATGAATAAAAAAACAAAAACAAAAAAATAATTCATAAAGCAATAAATTTGACAGATGGAGAATAAATATTAAAAGAAAAAAAAAATATAAACAAGAAAGATAATTGAAGGAAATACGAAAAAAAAAAATAAAAGATGAAGTTCTAAGTAAAATATGTTACAAATCTATATATATTATTACATTATTATAATGTAATATAAAACGTAAACATTCGGGTATTCCGTTAAGTTTTTTTCACAGGCAGCCCAGATGCCTTTAGGATTCCTCTTAGTAAAACCCGCTATCGTGACTTTTTCATTTATTTTTATATTAAAAAATGGAAAAAAAAAATACATTTAAATCAAAATAATTTCCCTTTTTTTCTTCCTCCTTATAATCTTCAATTTAAATTTTTTAAAATTCTATTAATCAACAGTAATTGATTTGAAATCACCATTTTTTTTTTTTTTTTTTTTTTTTGTAGTTATAATAATTTTTAATTTTTAATTTTTAATAAGCCAAGTAATGATGTTGTTGTGTCCAAAGATCTTTGATTGAAATTTGTCATCTTTATAAAATTTATAAATCCTAAGTATCAATGCAAACGTACAGAAAACCCATGGTAACAGCCGTACAAAAATGCCTGTTTCGGGTTTAGCTTACATAACTTCGCCTCACTAATATCCAAAATAGGAAAATTAATTCTCCAACATCCCCATTATTAAGGATTAGCTAACGGTGGTGGAAAAGAAAAAAAAAAAAAAAAAAAAAAGAAAGAACCTTCGCTCAACCAGCAACTGCTTTGTCAGAATGATGGATTTCTTATTATCGCGTCTTTTGAGCTCTAAGATGATATATTCACATTTAGGTCCCTCTAATAATAATTATGGAAATGCGGAATGTGTCGACTTTTTTTTTTTTTTTTTTTGGGTCTCCTCCCCCCTTTTATATATATATATATAATAAATATATATAAACCTTGTTTTCTTCTTCTTCTTCTTCTTTTTTTTTTTTTTTTTTTTTTTAAAACTCTTTTTCTTCTTTTTTAATTATTTTTCCATTTTGTAAAAATTTAATAAACCCCGAATTGGATTTAGAAATAAACCTTCTTTTCTATATACAATACCCACATAAAAAAGGAAAACTAAAACTTATATCCTCTCCTTTTTTTTCTTTTCTACTTACAAGGCTTTTGTCCTACTTTAAATCTCAATTCATCAAGCTTTTTTAAATATCATATACCCACTCTAATACAATGACTAAAATAGCTGTAAGTCTTAATCCATCGTCTTTTTCTTTTTCTTCACGTTTAATACTTATTTCTTCTCCCTCGCTCTATCCATCCCTTATAAATTCACACATCGTTTCTCGTTTAAAATTCTCAATTGAATTCGTCGTCTAACATTTACTTTCCACACAGATTGTCTACTACTCAACTTATGGCCACACCCTCCAGCTTGCCAAGGAGGAAGCTGCTGGTGTTGAGGCAGCCGGTGCCCAAGTTGACATTTTCCAAATCCCTGAAACTCTTAGCGGCGAGATTCTCGAGAAGATGCATGCTCCTCCTAAACCTTCCGACATTCCTTACGCAGACCTTAACACTCTGACAGAGTACGACGGTATTCTGTTTGGATTTTCCACCCGTTTCGGCACTTATGCTGCCCAATTCAAGGCCTTTTGGGATGCATCCGGCGGTCTTTGGGCATCCGGAGCTTTCCACGGCAAATACGTCGGCCTTTTCCTTTCTACAGGCACAATGGGCGGTGGCCAGGAGACTCTGGCCCGTAACACAATCTCTTCCTTTGTCCACCATGGCATGATTTACGTTCCTCTTGGCTACAAGGATGCCTTTGGCGAGCTTGCAAACCTTGAGGAGGTTCACGGTGGTTCTCCTTGGGGTGCCGGTACTTTTGCCGGTGCTGATGGTTCCAGGCTTCCCTCGGAGCTTGAGAAGAAGGTGGCTTTTACTCAGGGCAAGTCTTTTGCCGGTGTTGTGTTGAGAGCTACCTCTGGTGCAGCTAATGCTGCCGCTGCCGAAACTGCTACTCCTGCCGCTGCTCCTGTCGCTGCTCCTGTCGCTGCTGCTGCTGCTACCGAACCTGCTGCTGCTCCCGCTGTCGAGAAAAAGGCTGCAGCTCCTGCACCCCGGGCAAACCAGCAGGCAGCTCCTGCCAAAAAGCCTGCTGAAGAAAAGAAGAAGTTTGGCTGCTGCATAATAATGTAAAAGAAGCGTCCGATTCTTCTTATTTCTTTTCTCCCCCCCCCAACTGCTCTACTGCTAAATTGCGTTTCCTTTCTTTAGAAGTCAATTGGGTGGTCCCCACGCAGACTGTCAGTATTTCCATCTCCAGACTACACAACTAACTTTCTTTGTTTTTTTTGTTTTGTTTTGTTTTGCCACCACCAGAATCACTTAATACTATCACCACTTACCATATGGCAATCTCTCCAACCTTAATGTTTATTCTGTTGTACTTCCATCTCTTCTGTTTAGATTTTTTTTTAGTCTAATTTTATTAATATCTAGTTTTTTTTTTTTTTTTCAATTGTCTTTTAGAAAAATGGAGACGTTTAATTTTTGTCATTATAATTTTTTTTTCTTGTACTCTATTAAAAGAACAATTTGTACATGAAATAAATAAAACCTCCATATTATCATAAAAACAATAACAATCTTCTCCAAAAAGTGTTGTACTTTATCCCCCGCATAGTTATAAATCCATATGTGATTGTAACAAAAACCCTTTCTCGTTGTAGTCTTAACTGTACCACTTCTCAGTAACTACCTAGACCAAAGTAACTTAAATTTATTTTTTCTTATAAAATAACATGCAAAATTGTATCACTCAAACAATGCAGCCTCATCATCCAACTCGTCATCCTCAATTGCAAACCCAAATGAAAATCCCCCAGACTGTTTTCGTTCTTCATCTTGTTCACCACTCTCCGGACCGTTGCCATTGCCGTTACCAACAAGCTTCTGCCACTTTTTCGATACCATGTGTTGTTGGGACTCACTCTCATCACCTTGCTTAGCCTGCTCCAATTGACGCGCATGATCGCGGTCGCGCAAAAGCATCAACAATGGCATCCGCACAAACGCCTTGCTCAGTGCTCCAATAAACTCAGAGTTGCCAGATTGCAGAATCCGTCGTACAAATAAGTAAAACACGTACTTGGACATATCCACACCATCATCACACCCACATTCGTCGTCATCTTCCTCCATTGAACTTCCACTTCTTGCCTGATCTTCATCTTCATCTTCATCTTCATCCTCTACCTCTATTTCTTTTTTTGCGCCCTCTTTTTTACCATTAGAACTACCATACTCTTCACCATACCCTGTTTTCAATGCACGCTCAACTGCACTCCACCGAAACCCACTAATCTGATCATGCTTATTGTGCAGGAAATCAATCACGTCTGGCACCCGCACCACCGGAACAAAATTCCCTGTTAACGCCATACACTCGTCCAGATTCACCACCAAATGCCACCACCCACCTGGCACATGAACCATCTGTCCGGGCCCACAAATTCCGTGGCAAAACCCTGGCGTAGCGCGAGCAAGGTCGTAGTATCCACTTTGAAACCATTCCGCGATTGACACAGGTGCTGTCACTTCACTTTCTGCGGCATCAGTACCTACACCTGGTGGAGGAGCCAATGACTGGCCTACCCCGTCACTCCCTGACCGAAAAGAAGGGAACATGATCCAGTACTTATGTCCTGTAAGCACCACATTCCATGCAGAGGTTGCGTTGGGGTCTTTATGAAAGGAAGACCCGCTTCGCGCAGGTCCCACAATAAGCCATCGATGATTGGGTCTTACCTGAGGACCAAATACTGTGAAAACATCATTGTTTTTGTCTGTGAAAACAGAAGCTGGCATCCTGTACTCTCGGGACAATTCACCACCTACCTGCACACTGGTCTTTTTGCCTGTTTCAGGATCTCGGATCCTTACCGTACGTGCACGCATTGCTTCACTTCGGCAATCAAACAAATAAAGCGGTGATTCGTCACTGTTGTCTTGCATATACTCGTTGTAAACCTTAAGTGTCCAATCCATATACTCTTGTCTAAAGATTGTCTCGCTAAACCGTTCCACAAGGTTGTCCACAGTCCAGTCAGCAATAGGCGTTGTCAAATTGAGCATAAATGGTTTATTGTACCATTCCTGGTTATATTTCGCCAGTGACATGTCGTCTTCTTTAAATATAGGTATCAGTTTGCTTTCTCCGGTTCCGTTCTCTTGTTCTTCCTCAATGTCTTCTTGTAACGCACGTTCCAGAATCTTTTTGTAGTCGATCTGTGCACACTGGAACGGTCGGTATAACAAGTCTGAAAACACAATGTCACGGCAATCCACTCTAGCCTCGTCTGATTTTTCTGCTTTAACTTCACCTTCACCTTCATCATTCTCTTCTTTCTCTTTTGGAGCAGTCATCTCCCAAAAGGTCCGCCGCCAAGTGCCATACCATTTTTTTGGCGCACGTTTCTTGGGGTCTCGGTATACCATGTGCTTCCATAGCTCGTCATTCCAGCAGTATGCGAACATGGCTTTGCATGTGTGTCCAAGCGCGAGCAAATCTTGTGAGTGCTCTACGTCCTGCAAGATAGTCATCAACAGTTCGTCCGGTAGACGTCCAAAGTATGGGCCTAGGGTATCTGTGCGCGATCTTGGAGGCTTTCCGTCTGGCGACTTGTCTGCTAACAGCAACGCATTACCACTGGGTCGGATGCGCAGAGGGTGTGCACGTGTAAGAGTCGGCACAAAAACGGTGCTGCGCGGGACATGATGCTTCTTAGGCCGTTTTGAAGAGCGAGAGGGGTCTTCGGATTCTTCTGAAGTAATCTTACGGACCTGTGGAATCACGGATTCAGGCATTTTGGGGTATAATACTTCATCAATATGTTGAGAATGAAGCTGAAAAGTTTTTTTCTACACATGTGAGCTGATTTTTTTTTTTTTTTTTTTACGAGGATCAGAAAATCTGCTAGTTTAAGGGCCGCGTTGTTACAATAGATTTTCGGAAATCGACTTGTAACAAAATTTGACACTTATAATTTTATTTTTCTTTACTACTTTAACAAGACCCTGCCTCCAAATATTTCAAGTGATTCAAATCCTTTGTTGCTTCAAATAATATGCCCGATAAATATATATAAATATCCAGTATAATGTAAAGGTCCGTGAACAACGGTTTTTATTTTCTCCATTTTTTAGTCTTTCATCGGAGAAACATCCACCAAATTAGAAACAAAAACATGAGCGAGAGACCAATTACCGGGATATACTGACGAATCAAGGCCTCAATGTTGATACGTTTAGCGTGGCGCACATACTTCTTAGATTCAGCACGCAAGTTAGACGACAGATCCTGCATGCGGTCAAGCGAGTCACCGCGGTAAAGCAAATCCTCAATGTTTTTCGTCATGACACGCGTCACATCTTGGAGCTCAGCGTTGAGTCGGTCCAGGTTTTGAGTTGCACGAGTGTCTTGGTACAATCGCTTTGTCTTCTCAATAAAATTGTCAAACTTGATGAATGCAAAAGGCCGGGCCACCGTTTGGGCTTCAACGCCGTACGATGTGTAAAATTCCTTGGCTAGCTCGTCTAAAAACGAAAAAGCAAGTTTAGCAGGGTACGAGTGGTCTGTGATGCAAAAGTATACAATGTTGTTCTGAATTAGGTAGTGGATGTAGTACTTGCCGCTCTCGATGCTGGCCCGCGGCTCCGACTCCGGCGTGATTTTACGTGTCAGTAGCTTGATCTTCTGCTTCTGCTCCTCAATTTCTCGGTTGTTGTCGCTATCGACGCTCCCTGAGAGAGGGTTTCCTGAAAAAAAAAAATCTAAGTTAACAAACCATTCTAAAACGAACCCTCAAAAACTACACTTACCGTCACTAGCACGTGCAATATAGACTGAAAGGACCATTGTTTCCTTTGCGATGTTGTTTTTACAAGATGTTGTTGATGTTGCTGTTGGTGGTGATGGTAAGGTTTTTTTAAAAGGGGACACACACCAAAAAAAAAAGGCACCGCCGCAACTTTTGGTCAGCGTGTTAAAAAGATTCACGTGATCACAAACACTATCGGTGCGGCTTGAGTGGTAGATACTGCAAAACTTTTTGGGCCCGTCAAATCTGACTATAAAACGAAGGCAAAATGACGTGAATTTAAATTAAATCTCAATGATTCTCATTTAAAAAAAGCCTTTAGGATTAAAATATATATAAATTTGAGACTTCAATACTTAGTTTTAGTGTTTGTTTTGCCACTTATATCACGAAGGTTACAATCTCAATAATCTTCCAATACTCAAACTTTCATCCACCTTACCATTCTTCCATTCCAGAAATAAAACTCTCTGAAACCTCCATTAAAACTTGCTTTTCCCATCTCAATTATGGGGGTTCCCTAACCTTTCCTACCCTTCAAGATTGCAGCTGCCTCTCGACTTGCCTTTGGTGAGGTGCGGCGTGCACACTACCATATCAGCCCTTGCACCTTCTCCATGGTTCTCCCCGCACAAAGAACACCACCAAAAACTAAAAAAAATAAAAAAATAAAAAACATACGACAAGCAAACTTTTGCCAATAACATCTTCACTTCCACCATCAATAATACCTTTATTCATCAACTTTATTCCCATAATGCAAACCCCAAAGCAATCGCCTCCTTTTTATATCGGCGTCGATGTTGGAACAGGATCTGCGCGCGCGTGTCTCATCAACTCTGTTGGCAAAATTGTTGCCATTGAAAGCCAACCTATCGCCAAATGGGCCCCGCGTGCAGACCACTACAACCAATCTAGCACCAATATCTGGCGTGCTGTGTGTCGTGCTGTCAAGGCTACTGTAGACTCGGCTATCAGTAATTCCTCGGAATCTGGACTTTTTGAGCGTACGCAGGTTGTTGGCATTGGCTTCGATGCTACGTGTTCATTGGTTGCGCTACGCGAGGATGACGATAGCCCAGTCTATGTGGGCCCTGATTTTGACGATGACTCGCTACACACTGCAGACGAAGTCCAGGACATCATACTGTGGATGGACCATCGTGCGGGTATTCAGGCCGATGCAATTAACTCTACAGACCACCCGCTCTTGCAGTATGTGGGCGGCAAAATGTCTGTGGAAATGGAAATCCCCAAAGCTCTTTGGCTCAAAGACAATATGCCTCCTGGCGCCTTCGAGCACTGCAAGTTTTATGATCTTTCTGATTTTCTTACTCATAAAGCCACGGGCTCTGAAGCACGGTCCTTCTGCTCAGTCGTATGCAAACAAGGCTACGTCCCTGTGGGCATTGACGGCTCCATCAAGGGCTGGTCCCGCGAGTTTCTCGAGTCCATTGGCCTTGGCGAACTTGCAAAAGACAACTTTCGTAGACTTGGCGGCGTCAATGGAGAAAATGGTCAGATTCTGTCTGCAGGCACTTTTGTCGGGCTGTTAACCCCTGGAGCAGCCCAAGAGCTTGGCCTCTCAATCTTATGCGCCGTCGGCAGTGGCGTTATCGATGCTTATGCCGGCTGGATTGGAACTGTTGCGGCAACAACCTCTAGCCCCTCTTCTGTTGCCAAACTTCCACTTTCTGCACGTTTGGCTGCAGTGGCTGGAACCTCCACTTGTCATCTCGTCATGTCTGAAGATCCCATATTTGTTCCGGGAATTTGGGGGCCTTACCGCGATGTTCTTATCCCCGGAAAGTGGCTTGCTGAGGGCGGCCAGTCTTGCACAGGCGCTTTACTTTCTCACATCGTCACCACACATCCTGCTTATGCGCGAGCTCAAGAATTGGCTTTGGCTGAAGAAGATGAAGCCTCAACGGGGAAACCTGTCCAAGGCGAAGGAAATGTATTTGGCTGGCTCAACGCGCACCTAGCGCGGCTGGCAGCAAGTGTAGGCTCGCCCACTATTGCACACTATGCTCGGCATTACCTTTTCTACGGTGATCTACACGGCAACCGCTCGCCCATTGCAGATGCACGGATGCGCGGCGCTGTTGTCGGTTTGTCTATGAATGCTGGTGTGGACGACTTGGCACTGGCATACTACGGAGCCGTCGAGTTTATTGCTCAGCAGACTCGTCACATTGTGGACACTCTTAATGCCAGCGGCCACAATGTCTCGGCTATTTACCTTTCTGGCGGCGGCCAATGCCGTAATACCTTGCTCACGAGCACCATAGCCAAGTGCACGCGTATGCCAGTGGTCATTGCTGCCTATGTCGATGCTGCTGTTGTCCACGGTGCCGCTATGCTAGGCGCAAAAGCAGCTGCTGAGCACCATAGTGCGCAAAAGGGCTCTTCGTCGCTTTGGGAAATTATGGAGCGCATGACACAGCCAGGATCTATTGTAGAGCCCGAAGACTCTGGAAGTGTAGATTATAAAATTCTGGATGCAAAGTACAGTTTGTTTTTGGACATGGCAGAGTTCCAGCAGCGCGCTCGCAAATATGTAGATGATGCCCTTGTTTAGTTTGTTTTTCAATTAAATTTATGTTACACTAAAAAAAATTACTCGGAAATTCTGGTAATCGGGACCCAGTCGATGGTGGACCTCTGGCGATCATTTCTGCTCACTCTGTAAAAATGGTCTGTGTAGGCTGCTGCATTCATGTGAAGCAAAAATTTTTCGTCGTGTGTAATAACAATAAGTTGAAAGTTTTTCTGCGCCTTGCGTGTTGCAATAATGGACCCTAGAGCCTTTGCCAGCGACTCAATGTTGTCTTGATCCAAGTTGGTAGTTGGCTCGTCTAATGCAATTAACCCACAGTTGACACCAAAGCACTCAGCCAAAGCCAGGCGGATAATGATACTCGCCAGCACTTTTTGGCCTGCAGAGCACCGGCCACGCATATCTAATTCCACATCTTGTTTGATCATGCATACACGGTAGTTATAAGTGCGATTATTTCCGCGCGCACTCTCATTTTCCGACCGAATCAAAATCGTGTCAACATCTGTTCCTGAGTACGTTTTTTTCCAAAGCTCGTCAATAATGCGGTTAATTTCTTCCATCTTCATCGAATGATACTTCATAATGGCACTGTCTAATGCTTTCGCATACTTGGCCAAATCGTCGCTGGCTACTGACAGAGTGTGCATCTTGATGAGCGATCGCCTGTATTTTTCTCCAATATCCTTATATGTTGTATCCAATTCCAATTGCGCAACCTCCAGCTGCTCATGTAGCTGTTTAATCTCACCCATTTTACCTTCAGCATCAGCAAATAGTTTGGTTTTTTCCTCATTGAGTATATTCTCACGCTGTTTAAGTTTTTCAGACTGTGCCTCAATGTTCATGCCTTCGAGCTCTTGAATCCGTACAATTCCCTTATCAACGCGCCGCTGTAACCGCCTAATCTCCACGTTATCCTTGAGCATCCGGTCATGTGTGCTAAGATCTGCAAGTTCCATTTCAGCTTTGGTCAGCTCCTTAGTCTGGGAATCTAAGTCCGCATTGGTATCATTGAGTTGCTCTTGCAAGGTCTCAACAAGTGCACGGCACGTTTTGAGAGGCTCATCGCCACCATTCTTTTCATAAGCATCAATTTCTTTGCATATGTTTTCCAAGTCCCGCAAAACGTCATGCATGCGAGCATACTTGACAGAAATTTCCTGCTCTCTCTGCGCTCCTTTAAGCTTAATATCGGTCGCAAGAGTTTCCTGTTCCTTAACTTGTAATGCAATAACTTCAATTTCTTGTTTGTTTTCGGCAACACGACTATTCATCTCCAAACGCTCTTTGTCCAAAGTTTTAATTTCTGCTTCGGCAACATTACGATCGTCTAACTGTTTTTGGAGATCGGAAATGCGCAGTTTCTTTTTATTAATAGCACTCTCCATTTTATTTGCCAAAATGCGTGCTTGATCTCGCTCTTCAAGTAATGCACGTAATTCCTTATCTATCCGTTTAGATTCTTCATTCTTGACGCTAATTTGTCCCAAAATCTGCGAGCTGCTACCCAGTTCTCCGGTATCTATACGAAGCTGTGCCTGCACAGTCTCAATTTCTCCACGGATACTGGTCAGCTCAGCGCCATTGCGAACCAAGTCGGAAGAAGCACGACGTAAAGATTCAACGTGTTCGAGTCTTGTTTTAGCAGCTTCCACTGCAGATTTGGTAGCGTCATCGTTGGCTCGAGCTTCCTTAACGGAGGTTTGTAATGCAGGTTGTTCGTTTAAATCATAAGGAATAAGGCCATTTTCTAAAGCCTTAAGACGGGAAATACTTGGGGATAAGTCACGAACAATCTTCAGTGCTTCTGTTATTTGCTCCAACGAGGTTTTAAGCCCCTCGATATCGCTAATGTGTTCATCCTTTTTTTCCATGATGGACAGAAAGCCATCCTTTTCTTGAGAAGTTTGGAACTTGCGGCAACACATGAGACAAAGATTCTGTTTTTCAGCCACTTCTACGGCTCTTTCATTGAGGTTCTTCAAAAAGCTATTTTCACCAATAGAAGATGTTACTGTACGCTCCTGAATCTCGAGTTCAGAAACTTTTTCGTCATAATCCTTGTAATCAAAATCGATTTGGTCGTAGATTGACTCTAAAAGTTCCTTCTTTTCTTTGTTCAATTTCTCTATATTTTTCTTATTCATGTCAAGACGTGATTCGCAAAGAGAAAGTTCGCGCTTTGCAGTATCATGTTTATGAACAGCTTCGTCATAGACTTTTTGGGTTGCAGAAATGGCATCACGAAGACCTGATTCAGTCTGTTGCGTAGTTAATGTTTCAATGTCAAGGTTGACAGTAGCAAAATCACTCTTTTTAGCAGAAATGAGAGCTCTGAGTGCAGCTTCACGCTTAGCCAAGTCCTCTTGAAGATATAAAATCTTTGCTCTATTTTCGGATTCTTCATTCACAAGTTTTAAATCAGCATTAAGTTTGTCAATGTCTGTTGAAAGCTCTGCCAAACGGGTTTCTTTAAGTTGAACGCTGTTATCAGTTTGGATACGTTCTAAAGTGTCTGCAGATTTTGCCAACTGTTTTTCAAGATCAACAAGTTGCGACTTTTCATAAGCTATAGTGGCCTCATCAACTATTGTGGATTCAACTGTTCGTTTAAGGTTTGCAATTTTTTCTGTACATTTGCGAATGTCATTTGCAAGATCTGTTGCAATATGTTCAAGCTTGAGTTTCTTGGACACGACTTGTTGAATGCGCTTAGATGATTCATTATCGGCTACTGCATTTTTTGTTTTTTCAGATTCAAGTTGAAGCTTGTGTCTTTCTCTAACATCATGCATAGTGCCAAAGATATCTGCAAACTCACTATGAGTGAATACGGTTGTTTTATTTAGTGATTCCTCTGGTAATTCAAAGACAGAAGCTGATGAGCATACTTTTTTGGTACGTGCACTAAGTAACCCATGGTATCGTTTAGATGCAGCCTCCAGTTGCCCCTCTTTAAGGTTTGTTTCGCGGTAATGTTTGTTAATACCTTCGATAGTAGTTTTTTCTTTTGCAATTTGGGCTTTGACAGTCTGCACACGCTTAGCACGAGAGTCTAGTCTTTTGTCAAAATCAAGAACTTGTTTTTGAAGTTCTTCATCAGTGCCTTCAAAAACCGTTGAAGTGGAAGCTTTGAGACGATCAATAGATTTTAGGTAAAGGTTGTTTTCACTTCTGAGTTTGGAAAGCTCCTGAAGGGAGTCTTGAAGGTCAGCACTAGAATCGAGTACCTTTTTGATCTCTTCAAGAATAGTATCGTGGTCATTTTTTATTTTATTAACCTGTGTGGTGAGGCCGTCAATGTCCTCTGATATTTTAACTGCGCGGTCCTCAATAGCGCGTGCACGGTCCTTGTCTTGTTTATAAAATTCGGTAGAGTTTTGCTCGATTTTGATTGTGGCTGCATATTCTTTTCGGAGTGATTTGATATTGTCTAAAGCTTTTGTAAATTTTTGAGACTCGAAAATTTCGTCAAACTTTTTCTTTAGCACAGAGGGTTCAGATAGGGGCCATAGAGACTCTTCCTGATGGCAAAAAATGACGTTTTCTAAAATGGCACGAGAAACACCAATATAAAGAGGCATCTGGGCATCAAGATCAGTGCATCGGGTAGACATTGATACTCGCTTTTCGTCATTAATGGCAAGCAATTGTCCCTCAAGAGTTTTAAAAGTGCGGGTAGTTTTCTTGACAGTAAGTTGCATTGAACGAGTGGCAATCATTTGGACGCCATTGACATTGGTAAAAGCGAGTTTAACCTGTGCCAGGACTTCTCTTTCACCTACAAGCTGTAATAAAGATATGATATTAGAGAAAATAAATGTTAAATTGGTTTATTTTCATACCTTTGGATCATGAATAAATGCACCTCCTTTACTGTTTGGAGGAAGATCACCTGTGGTAATATACTTGAGACATTCAATAATTGTCTAAAGAATTAGAAAAGTAATTTTTAATCAATTCAAAAATATTACATACTGTTTTTCCGGAGCCATTCTGGCCTACAATCAAAGTGAGAGGAGTACCAAACTGGATCGTCTCTCGCTGGGTATTGTCAAAAGACCGAATACCTTGTATTGATAGCTTTTGAAAGTTAGAATTGCTTTATTAAATTAAATTAATTCTAAATACCTTAAAAATGCTAGACCTGAAATAGTCATGTCAGTAATGAGTTTTTTTTTTATTTCATTTATTTCTATTAGATGGAATTGTTTATTTACATACATGAGTGGTGGTGATATATAATCTTGAGTTTATGGAGGTTTCCAAATAAATAAACAAAATAATATACTCAGATCACGTGTTCATGAATAATTTTGCATGACATGACTATGGAGTTTTTTTTGGGGGGGGATTTTAGATTTCAAATTCTACATGAGGCAGATCCCTAGAAGCAGTAACTCCGTTTGTTTCTGTTTCGAGATCGTTTCTGAGGGTTGTACCATCGCGCAGGGAAGTCCAAACACCCTTAACTAGATCAAAACGCTTGGGTCCGGAGATAGGGCTGGACCACCAGATCTGCTTGTTGGGCGGCTGTTTATTGATGACATAGGAACCAACGGTGGGCAGGTAAAGGGTAAGCACACCTTGGGCCAGCTCCACGTCAAGATCCGGGATGGATTCGGAGAGGTCTTCGTATGTAGTGAGAATTGTCTCGAGGGCCTCATCGGCGACATGGTGGAAGTCGTCAGAGGAGATCTGGTCAACGTCAGCCTCTGTGGGGACAGAAGAGTAGTTGCGGCGGGCTGTTGCGATGGAGAACGGGGTTGATGTGAGATGTTGTTTATAGATAAGAGAAGAAGCTAAATCTGTGCGTAGTCGCAGTGCTCTAGTTGGCACGACCAGCATGCGAGATTGAGCTACTGATGCAACAGAACTTCTGGATAATCTAGCGAAGGACCGTCTGAGCATTTTTTTTGGTTGTTGTTGTTGTAGTAGTTGTTAAATATATTGTGGTTGGTTATTAAAATTGGTGATGATTAATATTGGAGGGTTTTGGCTGGTTAAGAGGATTTTGTGATGGTGAAAAAAAAAAAAAAATGCTTACTTAGTACTTACTAATGGTCACGTGCGATTTTTCTACACTTTTTTTTTTTTTCTTGCCTGTCTACACATTTATTATGCATACAAAGTCCACCACCACCACACACACACAAACACACAACTTCCCCCCCCCCTAAAGAGCCCTTTTTTTCCCTTCCTTTTCTCCCAACCTCCAACAAGCCCTCAAGAAGCAGATCGCCATGCCAAAGCCCAAACCTGCTACTGCTGCTCAAAACTCCCCCCAGACCATCGCTGCAGATGCCTCAGATGTTTCGGATGCGCCAGCATCTGCGGCTGCAACTGGCGCAGGTCGCCTGGCCTCTTCTTCTTCTTCTTCGGTGCAAAAGGCATTACCCCCACCATCTGCAACACAAACACAAACACAAACAACAACAACGACAACAATGCACCATCATCAACAACAACAACAACAACAACAACAACAGCACATATTAGACCCAAACATTTATCCCCTTTCGCGTGAAAAAACTCCGGCAGAAATGTCTGTTTCGTTTCCTCATGTGGCCTCTAGAGTCCGTAGACGAACCGCTGAGGTGTCTGGTGCGTTGTTTCCAGATTCTAGTGCCTGCCCTTCAATGACCCTTGTTCCAGCTACCACCACCACCACAGCATCAGCATCAACATCTACAGCCAATACAAACCTCGTCCCACGTAAACGCAACTCTTCAACCCTTGTTGGATCCTCCAGCAAACCTTCGTTGCCTTTAGATTCCAAACTATCCTTAGCAATGTCTTCAAACTCGTTACTTACTACCACCGCAGAGACTTCTGCTGATGATGCGACTGTTGCTGTTGCTGTTGATTCTGCTGCTGCTGCTACCCAATCCACCTCATCCTCATCCTCAAACCCGCACAAGATACGTCGTATTGAAGCCACTAGCGACTCACAACCCATCCATCATTCAACCAACATCCTTCGTAACAGTACTACTACAGCCTCTTCCTCTTTTTCATCTTCTTCTTCTTCTTCATCTTCATCTTCATCCCAAATACCTCGTGAGCAATCTCTCCTTGGATTCCCACCACTGGCATCATCCTCTTCTTCCTCCGCAACTCTTCTCTTAGCTCCCCCTTCAGTCCTCGACCCTTCCTCCGCAGTATCCTCACCGGTCCCCGTTTCAAACCCCACGGGCCCACTAGAAACTCCACTTTCACCTGCTAACTCTCCTCGAACCGACACTGAAGATGAAGACTTGACCCGCGGTGCCGGCATCGCCGGTGGCTCCTCCTCTTCTTCCGTTGCAGCTAACGGTGACCACAGAAATGCTATGGCCTCTTCACAAGCCTCATCAACTCGCACCTCATTGACCACTGTCAACTCCTTTCTCATCAAGAACCTCACAAGTCCATCGCGTGTCCCGTGCAGCCTTAATCTCCATCCAACTCTAGACGATGCACATACCGTCATCGACACGTTTGGGAACATGTCTCCTCAGCTCAAACGTAATGTACTTTTTAAAATGCTTCAAGCATGCGACCGCAAAACTCTATCCATCATGTCAGGCATCATTATGTCTGCTCTCCGCCACGATATTCTTTCGGCTCTTCCCACAGAACTCATTCCAAATATTCTTGGCTACCTCGATGTCAAGTCGTTGTGTGCCGCCTGCCAGGTCTCCAAGTCCTGGCGCACCATCATCGACGCTTCCGAAATCACATGGAAAGCGCTACTAACCCGCGATGAGTATCATTACACCCCAGTCGAATTTTCCCGTGCTCAAAATGAGCACTGGGACTACTTGACATGGGGACGCAAGCCAGGCGATGATGACAAGAAAACGGCGTTATCCTCAAATTCTCCGTCTCCTCTACCTTCCCTTGCACAGCCCATCAACATTTTCAAGGCCATTTACCGCCGAAAGCATCTCATCAATAAAAACTGGCTGGACCCTAACTCTCGTCCCTACCATCTGTCCATGCCGGGCAATCCCCAAGACATGATTACTTGTCTCCAGTTTGACGATGATAAAATCGTCATTGGATCCGACGACTATACAATCACCATTTACGACACCAACACCGGTGTCAAGCGCACCAAACTCAACGGCCACACGGGTGGTGTCTGGGCCCTCCAGTATGTTGACAATACCCTCGTCTCAGGCTCTACAGACCGCACTGTTCGCGTTTGGGACATTAAACGCCAAGTCTGCACCCACGTTTTTTTCGGTCATGTCTCTACGGTTCGTTGCCTCGACATTATCCTCCCGGTCCAAATCGGTACCGACCATCACGGCAACCCCATCATAGCCCCAAAGCATCCACTTATTGTCACTGGCTCACGCGACCACAATCTACGCGTGTGGCGGCTACCCCCAGAGGGCTCTGGCCCAACAAACTTTGCCACTGAACCTCCACATACTGGTGAGGCCTTCTTCATGCACGTTTTGTCGGGCCACACTGACTCGGTGCGCGCAATCTCTGGTCATGGAAACCTTGTTGTTTCCGGCTCCTATGACACCACTGTCCGTGTTTGGGAAGTTGAGTCAGGCAGCTGCCGCTGGGTTTTGGAGGGACATGCTCAACGTGTTTACAGTGCCGTGATTGATCCCAAGCGCAATCGCTGTATCTCTGGCTCCATGGACTGGCTTGTTAAAGTTTGGTCTTTGGAAACTGGATCTCTACTCTACACTCTACAAGGGCACACTTCTTTGGTTGGCCTGGTGGACCTAAACCGTACGACCATTGTGTCCGCTGCCGCAGATGCAACCCTGCGTGTGTGGAACCCAGAGGATGGAACCTTTTTGCACAAGCTTGAGGGCCACCGAGGTGCCATCATTTCGTTCCAGCACGACGAGTATAAGGTTGTTTCCGGGTCAGAAGAGATTCTAAAGCTCTGGAACATTCGTACTGGCACACTTGTGCGTGACCTACTCCAAGGCATGCAACGCATCTGGCAGGTTCGTTTTGACGGCCGCCGCTGTGTTGCCGTTGTTATTCACAATGGTCGCACTTCTGTCGAAGTATTGGACTTTGACTACGACCCATATGCTAAGGACGACCGCCCACGGACCGTGCGTGTTGTGACTTCAGATAATGATCAGGGCCAGGGTCAACAACAACAGCAACATGCACTCATGGCCAATGAAGGGTTTGGTGGGAACAATTTGGCCCACAATAATCATGCCAATTTTGGAGGTGCTGCAGCTCCTGCTCTTGTTCATGCAGCTCCTGCTCAAGCTCAAGCTCAAGCTCCTGCTCCTGCTCAAGCCCCCGAACCTCCTGCTCCTGCCCCTGCCCCTGCCCCTGCCCCTGAAGTCACTACAGAGGAACATATTCATTTGCATGCGACCGCTAGACAGTCCAATGCAGCTTTAACCGGTCGGGCTGCTCGAGCTGATCGTACTACTCGGGCTCGAGATTTATATCGAGCAAATGCTCCTGTGATTGCGGCAAATGAAGGGACCGCTGGAACACAATTACAGCGCCGGCAACGTTCAACTACAGTTGCTCCCGCTGCACCCACAGTTTCGCATGCAGTAGCTGCCACCACTACTACTGTAGGTTCGCGTCATCCGCCTATTGCAACAACAGATGGTCGGATGCTGGTGCCAAGGGTAACCATGGACGCCTTGGTGGAGCGGACTGGTCAAGAAAATGCAGCAGCCATGGAACAAATATTTCCAGAGTTTGGGGCTACCTCATCCACCAGGTTCCCTTTTTCTTCTTCTTCTTCTTCTTCGTCTGCTTCTGCTTCTTCTTCTTCTACTTCTACTTCCGCAGCAGCAATTGCTGAAACTACTACTGGGCCGTCGAACTTGGACCGAACTCATACGAGATCACAAGGTGCGCATCAGGGATTGCAGTTGTACATTCCAACCGAGCACGGACTCAAACAATTGAGCTCGTTGAATGAGTATTCTCAGTCAACGATGTCCAACGCTTTGGGGGCTTCTAGGACGCTTGCTCCTGCAACATCTGCTACTTCGTCACTCAATAGGGTAATTGAGGATGCTGAAATGGGAGATGATGATGCTGAAGATGAAGACGTTGATGATGAAGAGGAAGATGAAGAAGGAGACAACCAAGTTGATTTCCCTGCTGCCGTCTTTTAATTAAATATTTAAAAGAGAAAAAAAATGCCATAAAAATATTTAGAAAATGAATGGAGGGGGAAGGTTGAAAAAAAAATTAATAAAGAACTAAAAAAGGATCACTGTATATCATTCTTGAAGTCTTGATTTTTTTTCTTTATAAAATAAAATAAAAATACACATATAAATAGTGAAAAAAATAGTGAAAAAATAGAAAAAAAAAATTTAATATGATTGAGAGTAGGGTTGCAAGTAACGCCGCATGACATAAGAAGGGGGGGGGGGGAACTGAAATTTTCAATGTTGCCGTATGTGCCCGTGTGCATGTAAACGACGGCTGCATAAAAGAGTCCAAAAGGAGTCCGGGGGGATGGGGATTTAGCACTTTGCCAATGGGGGTTTTTTTTTTTTTTATTTATTTTTCCAAGCATATGTTACAGATTGATTGAGTGACAATAGAATGATGCTGAGTATTATCAAAATACTTTTGATTGTTTGGTCTATAGAAAATTAGTAAAAGTTCAATGTATATACTAGGGGTTTCATAAATCTGGGAATTAATGTCAGAAGCTAATTAGCTTAAAGGTAATAAGAGAGGAAAAGAATAGACAATGTTTAGTTTATATGATCTGTTAAATATATATATATATATATCTCAATAGATTTATTGTCATAAATTTTTTTATGATTTTAAAAATGAAAAAATTGTCAATAAAAAATTCATTTTCATTAATCTTTATATTTTTGGCAGGAGACTCTTTAGATTCTTAGATTGATCTAATCTGATATGATATAAATGAAAAACAAAAAAAAAACGTGCGGCTCAATGCTTTTTTTTTTCCAAGCTCATCACCATAAAGCATTTTTCTCATAGTTTTCATCACAGCTTAATTTTTTTGAGAGATAACCAGGTTCAAACCCCTCCCCTGTTATAATAACTCAAATAGTTAGATCATGTTAAGGTTGTAATACATTGAACATTGAAAAGTTACTTTCATTTTACTCTAACGGGTATCTTTGGTACTATTGATGGTTACCAGGTAAACTTAAATGTTATTTTTTTTTTATTCCATCTCCTTCATTCCAAGAATTCAATACTGAGATTTACCCACTTTGCGAGAACTTTCAAGAACAATTGCTTTAGACTTTTTTTTTTTTTTTTTCCTTCTTCTTCATCTTCTTCTTCCACTTGCCCGGCCTCGGAGCCGACCGCGGGTCTTGGCCTATTAAGCGTTGAGTTCTTTTTTTTTTTTTTTTTTTTTTTTTTTTTTTGCTGGCTATTAATTTCAGTCAACGGACGTATCCATCCATCCATCCATCCATTCCATTCCATTCGAATTCATTTTTTCAATCTGCCAACTAACCTGCCCTTTGTTGCAACTTTACAATGACTGGTTTTAATCAATTTTTTTTTTTTTATTTTTGTTTTCAACAATCTTTGAAACTACAATAATTAAATAGACCAATCAGTTAAGTTAAAAGTTTGGTATACCACTATATATATATATATATATATAAAAAGAATAAAATAAAAAAATTTAATACAAACTGCCACTCTAACACAACCCTTACAACATAAATAAATCTACAACCAGGGCAGGTGGGATCTTCTCAAAAAAAAAAAAAATAAAAATAACAGTAATATAATAAAATAAAATAAAATAAAATAAAAATAAAAAAAAGTAATTGTCACAAATGTTTGTGTACAGATGACTTCAATGACTCAAAAAAAAAAAAAAAAAAACCACTTTTTACATTTTCTTAGGTCATTGTCAAAGGACACATTTTGTAGGCTGTAAAATACATGGTTCTTATTGTTTTTAAATGCAATTCGTCATTAATAATTTCTATTTGGTTCATTAAAAAAAGGATAGTACAGTAATATTTATAAAAAAATGCATCAGTCATAAAATTCATTAAGGCATAAAGAGGAATTGAGTGGTCATGGTTTAAAATCCCCTCAAAAAAAAAAGGAAGAATCATCTTAAACCATAAAGGACTCGCCGCATCCGCACTCACCCTTGGAGTTGGGGTTGTGGAACACGAATCGCGAAGAAAGCTTATCGTCAATCCAATCCATTTGAGAGCCAATAATGGAAAACAAAGCCTTGGAGTCAATCAGCACCTTAACACCATCTTGAATAACCTCCTCATCAAACTTGCCTGGTTGATCAACATACTCAAGGTGGTAAGTCAGACCAGAGCAACCCCGGTTACGAACGCCAATGCGAATCATCTGAGGGTTGGGCTGGTTTAGCAGGTTACGCAAGTGCTCGACCGCTGTGGAAGAAAGGGTAATAGCTGCCTTGCGGGGTCTCAGTTTTCTGCGAGGCTTAGCAGCAGGTGCTGGTGCAGGTGCATGGGCAGGTGTGGTTGTAGTGGTTGTGGTTGTGGTAGATGCATTGATTAAAGGCTCAGTATTAGTCGTATTGACAGACTGTGCGGGGGAAGAAATTGTGCTTGTAGTTGTGGATGTATTTGTACTTGTGTTTGTGGTGGGAATTGACTTTTGGGAAATAGGCTGGCTTGATGGTGTGCTCAGCTTAAATGGGGTAGAAGCAGCCGTCTTCTTGAGAGGTGCAAAGGAAATGGGCTTAGCCGGTTGAGACACTCGCGGCAGAGAGTATGTAGTCCACTTCTTGCCAGCAGAGGCTAGAGAATCGGTTTGAGCAGATGCATCACTGGAGGTGGCTGATGCTGATGACTTATTGTTGGAAAAAACAAGGGGAGTCATAACCACGCTGGGCTGCTGCTGGATGGTTTGCATGAAGCGCTTGGTAGATCTTCCAAGAGCGAGAGTAACTTGTGATTGCCTCATTGTGTAATTTTGTAAAAATATATTTGATGATAATTCTAGGAAATATGGTATATATATATATATAAATGTAGATTGTTTTAGAAAAAGAGAAGGTTCTTTTAATTTCTTTTATAATTGGTTCTGTAAAGCAATGCGTGAATGTACTGGTGTGTTTGTGTTTGTGTGTGTTGTAAGTAGAAAAAAGAAAGAAATGCTTTGATTATCTTAGATAATTTTATAAATTTTTTTTTTATTTTTTTGGTTTTAAAATTCAAAAATTCTTAAAGTCTTAAATTTTTTTTTTATTCTATAAAGTGGGAAGGCGGGCTCTTATATATAAGGGGTGGTGGTGGGGGAGGCACTTTCTATGGCCCAGTAGTTGCAAGCCATTACTAAGAGCACAGCAAACACTAGCAGTCAGCGCTTTTCCGCCGTTTTTAGTCGCCAGCCGGCATTGCTCCTCTACTCCTCCCTCCAGCCGTTACCCGGTTTCTGGGAACCCGTGTGGACACTAGATGACATATGCTGACATTTAAAACTTTTTTCATTGGTCAAAAATAAATACCATGCGTAAGGTTATTATTTTCGTGCTTGCTCAAAACATAACACATCATGTGACCAGTTGCTGAGTAAACGGGGTAATAAATGGCTCGTCTCCATCAATTTTTATTACAACTTTGGTTTTATTTTTTTGTTATATTTTTTGTTATATATATATATATTTGTGACAACTAATTTTATTTAATCACAATCAAATAATATCAAATCAAATTAGATGATCGTGTTGTAATAACTTTTTAATGATTATGGGTACTATTTTACAATCACACATGTAAATTTGAAAATGATTTTAGAATTCCCAATTTGACAATACATCCCCATTAATAATTTGAAATGAACTTTTAAAAATCTTTCAATAAAATATAAAAAAAAAAATAAAATATTACTTTCAAATATCTCAATTAGTTATTAATTACTTAAAATGATATTTTAAATTATTCAAACATCATATATCATCATATATATAATGTTTCTGTTTTCTTTGAATGATTAACAATATCACCCTAAAAAGATATCGTCCAATACACCCTCGCCTCCCCCTAGAAGACCAGTGATTTAACACACGAAACTTACGCGTAAATAATAATAGTTTGAAACTTACGCGTAATTTTTTTTTTCGTACACGCTTATAAAAAATTTCCAAACAACACCTGCATTGCACAAAAAAGTAAACAAACATCTTCACAAACCTTCCCTCACATTTCTAATTATTCTTTCTATCCCTCCCCTAAATAAACCATTTCAAACTAAAAGTTAAAGCATATAAATATTCCCAAAAAAGTAAAAATGCCTGAAGCTCCAAGACGATCAGCCTTTTCAAAAAAACAAACTAGACCAAATCTCTCTCGATCACATCCTCCAAAAGACCGTCTGGCAACAAAACAACCCACAGCTCCTAACCATGGCATTTCCACCCCACCTATACTCTCGAGCCACTCTGGATCATTTCTCGATTCACCCATTACGCTACCCATCCAGCTTACCTTTTCACAACTTCGACCTATTGCATACCGCATTTTTTCTAAAAAACATGGCCTAAACTTGAAAACTTCTGGTCTCGAGGCTCTTGCCGAGTTCATTGGCCAAAAGTTTGGGCTTGATTGGCGCGGACCCGCCGCTCAACGCTTCATGGATGACGTAGCAAAACTTTGGAAACAAGAAGACCGTGGTCTTTTCATTGAAAGAGACCAACTCCAAGAAATTATTCGAGAAGTGTTGGATCTTTCTCAAAGTATGGCATCTTTAAGACACCAGTCACTAAACCAACCATCCATCAATGGTCATACCAAACAATCATCACTCATCCAAATGTTTAACAATCAACCAAGTAAGGCTCAAAGAATTGACACTATTCCCGATGGCCCAGATCCTACAGATACGTTAACTGATACTGTATCCAGACCATATGAACCTTCTGTCATTGAATCTATCGACACTAACATCATTGCGGCAAAACTTGCAAAACAAACAGAAATTAACTGGAAAGATTACTACAAGGTCATCCCTGCGTTCCAGCAACCTTCTTATGAATACAATTACAAAAACAAACATTTCCAAGTAAAACGACATACACCATCTTTTCTGGCACCTGTGCCTTCGCGTATTAGCTTTTTCGTTAGTAGATACCATTTTGCATATGACTCGCTCATGCGACAAGAACTCTTCCATTCTACAAAGTTCTTTTCTGCAACAACATCAGTTACCCAGGACTCCAGCCAAGTGATTACTCCAGTTAACAGTCTTCTTGGTCGTGATGGCCAGGCATTTGTCATTTTTGGTCTTTTATCCCAAGGCGCAAATGGTAACTACTGGCTTCAAGATCCTAGTGGCAAGATCGAGCTCGACATTGCGTCCCATGCACTTCCATCACCAGGATCTTATTATGTTCCAGGATCACTTGTCATTGCAGATGGAATCGTCACCAGAAACAAGTTTATCGTCACTACTGTAGGTATTCCACCCTGCGAGCCTCGAAGCACCATCAGAGAAAACTTTGGCTACATTGACTTTTTGGGTGTACATGCGCCACCCCAGTCTTCCTCCAAAAATAATAACCTTGACAAGTCTTTCGCGCCAACAAAGCCTATCCGCGTTGATGTACAGCTGGAGAAAAGGCTCATGATGAAGGAATGTCAGCATGCAGACCACCGAGTCTTTATTCTCGGTTGCAATACTTTTCTTGACAAGCTAAAGACTCTCGACAGTCTACGGAAACTTTTTACCCGTTTAAAAGCTGAAATCACAATTGATTCACTTGTCCCAATCACTTTTGTTTTTATGGGCCCATTTTCATCAAAGCCCTTTCAGCCTAATGGCAGCTCTTCACCGTATAAAGATGGCATGGATGCGCTGGCCCAAATCATTCAAGAATACCCAGAACTTTTTGTGGGAACAAATATTTTGTTTGTTCCCGGAGATGGTGATCCTTGGGAAGCCACATTTTCTGCAGGTGCTCCAGCTATATGGCCTTCTAGAGGAATCCCTCCAACATTTGTCAATCGTATCAAACGAGCAGTTCCCACTGCATCTTTTCCATCCAATCCGTGCAGAGTCGGGTACTTGTCGCACGAGATTTTATTTGTACGTGATGATGTTGGTGCCAGACTGCGGCGTAACCAAATCTTTTTCCCAGCTCTCGAGCGTCGTCTCAAGGGCCAAGGCGATAACTTGGAGACGATATCTGATGATGAAGATGAAGAAGATGAAAAACTGCCGACCAGCCATTCGCGTGTATCTCGTCAAAATGGTGTTGTAGATGACGAGGATATTAATGATCTTGAAGAAGATCTGGAACACATTGTGCTTGACGCACAAACAGATAAAAACACTACCAAGCTGGCCGAGCAAAACCAAAAGATTCAAGAACTTCTCAAGGAAAGCAACCACCTGTTGTCAGCTCCTCGCGAGCACGTCGATCCAGACGTTGCGGAAGCTCGCAGAGTGGTCAAAACACTTCTTGACCAGGGAACTCTTTCGCCATTCCAGCTAAGTGTACGACCAGTTTCTTGGGACTATAGCCATGCGCTGCGACTTTCGCCTCTCCCGACTTTTATGGTTTTGGGTGACCCTACTACTCCAAAGTTTAAAGTCACATACCAGGAGTGTCAGGTCGTTAATCCAGGACCGCTTATCGATAAGGGCCAGATTCACTGGGTAGAATATACCCCAAGCACTCGTACTGCTGCTGAGCGGTCCATGTATATTTAAACATATTCTTTTTTTTTTTTTTTAAAAAAAATATCAACATTTGCTTTCATTCTAATCCCTTATATATATTTTCTATTTCGATGTAGGTGGAGGTAATTTTTCCAAAACTCGCTTTGTCAAACAATATGACGGGTCAACTTCATCTAAATTTTCATATCCCAACAAACTCAGTCCACAGATTCCGAAAAGTGTATGGAACACATCCACCTCATCTCCTTCGCGGTCTGCAATGCCGCCACCATCAGGATCTTGAGCAGCCAAAATAAAGCTTCGCAGCTTTTCCGCATCCACCCAGTTGGTCTTTTCCAGAATCGCAAGCGATGAAAGAGCCCACCAAGAATAGCACACGTCCGGGAGCTTGTCAGGGCGTCCGTTTAAACCACCGTTTGGCACCTGACGCTCAGCAAGCCACCAGGCTACATTGTCGACATCTACCAAATCCAAACGGCCTAGAATAGAAAGAGTTCCTATGGAGGTCCAAACTAAAGGTGTAATGATTAGCCTATATAATCCTGAAGATCCAATTGCCTTTTATACTTACTCTGTGCAGCATGACTTTCGGCACCAGGAACTAATCCGTACCCGCCGTCAAAGTTATAGCATTTTTGTATCCATTCGACTGTCTTATCAACATTAATTTTCTCCAATCTGCCTAAAATTCTGAGAGCTTGAATAGCCGAGTATACAAACCGAGTGTCTACCTCGCCCCATTGATCTCCCTGAAATGAACCGTCCGGCAGTTGCATCGACGCAACATCTACATCTGTTAGCCTATAATATTCCATTGACACTTGAATGAAACTTACAATCTGCAACTTTATCTATGTCGATCCGGTTGAGGGCATCTTCCATGAACAAAATCTGAACAGCGCTCAGGGTATATAATATATGGGGGTCATACTCGACATTGGCTCCAAAACCTCCAGAAGAATGCTGACATGAAAGGACAAAATCAATCACCTCTTCTCGAGGTAACTTATCTTTTTCGCCCATAATGTCCAATGCGTTAAGACCCCAATAAAGGCCGCCTAGAAATGTTAGGTGAAGCTAAAGATTATCATCAAGAAACTTACTCATCCGCAAATGACCGCTGTACCAGTACTCAACATCCTCTCTCTTAGTATCAAGTTTTTGAATAAAATCTATGTGCTTTTCTCGCACAAAACTTGTTGGGGCCGCCATGACTTTTTTTTTGTTTAAACTTGAAATGAAGAATAGGAAGATGCGTGTAAAAAGTGTTAATTCCCAGATGTCAACCAAATGTGCCTGTTGAGCTTACATAAACCCGGATGTACTTGTCCCAAGGTCTGCTGTCATGACTTGCGTTACAAATTTTGTTACAAGACAAGAATATATAGGTCTATGATTGCAGAATATCGATATTAATATTAAGGGTACGCAAAACTTTTAGCTCAGTAAGACTTTGAACGATCCGCAATAAAAGTAGTTTACTTTCAATTGATTAAATTAGCAATATGTTTTTTTTTTTTTTTTTTGTTCAGGCCATTATTTAAATATTATAAGATTTGATAATAAAGATGGAGAATGTACAAGTTTCCAACATGTAAATCACATGACCAATTTGTGACATCTTCGACGCGACCCTAGCCACGCGTCGCCCCTGACAGACGTGTTGTTGTAACAGCTGCTCAAAAAAAAAAAAAAATAAAAATAAAAATCCAACACAAACCTCCTTTCGTTTTTCAACCCTTGGGAATTTTTGTTTCTATGATTTACATTTGACAAGAAACCAGCATACTTTCTCCATCATAGCACTTGTCATCGCTTGAAAACAACCATATTATGGCTTCATTTTCTCACTGGAATTTGAATACGGATAATTCTGCCTTTAAGCTAGACAACGAGATTGGTGGAATGAGTAACGTTTCCGCAAACTTTTCTCAACAGCAACAGCAACAGCAACAGCAACAGCAACAACAACAATCACTCTTTAATAGTAACACCAATAACATGAGCAACCCTATCAATACTACCACAAAAAGGGACTATATTATAACCGACAGTGAAAAGGACTCCAGTTCTGCTCAAGTGCCTGGCCGAATTACTACGCCGAGAACTTACCGCAAAAAGGCTGCATCAACAAACAAGCGGAAATCCTCTTTGAATAACATTTTATCACCACAAGTTACCGATGCTCAGCTGCGGTACTCGTTCCCTGATTTTTCTACTGCATATGACGATGTAAATTCAAGTCCAACACGAAAAAGCAATGTAGAGTCTCGGCTAGGCCCGGCGCCTGGCCAATCTACAACTACAAACTTTGGCACCAATACGCAGAAGCAATACAACATTCCAGAGTTTTCACAGAAACTTAACGATTTCATTATTGACAGCGATTCCTCGGATGCCTTTGGGGGTGTTTCTCCAATTTCTCAAAAGGCTATGGGAAATAGTGTCAATTCTCGTCCCAATACCAATGATTCTGCAAAGGCTGGGCCCTTCAGTACAAACATTGGCTCTCTTCCAACCTCCTTTGCACAAAAGGAAAATAATAATAATAATAACAATAATAATAATGCAGGATATGTTTCTAATGCAGATACTATTAGAAACGGTATTAATCTTGGTTACAAAATCCCCGAAATGAATAGACCGTACAATAATAACGACGATCCTAACAACAACTCATCTGAAAAGGTGTCTTCTTCTGGTGAACCCAGATATACAAAGTCTCAAAACTACAATAATTATAACTCAGACAAGTACAATCTTCAGCAAGAACTTCCGCAACCAGTTCCTTTGAAACGTGATAGTAACAAAATTAAAAAGAGTCGAAACCCAGATATTGGCCTTCCCCAGATTCCAATTACTAGTGCATTTTCAACCAGCGATGATGGTGCAAGCAAAGTTCAGCCAACCCGCGGTGCCAAGGAATACCACCCAATAAAAGCTCTGGTAGATTTAGAGAATGTCAATGACCCGATCAATCCAGTTACATTAGAGTATGCTTTTAAGGACCTGCGGGTTGAAACCTCTAAAGCCGAGAATGAAAACAAAACATTGCGAGATAGGTTGAACCAGGTGGAACGAACGCTTACTAAAGTTATGGCTGAACGTGATGAGCTGGAAGCTATGTACTCAAATTTGGAAAAAAGACACGGTGATTACACTCAAAACATTAACAATCTGAATGACAATGACAAAAAACACATTTCAAGTCTTCGTGACAAGATTACCACCCTTGAAGCAAATTTGGAAAACAAGACACGAAAGTATGATACTGCTAAAATCAAAAACAGAAATTTGGCAGGCCTTCATGATGACTTGGAAAAACAATTCCAGTTAAGAGAGCAGGAGCTTACCTTTCTCAAAAGTAAAGTATCGACATTGCAATTAGAAAACGACTACCTGAAAATAGATCTTGAGAATGCACGCCAGGGTAAACAGCCCGTCCCTGTACCCGGTATAGAGAGCGAATTGAGCAAACTTCAAAGACAACTTGATGAACTGAAGCAAAAGAGTCAACGGGAACAATCCCCTTCTTCTCAGCCCTTACCACAGACTGAATTTCAGACTCCTCAACAACAGACTCCACCTCCAGCCACTAGTACTCCACTGCCCCTACGAGAGGCTCCTGCTCAAACGTTTGCCCCTGCATCTGTTGGATCAGGGTTGTCAATAAAAGAGAGCATTGATACCTTAGAACGTGAACTATCTCGCATAAAAAATACCATTTTGGGCGTTGGAAAATTTCAGGAAACATCGGAACCCGTTCCTGTATCTACAACTGCAACTGCACCCACTCCTATTCCCATTTCCCTCGCAGCACCTACTGTAACTTCGGTTCCCACTAATGTACCAGCCCCTATTGTGCAACCAGTTTCTCAGGTACCTGTTCAACCAGCTGATGGCCAAAACCCTGTTGATAAGTCGATATATGACCTTGCAGTTAAACTGGCTGAAATTATTAGCTTACAACAAACTATGAATGACCCAAACCCTAGTGTCCCCGTAGCAACTTCTGAAAATAAACCAATTATTTCTGAAGATGTGACTGAGCAAGATGCAGTAAAACTAAAAGATACATCCATGGAAAGTATTTTAGAGAGACTTGTTGATGTTTTGGAACGACGATCATCTTCAAGCAACCCTGTTGAAAGTCGACCAAGTTCTTCTGCATCCAGAGTAACGATTCAAAGCCCTAAGGACAACTCACAAACTTCTTCTAGATCAAGCAGTGGTTCACAACAAACCCGAAACCCTTCTGATTCTACGACTGCAATTAATGATGAAAATGATGATTCCAACATTACCGGAGAGGAAACTTTTACAGAGTCTATGAGCGAAGAGTTCATTACTATTCCCCTTAGCGTGTACAGAGAGCAGCAGCGACTGATTCGACGGGCTAGCAACGGAAAATCACGGCAGCAGCAGCCTATTCCATCGCAACCTCAACCTCAACCTCAACCTCAACCTCAACCTCAACCTCAACCTCAATCTCAATCTCAATCGCAGCCGCAGCAGCAGCACTTTCAACACACACAACCCCCAACACAACAACAACCTTCTTCTTCAATCTCAACTTCAGTTCCAGCTCCAGTATCTACTCCAGCTCAATTCCAGTCATATCCCCAAGCTCAACCTTTGTATCAACAATCAGCACCCCCTTCTAATACTGCTCAACCAGTTTATCAACAGCAAAATATTACTCCTGAACCAGTATATCAGCAACAGCAATATCAGCCCCAATACCAACAACCGTTGCCGCAATTTCAGCAACAGGTTCCTTCACATCCACAATTCCAGCAGGTCCCTCCCACCCAGCCTCTTTTTCAACAACCATCTCCACCCCAACCCCCGCCACCACAAAAGGTAGACCCTTTAGTTCAAAATACTGTTCTTCCGTGGTCTGAAGTCGGCAAAGGTCCTCACTCTCCTAATTGCTCTTGCAATTTGTGCAAGACCTATAAAACGTCTGGGACTCGACCTTCATCTTCACCTTTAGAAAATCCGCATCAAAGAACTAGCACAAGAAATACTCACTCCGAGGACTATAGTTGGGAGGAAGAGAATACCCCACGGCCTACAACATCAGCAGAAGAGGCTCTTCGCAATGTTTTGAACCAGCTGGAAGAGGAGTATGATCAGCTAAACAACAAATTTAAGCAACTCACTACTTCATTTGGCGGAGGAGATCCTGCCGTACGTAAAAGACAACGTGACCGAATTGCGGAACGAATTTTAGTTGTTACCAAAGAAATTCAAAATAAAGCCGATCAAATTTATGCACTTCACGATGTCAATCTGGCTGCCCATTTGAATGTGGAGTCTAACAAGAAACCGGCCGATGAGTCTCGGAAGCCTACTGGTATTCTGCCGACACTTTATGGGAATGGTGAACCGCGCGATGCGGCAGCACCCAAGAACACTAAACGAGCATCTTCTAATTCTACAAGCAAACCACCTAGCTTTTACCAACCATATATCCCATCTGAGAATGAAGACGAGTATGATGGGGAATCTGATGATGCATTAGAATCAGATCTTAATACCACAGAAATTACAGGCAAATATGTCTGGAAAGCCTAATATCATTATATACACTAATATTAATAGATTTTATCACATCTTTACATCAAACAACAAACAACAAATTACCATTTGCATAGGCAGAAACTGGCAGCAGCGTAGCAGGAATATATTAATGTCAATGTTGAAAGGAAAAAGAGAAAAAAGGTTTGGAATAAGCGTTAGAAGTCTTGTATATAGTAAGTAATCGAATAGGTTTATTCCATAATGTAAAGGAGAAAAAAGCATTTTGTAGATTTTGGAGTCGCAGTTTTTTTTAAGAAAAGATTAGCAAAATAATGACACTAATGATAGCTTGGAAAGTCGAGGGTAAAGCATGCCTATGCAGCACTTTAACAGAATTCAACGGCCTTAAAGGGTTGTGACACAGCCAACACGAAATGGCTTTAATAATCGACCCGATTGACAGCGCATACTTGTCAACTTAAATGGTATTCCATCTTCAAACCTGGTAGATAATGTGACGAATATTGTCATTCCAAATGTTGTTTAGACCACTCTTTCCCTATTCTTAAAATTATTTTCACGATATTATGAGTTTTATTTTGATGGATATATATACCTTTAATGTTTTTTTTTTTTAATGATAATATTACTTCTATCATAGATATCACAGATAAGTGTTGATACTTAATCAAAAGAAAGTTCAGAGGCAATGCCGAAAGGTATTTGTATATCCAACAAAATTTCATGTACAAGTATCTTATTATGATCGTAATATGCCAAAAACGATATAAATTCCTTTCGAAGCAATCATAATCTTGGTTCTCTTATCCATTTACCGTCTTTATATTTTTCTTGTGTTTAGGGATTTATGAGACCAGGAAGCAATTCTCTCTCTTTTCTATTGACTTTGACCTAGTTCGAGAGTGCATTTTTTTATTGCCTAATTTTATGACTGATTAGAGGAATGCTAAAAAGAGATTTATAAAACAATATATATTACGATAAATTTGTTATTATTTTTAATTTCATGGTAGTGGTGAAGGATCTACATTAGACTAAGAATTACTTAAAAAAACAAGAAAAGAGCGTGTATTTAATAATTGATAATTAAGATATAAGTCTATTATCTCAACTCAGAAAAATTTTAGGACTAGATCGAAGTATGTGTAAAATCAGACTAAGTCGTAGGTTATCAGTATAAACAAAATTATTTGAAGAGTAAAGAAGAGGAAGGCATTTATTTGGAGGGGAAGGAAAGCTCCTCATATAAACAGATTGATACTCGTAATTCTGGGAATCTATTATGCCTATGACTTACTTCATTCATAAACTTGTTCATAATCAGTATGTGATTATGAAATGGTAAATGCTTGGTATTCATTGAATAAGAGCTTCTTTTATTATAAATTTAACAGAACTTATAAGTTCTGATTAAAGTATTATCATAACACTTTCATGATTTCTACCATTTACACCAGCGGAAGCCAACAGCAGCGTAGCGGGAATAAAGCAATGCTAGGGTAGTAGCTATATAAACAACACCATCAAAAATAATGAGGTTTGTATAATCTTTCTCATTTGTAATCAAAGCACCAGAGATAGGCACACCAATGAGAATAGTAACAGAAGCAACAAAGTACATGAAGCCATAACGTTTACCGTAGTCTCTTGTTCTGCAAATTTGACCACAACAGGCAGGTGCGAGTGATACAATGCTTCCATTGCAAAATCCGTGGGTTACCGAAAACATGATGAGGCCAATTGTATTGGAGCCAAAAGGAAGCCAAATGACAAAGATTGTGAAGGCAGCCATGATTGTTGTAGCAATCACGGTGTTAAATCTTCCCAGCTTGTCTGCCAAAATACCCGGAATGATACGTCCGCCGATTGCCGATGCATTAAGAATGGCTAGAATGGCGTACGAAAACTCTTCACTATGATTTTGTGCCAAAGCATAGGAAGTAAGGAAGGTAAGACCGTTAACGGCACCGAGTTCACCAAGAAAGTTCCCAATTACAAGGCCAGCAAATCTATGGTCACGGAGCTGGCGATAGTCTATCATGTTTGAGACTCCTCCCAATAGAGTCTTACTAAGCTTGCGCTTTTCCAGAGATGTTAAACGTGTTTTCATTAACAAAATAAAGGAAATAAGCAATACAAAGCAAAGTACACCAAGGACGCGGAGTGCCCAAGCATATCCAATTGATGAATAAAGTTTACGCAGCATAAGAGGGTAAACAACACCGCCAACACTTCCGCCGACTGTTGCAATGCCAATTGCTGTTGCACGGCGTTTATTAAACCATTGTCCAACAATAGCAATAAGTGGGGTCATTAAAAGTGCTCCACCGATACCGACACAAACTGAAAAGGCAAGAAAGAATTGGTAGTACTCAGTACAAAAGCTTGTAGTAATGAGTCCAAGAGTCCATAGAAATGTTCCAATAATTGAAAGCTGATACGGTCCCAGGGAGTCGTAGATTGGACCCACAAGGCCTGTAAGAAAAAAAAGAAAAAAAAGCAACACGGAAAAAATCCACGAAACTTGGGACTCTGATTTGTTTGAAAGCTGGAAAATAGAAACGTGTGCTTGGACGGCTCCTAAAGAATTGCATAGGCCAAACACTGCGAAAAGACCAAAAAACGATGCCAACACAACTCTCCAAGCATCTAATCCACCTTCTGGAAACTCCTCCTCCTCCTCTTCTTCTTCTTCATCATTATTTATTTCATTAGTAGATCGAGACCGTATACTTTCAGAATTCTCTGAGGGCGCTGTTCTAAATGAAACACCAGAGGCTGCAGCAATTTCTTGGGTATCTTCCACCCGTTTGCGAACATCATCATTTTTTTCAGGATCTAGTTCTTGTTGATTCAAAGTTTCCAGAGGTATTTCTAAAAGTTCTTGTGCCATTGGTATTGCTATAGATTGTAATTCCTAGTAATTAAAATTTTGAATTTCGGGTGGAATATGGTCAGTTTAAGAAGGGCGGCTATGTGTGAATGTCGAGTCATACAATTAATTAATAAAAAGCAACAATGACTCACAACACATAATCGCAAAACCCACAAATACAATCTTAAATTTCTTCCCCACGTAACCTGGAATGAACTTCCATAATGGATTTATTTAAGACTAGCAGTTTATTATTTATTATAACATATATATATATATGTTATCTATTGCTACCATTTACACCAACGGAAGCCAACAGCAGCGTAGCGGGAATAAAGCAAAGCTAGGGTCGTAGCTATATAAACAACACCATCAAAAATTATAAAGTTTGTATAATCTTTCTCATTTGTAATCAAAGCACCAGAGATAGGCACGCCAATGAGAATAGTGACGGATGCAACAAAGTACATAAACCCATAGCGTTTGCCATAGTCCCGTGTTCTGCAGATTTGACCGCAGCAGGCAGGGGCAAGTGCTACGATACCAACATTGCAAAATCCGTGTGTCAATGCAAAGGCAATGAGACCAGCGGTTGTGGCACCAAATGGAAGCCAGACAACAAATACCGTAAGGGCTGACATTGCACAAGAAGCAATGACTGTGTTAAATCTACCCAATTTATCAGCCAAAAACCCCGTTATGATACGTCCTGCAATACCTGAAGCATTGAGAATGGCAAGAATGGAATAGGAGAACCCTTCTGTGTGGTTTTGTGCAAGTGCATATGAGGTCAGAAATGTTTGGCAATTGGTTATGCCGATTTCACCGAGGAAATTTGCAACAGCAAGGCCAGTAAAACGAAGGTCTTGGAGTTGGTGATAATCGAACATGTTGGTAGCCGCACGAGTAACGGTTTCACGAATTGATCGAGAGTCTTCTGGGGTGGTCATACGAGTCTTCATCAAAAGAAGAGAAAAGATTAAAAGTCCAAGACAAAGAAACCCAAGAACCCGAAGAGCCCATGGATACCCGATGGAAGAGTAGAGTTTGCGTAGCATGAGAGGATAGACTATACCTCCAACACTTCCACCAACAGTAGCCAGGGCCATTGCAGTGGCACGACGTTTATCAAACCATTGGCCAATTATTGAAACAATAGGTGTTACCAATAGAGCTCCGCCAATTCCAGTACAAACAGAAAAGGCCAAGAAAAATTGGTAATATTCAACGCAGAAACTTGTAGTAATGAGACCCAATGTAAACAAAAAGGTTCCAGTAATTATCAGCTGGTATGGTCCGTAAGCATCGTAGATGGGCCCAACATAGGAAGCAAGCAAAAAAATAAAGAATATGAAAACAGAGAAAATCCAAGATATTTGTGATTCTGATTTATTTGAAAGTTGATAAACTGCAACATAAGCCTGGACTGCACCCATGGATGTACATAGTCCAAAGACTGCAAAAAGGCCTAGAAAAGAGGCCAAAACCACACTCCATGCTTCAATTCCACCTTCGGGGTAATCTTCATCTTCATCTTCCTCTTCGTTGATATTTTCTTCTGATGTTTCGATTACCGCTTCAGTGAATTCTGCTGGGTTTGTTCTGAAAGATACACCAGATGCAACAGCAGTTTCCAGAGTATCATTTGTGCACTGATTACTGTTTGAAGACTCAATTTTGGTAACGACGGGTGCCAGCAAGCTGAGTGGCTCAAGAGGTATTTCAAGTAGTTCAGGAGACATTGGTATTAGAGATGAGTTTTTTTTTTTTTTTTTTTTTTTTTTTTTTGGTTTATCCATGTTTTGAGAAGATTAGAACTGTTTTAAATATTTCTTAAAATCGGATTGAGTTACTAATTCTTGACAAGGAGACTTTTCGGTTATGTTTCTACCCCACAAACATACCAGGCGGTTATCTTGATACTCGAATGTATGATAGATTTGAACAAGGCTGAAGCTACCATTGTAAAATGCAAAGGTGACATCACTTAACCTCAAAGGTTTCCAGTTTTGTTAATTTTTTGTTTAAATAATAATTTGATCAAATTTTATCATGAATGGGTTTGGTTTAATTTGTGAACAGATTAATTCTAAAAGTAAATAATGCAACCATGTCAGCCAGCGCCATTATTGTCTAGTTTTTTGAGAGGTTTAGGCTTAAGCTTGATATTGACTCGTAGAAAAAATAAAGAAGATTAGGAACTTTGTTTGCTAGGTTTATTCACTTGCGAAAACATATCTGACGAAGAAAAATCCAGATTTTGATTGATTTTTTGGGGCGTTGAATAGCCACAACCAATGACTCCCATAAACTGGCCACTCCTGTATTTTAATTTCTTTTTTTTCTTCAGTTTAACTATATTTCAATTTTTTTTTTAACTAAACTGCATTTCTTACCTAAAAATCCACTGATAGTCTGAAAAGTGATATTGTGCGGTGGAGATTTATTTAAAAGGTCTTTGTTGAAGATTTTGAGTTTAATTTAAAACTATATTTAAAGTCCAAGTCCGGAAATCGGTGTGAAATTAATAACCAGCTTGCCAAAACCAACGGGTAAACTCCAGGCACCAGTTCATCAATTTTTTTTATCCATAATCTTAGGCTGCATGGATGAGTAAACATCATAGCTAAAAAAAAAAACGTCAAGCCGAAGCTAAGAATCGTTGAATGGGAAATGCGCATGCCGTTTTTAACGGCTTTTCTTTTCTTTTCTTTTGTATTTTCTTTTTTTTTTTTTTTTTTTTTTTTTCAATGCGTTTCTACAAACCATTTGTCAATGGCACGGCGCTATCATGATGATTATCATCATCGTCACCCAAGTCTCTCGTCACACCCTCGATTTTTTTTCTACACTAACAAAAAGTTCGAAATCCCACAGACAAAAAAACAAAAGGCCAAAAAGCCACACTTGATAACTGGCTATCTTGCAACGGTTATAGAAACGGTTGTGATAATAGTTGTAGCAATGATCTGAAGCAATGTTAATTGCTTTTTTGCATGCAAACTGAATGAAAGTTTGTGTTAGAGTCAAGCAACTGAGGTTTAGTACATGTAACACCAATTTGCTTACAATTTGGCCAATGTGCAAGATGGATGCTGTATGATATTTATATATATGTCATTTTAGTTGGCAGGTGTTTGTACAACTCCAACAAGGTGTGCATGTGATAAAGTGTAGAATGCAACGACAGTAGAGCACCAGTAAGAGCACCGGTGTAACACCAAGTACGATGGGGAATAAGATGTTGTATTTTAAATTTAGTCATTAGAAAAAGAGTATAGAAATTTAGGTAATTTATTAAACTTGATATCTTAGGATAGAATTTGCAATGTGCAATGTGCAATGTTTGGTGAATATGGAGTCTTAGTGATACAAGTTTACACTTTTATTTTATTTTAATTTTTTTTTTAAATGGTGTTCTCTTTGCTGACATAATCTCTATTTTATTTGTTTAATTGCTTATTAACATTTAAACCCAAAACACCTAAAAACCCCCACTTGAATCAAAAGAAGGGCTTATTTTTCATTAACAAAAAACCAACAAATGGCAAAAAAAAAAAAAAAGGAAGAAAAGATAAAAGAGCTGTAGAGCATATATAAAAAATGAGAGCTGGGAGGTTCGAACTCCCGCCTCCGAAGAGACCAGCACCTGAAGCTGGCGCCTTAGACCACTCGGCCAAACTCCCAGAATATTTAATGAAAAATTCGGAGTTTTAGATTAAAGTTTGAGGGGTATTTGAGTGACTTTAACCACGTTTTGTAGTTAAACTTAATTTTAGTTAGTTAGAATTGTGTTAACTTTAGTTAATTTTAATATAGAAAGTGAAAGAAAAAAAATTTATCGTTACAATTGGGTAATTGTTTTTTTTCCCCCTCTCTTTTTCTACTTTTAACGATTCCAGTCATTCCTCCTATTTAGTAATTTCTATTTTACAACTATCAGTTTCACGAAAAAAACACAAAAATAAATAAATAAAAGATATTTTACTATGAATTCCTAACTAATTTTAATTTTTGTATTTTTTTTTTTTTTAAACCATTTACCATTTACCAGAAACATGAAAAAATAAAAAATTTTTTTTTTTTTTTTTTTTTTTTTTTTTCATGGCTGTCCAATCTTTGGCCTTTTTATTTTATTGTATTTACTCTTGAGAGAGGAGTTTTTTAAAGCATGTACCACAAGTATTAGGCATTTTTTTTAAAAAAAAAAAAAAAATAAAAAAATAAAAAAATAAAAAAATAAAAAAATAAAAAAATAAAAAAATAAAAAAATAAAAAAATAAAAAAAATTCAACGGTACCGGTTGATTTTCTTTTCTTTTTCTTTTTCAATGATCTTTGAATAAAGAGAGATAGAAGAAAAAAAACAAAAAAAAAAGTTTTTCATAACAAACAATACTTTAAGTATTAAATATTTAAATAAGTAATATACAATCTTTTTTTTAATTCCCTCGGTTTCATTTTCTCCATTAAGCATAGTAAGAGTAAGCGAGACGGTGCAAAATAAACAGATAGACAAGACTTTATCATGTGTTAAAGCTAAAGTACGCAAAAAAAAAAAAAAAAAAAATTAAGCGAATTTTGATGATCCCAAAGTTTTAAAAAATAAAAAGAGAAATAAAAAAAAAAAATTTTTTTTTCTTTTTTATTAAAATCTTATCAAAGCAATAAATATCATTCTTTTGAGTTTTTTTTTTTTTTTTTTTCTTTTCAATGCTTACCAAAAATAAAAACAACTGATAAAAAAGATATCTGAACAGCATGCTAGGGGGTTCTTCTGGGTCCCATGATCTGAGTGGTTAGGGTTGTGTGGGCCAAGTTGCAACACAACCAGTGATGATGAGATATCAGGACCACCACAATCACCACCATCAGCATAGCAGAACAAGATAAAACTTAAGAGGAACTGAGTTTATCTTAAGATCAAAGATACGCTAGGTTGGACCAAACTGATGGAACCTGGGACTAATAATACGTGTAGACTATTACCCTTAATCAGTAACTATAAGTTATAATAAATTACATTCAATTTATCCCGAGACCACGACAAATAGTCATTGATCTTCAACCATGAAAGATGGAGCTGAACAGTCAATTAACTCATCCACATACCTGTGGATGGGGGATATGTTAGACAGCGCAAAATACGCCGAAATGGAACGAAGCATGTACTGCGGACAGAACTCTGGGGCGGGGAATAAGGAATACCGTGGCTACTTTTATTTTGCGTTCTTCGAAGCCCCAGACCCATCAATGGAGTACAAATTCTCCAAAGAAAAGAGCGAACGCTTTCAGAAGGAAGTATTGGATAATTCCTCCTTCAAAATGGAGGAATCGTGCCAAAGAGAATTCATTGCTTGGGTCATGGAAACTCACAACATTATGATGGAGTACTTGCATAGTGGAGTAAGCGGGGAGCAATATTGCGAATTTATACAAAAGGCCTCTAAAGCCAAGACGGAAGACTGGATCAAGGTCACCGAGTCGGCATCGTCACCAAACATGATAATCGCTGGATGCTGTGAGGTGCTATACGACATGAAACAGAGGGTGCGGGACTATAGAAGAGCATTCAGAGTATCTGAACGTGGTGCCGGATTCACCAAGAAAAAGTTCCGGTCTCTCGCACACCCGTGGACAGGCCTGGGGAAACAGGGTGACAATGATTTAACGAAGAGGTTTCTGGGCTGCTTGTACATGCTGGAGAACGACCAGAGAGAGAACATTTATATCATGAATAGCGATTTATTTGACCCCGAAACTAAATTGATACACCGCAAGGTGCGAGTATTGGCCTCCAACCATGAAAACAACGAGGGAAAAGAGCTGCAAAATAGATTAGAAAAAATCATGCGAATTGCGGAAATGGAAGATAATCACCACGACTTGGACGAAAACGCAATAAGGTTTAAAAAGATTAAAATAAAAAGATAAGCTTCCCTGCCAGGGGTCGAACCTGGAATCTTTCGCTTTGTAACCTTTAATGATCGTAGGCGAACGCCTTGCCATTGGGCCACAAGGAATAACTTTAAATTTGTTGAAAAGATTTATTTTTAGAAATATATAAGAGCTGTGAACAATTTCCTTAAAAATTACAAATTTGTTTGTTTTGGGTCAAACCTTATTAAAATATATATATAAATAAACGATCATATTTTCTTTTGTCAAAGTTTTTAAAATTTACAGAAAAACCGTTTTTTTTTTTTTTTTTTTTTTGAATAGTCACAGAATAGTCACAGGAGTGATTATGAAGAAGAAGAAGAATAATTGAGGGATCTTGAGCAAAAAGTGCAATAACTACAAGTATGAACTCTCTGGGAACAAAAAAATTTTTTTTTCAACATTTTGGTAGTATCTTCTAGGTTATAAGAAGAAGAAAAAAGAAATAGATTGAAATAAACATTTTATGAAATAAACTTGCCGACTTTTGTAAACAGTCTAATTGGTTTATAAGTCAAATAGTAAACTTTGTTAGCTTGAAAGAGATTATTATTAAAAGATAAAAATTAAAGAATTTGATAAAAACAACTGGGAAATAGATTGGTTTAGTTTTTCAAATTTTTTTTTCAAATTTTTTTTTTTTTTTGTATTTTCTATAAGTAAGAACAAAACGTTCCCAGACAAATTAAAACGTTTATAATTATGGAGGGGGGACAAGAAAATGATATATTGGTAGTAGTAAGAACACAAGGGATATCATTGATGCTTATTTGTACTTTTTGAAACAAACAATGAAGACAACTGTTTAGTATTTATTCAACAATTATGGATCCAAAAAAAAAAAAAAAGGAGAAGAGTTTATTTAAAAAAAAATATAGAAAAACAATGTGTATTAATAGATAAAAATAAAAACAAAAGTGTGATTTAAAAAAAAAAAAAAAAAAGAACCATTTAAACACACTTTTTTTTTTTTTTTTTTTTTTTACTTGACCTTATTAGAAGCTTTAGAAACTGTAGGTCCAGGATCCGACTTGCGCTTTGCATCAGCTACTGCTGCTAAATCTGCAGAATCCGCGGGTGTAACAAAAGTCTCCGAAAGTGTTTTTTTGACCTGTGCCGATGTTTCCTTCTCATTATTCACCTGGTCATCCTCCATATCATTATTTTCATCGTCATCGTCATTATCTTGTGTTTGGCCATTACCCTCATACTTGCTAAGACGCGCCTTGAGCTCTGCGACCTCCACATGCAAAGTCTTGATGTAGTCTATAGCCATTTCAACCGTAGAAGCCTTGGACGAGGCTTGGTGTGACGGCGACAGGAGTTTGGCAAGATCCGTTAGCGCTGAATTGATACGGTTACGGCGGCCTTGCTCAGCCAGTTTGTGCGAGGTGCGCTTAGATGTCAAATCTGCAGAAAGCGATTCCGGGTATGACAGTCCGAGCTGCGAGTGGGTACCCTCCACAATATTTTGATAATTCGACTTGGATGCAAGCACAAGCGAAATGTCTGCACCCAAGGTCGGGCTACCAGATACCCCATTTAATGCAGAAAGACTGCTTTTACGTGACAATGAGCTCCCACCAGAGCTGCCACTGTTACCACTGTTCCCGTTAGACAAGTGTATTCCTCCGCCAGCACCAATGCCATTGATTGCATCAATACGTGGCGAGATATGGGGGGAAATTTTGGGTCGCAAAACCGGCGAGGAGGAGGCACCATGGCGGGGTTTCCATGAACTGGGACCTGGGCCTCCGGGGCCTCCAGAAGGTGAGATCTTGGGTTTAATGAGAGTACTACCTTGTTGGGCTGATAGGGAGGGAGATGGGAGCATTGCTTTGTTGCTTGATCCGCGGCGAGAGCCCGTACGGCGGACAGTTGTACCAGAACTTGTAGCAGAGCTTGTAGCAGACCCATTGGGGACAATAGTTTTAGGAGACATTTGAGTTGAGTTTTTGCGGGTATTTGGTCTTAATATAGGTGTATTATTATTAGGAGTGGATTTCCGAGTTTGTTCTTGTTTCTCGACATTTTTCCCAGCTTGGACTGCGTTGCGAAGATGGAGTTCAGTGCTAGCAACATCGAGCATTTCCACATCCTTTTGTTCGGGTAGATTCATGAGACTAGCCGGAGTAACCGGGATCAAGCCTGGAGTAGAAGATGCTGAAGTTGAAGTAGATGTGGCTGACTGTTTTGATTTGGGTTTGACAGTAACAACGGGTTCTGGTTGTTGCTGTTGCTGTGGCTGTTGCTGTTGTTGCTGTTGCTGCTGTTGCTGTTGTTGTTGTTGTTTTCTAAGCTGACGTTTCTGAGGAGGAGGCATTACAACATCAGTCAAACCTTCTGGAGAGACAGAATCTGATGACCAACTAGTATGATGATCAGAAGAAGAAGAAGAAGAACCTCCTCCTGCAGAATTGGGCTGGATGTTTGGTTGAATTTGGGGGGAAGTATTTGTGGAAGAAACAAGGCTAGGCAGGTTACTACTAGATCGACGAGAGGGTCGAATCATAGGGGAAGCCTTTGTGATACGGGCAGAGGAGCTTGAAGAGATGTTTGCACCATTGGTTGAAGAGGAATTGAGGCCGGAAGATTTGGTAACCATAGGGGCCAGTACAGGTGTTGATTTTCTGCTATTTCCTCGCCTTTGGCGTCTTGTAGATGGTTGAGGTTGAGGTTGAGGTTGAGGTTGTAATTGATGTTGTTGCTGTTGCTGTTGCTGTTGTTGGACCATTGACTGTTTAATATTCGAGGGAATGATTAAGTTTTTTTCCTCGACCAACGGAGAGGCACTAAAGTAGGAGCTGGGCATGGTAAAATCCGAAGTTGGAGGCATGATTCCAGGATTGATTGAATCAAAGGGGGTAACAGCAGGAGACATGAGGGGGGTAAAATCTTCGGTTGTTGCGGAGCCAGTGGTGGAAGATTTGTCCATGGGGCCTGCAAGAGGAGAGCGAAAGATTTCGTTAGTCATGACGGCACTTTGTGTTTCAAGGGTTGTTGGAGTTGGTGGGGGCATTGCAGATGTTGGTGAGAAGGAAGGAGGTTGGATTTGTTGTGGTGGTGAAGTAGCAGAAGACGTGGAAGTAGGGCCAGAGACGGAGGCATCTAGAGGGGTTGAATCTATCATGAGGGAATCGAGAGTGGAGGAATTTGAATAGCCATCCAAAAAGTCTCTGAAAAAGGTATCTAAAGTTTCTGGGTTTTGTAAAATGTTAAGAGTTTGAGAGTTTGGTCTAAGAGGGATTTGTTGTTGTTGCTGTTGTTGTATAGGTGGTGGTGGAGAGGTTTGTTTTTGCAGTTGAGATCTAGGGGAATTTGTATTATTTTGTTGTAAAAGATTCATTTGTTGTTGAATGTTTTGTAGTTGCTGGTAATGTTGAAGTTGTTGTAGTTGATTTTGTTGTGATGGAGAGAGTGGTCTACCTGGGCTTGTTGTTGTTGTTGTTGTTGCTGCTGTTGCTGCTGTTGCTGCTGTTGCTGCTGCTGCTGCTGTTACTGCTGCTATTATGTGAGCTTGTTGATGTTGATGTTGATGTTGCGGGTTGAATGGAGAGTTTGGGACTGGTGGAGAGAAGGGTTGGTTGGGGTCTATTTGGACTGATGAGAAATCCAGATAGGAGTTAAAATCTTGAGGAGTTGATCCTGTAGTTGGTGGTGGAGCTGAAGGGGTTGTTGCGAGAGGAGAAGGACCTGAGTTTTGGACTGATGCGACCAGATGTTGTTGCACAGACATGTTGGGGTTTGTTTGATTAGCGAGTTGTTGTTGAAGATGCTGGGAAGGTGGTGTTGAGACTGTTGATGGTAAGATTACAGCAGAGGTTGGCAATGGAGAGTTGGAAGCTGTTGAAGGTTGTGAGAGTAGATGCTGTTGTTGTTGTTGTTGTTGTATATTATGTACCAGTTGTTGATGTTGAGGAGAATGACCTTGATATTGTTGATTTTGAATCATTTGGATTGGGTCTTGTGAAGGTTGTTGCTGGCCTACTAAGAGAGTAGGTTGTTGATGAGAATGTAATTGCTGCTGTTGTTGCTGTTGTTGTTGTTGCTGTTGTTGCTGTGGTAGTGGTAGTGGCAGTGGCAGTGGCTGATGTTGAAGATGGGAAGGAACTGGAGAGGTTGCAGCAGAGGTTACAGCAGAAGGTGCTACAGAGACATTTGCAGCTGCTTGAAGATCATCGTAGAGGGTTTGCCATGAAGGTGAATGAACTTGTGGAACATGTTGTAGATGGTGAGTTTGCTGTTGTTGGTTGTGCAGATGGTGGTGGTGGGCCTGGGGGTCCATTTTATTTTTATTTTATTTTTATGTAAGAAACTCAGGGCCTTAATAGTTTGATAATTTGATAGTTTGATAGTGTTGTTGTTGTTGTTGTTGGTGTTGGTGTTGGTGTTGGTGTTGGTGGTGGTGATGATAATGATGGGTATTATTATAATGGGATTAAGTATAAGATTTTAATATATATATATATATATATATATATTTAATATATTTAATTTAATTTAATTTAATTTAATTTAATAATAATAATAATAATAATAAATAGATATATTTTGATTTTTTTTAAAAAATAAAAAAAAAAATAAAAAAATCAGTTTAATATTTAAGAAGAAAAAAAGGAAGAAGAAAGAAAAAAAGGAAAAGAAAAAAAATTAAAAAAAAATTAAAAAAAAATTAAAAAAAAATTAAAAAATAAAAAAATAAAAAAATTAAAAAAATTAAAAAATTAAAAAAATTAAAAAAGGAGTTTTATTTATTTTTATTTTTATTTTTAATTTTTTTATTTAATTTATTTATTTTTAATTTTTTTATTTAATTTATTTTATTTTATTTTAAAAAAAAAAATTAAAAAAAAATTTTTTTTCTTTTATTTTTATTTTTATTTTTTTAAAAAGTAAAAGGAAAGACCTGGCGGATTTATTTATTTTTTATTTTTTTTTTTTAATTTTGGTGGTTGTGATGGTTTAAATAAATAAATTTTGGGGGGTTTTTTTTTTTTTAAAAATGTAGTTATGCCATATTAATTAATAACTGTGATGATGATGATGATGATGATGATGATGATGATAATACGTTTATTACCACAACAACTATCTTTCTCTCTTTTATAAAAAAAAAAAAAAAAAAAAAATTAAAATTTATAAAGAATTTATTAAATTTTTATCAATCTTTTATTAAGTTTTTTTTAATAATTTTATAAATTCAATTAAAAAAAATTTTTTTTTTTTTTTTTTTCAATTTTAAATAACATTTTAAATTTGTTATTACTACTACTACTACTACTACTACTACTACTACTACTACTACTACCAATGCTGATGGTGCTGCTTCAGTTTGTTGTTGTTGCTGCTGCCCTGAATTTCCGTTAAAGCCAAACCACTCGATTTTAAGCCAATCATAAATCATTTAACCCCACGTGTGCCGTGTGGTTGGTTTCCAGGCTTTTACCGGAGAAGGCTCCCGAATTTCCTGATCCGGTCTATGCACGGCTGCTCTATTAATGGCTTTTTTTTTTTTTTTTTAATTTATTTATTTATTAATTTATTTATTTATTTATTTATTAATTTATTTATTTATTAATTTATTTATTTATTAATTATTGTTTTTATTATGGTAGTACCACCACCATCATCAATATCATCAATATCATCATCATAATCATCATGATCAGAAGTTTTATTTGTGAAAAAAAAAAAAAAAAAAAAATTTTTTTTTTTCATTATTATGTAGCCCGGATTTCTCCGCATGTCATTTGCCAATTTGTAGAAAAAAATAAATAAAAAAAAAACCATGACGGACCGATCTTTTTGCCGTTGTGATCAACTTATATATAGTTAATAATATATATACTTTGTAATCCTTTTATGAAAAAAAATAAAATTAAATTAAAAATAAATAATGATCACTAAAAACTTAGGCCTATAGGCTATCTATCTATCCAGCTATCTATCTTATATATATATATATATATATATACTTTATAAAAATTACTTACCTAACCACCCAATCCTAACAAGAACAAAAAATATATATATATAAACAAAATATAAACAAAACCAACTTCTTGCTCAATGCGCCAACCAAACCTGTTGCAATTCTTCTCCTTATTTTTATCCCGTTTCTTTCCTTGTTTCCATGGAACTTATACATTACTTACTTCTAATATGCTTGGTAGACAACGATTGTGGCCTTATTATTATTAATAACAAAGTCATAGGACTTATTACTTTTAATTTTAATAATCTCCATCTGCTTCTACCGGTTAAGCAAAAAAAAATATATATATATTTGTTAAGAATATAACTTTTACCATCAATTCTCTTTCTTTCCTTCGTAACATGTCTTTTTTTTTTTTTTTTTTTTTTTTTTTTCTTCCTCATCGATGCAGGAGATGGATATATATCCATCTCAATTTGCTCATTAGCTTTAGAATTACATGTACATATCCACAACCTGAATTCTACTACTACTAAACGTATCACTTGAAAAAAAAAAAAAAAATAAAAATAAAAATTTTTTTTTAACCTCATTGGAAATTATATCACTCCTGAATGTATTTAAGGGACTTTTCCATGTTACTCTAACATGTTTCTCCACCTCTGATAATTTGAGGCACATACACATGTACTAATGCTTATTCCTTATGTGGGTCTTTATATATATATATATATATATATATATATATCTGCTAATTGGATATTTTCAAATATAATTTATGGTTGGATATTAAGGGCAAAAAATCATATTTTCAATAATTAAAAAAAAAAATACGTATTCTTTTCATTCAATTCTCAATTTCTTTTAAGAAAAAAAATGGTATAAAACATTATTTTTCACATCTTTTGTTTTCAAACAAACAAACAAACAAAAGTAACCACAATTTTTAATAAAATATTCTTTTAATCTTTTCAAATAAACTTTATATATATATATCTTGCAAAATCATAAGCTAATGACTAACTCTATTAAAATCTTCTTTTTCAATATCAAAGATATTTAATTAATCAATTCAAATGATTTATCTATTTTTTACTTTCATTCTCATACCAACTCTTTCTTCTTGAAGATCAGTCATATCAAAACGTACTCTTTTCAAAAAAAAAAAAAAAAAAAAAAGTTTTACTAACTAAATAAATTGTGTCATTTCTTATTCTAACTATGACTTTTTCTCATCAAGAAATATCAATCTACAAAGTAAAATTAATTTCTTAACTTTTAAAGCGCTCATTAAATTTCTTAATGAAAAAAAAAAAAAAAAAAAAAAAAAAAAACCACTACTAAAACTTTTCAAAATACTTTAACTTATAAACTATTCTTTAAATAATTGTCAAACTATTAACAAATAAAAGAACAATATCAAATAAAATAGAAATAATAATAATAATAATAATAATAATTCATTATATATATATAGCAAAATATTTACCATAATTGTTTGTGGTGGTAATAGTCATCATAATTGTTTGTAATCATCCCATACAAGGCACTGCATATATACAAATATCTTTCAATGAAAATACACTTCATCCACCAAATATAAATCACCTCTTCAACTTTCATCATATTAATTAATATAAAAAAAATTCCCCTTAAATTTATTTTATCAAGTGTATTAATTATATCAAGGAAAATACTAGTTTTCCGTTTTTCTTTGTATATATATATATTTTACAAAACATTAATAACCACCTAGAAAGAAACTGCCACCAAAATTATGGAAAAAACAAAGCAAAGCAAAGCAAAGCAAACAACCCCGTAACTTAATGAACCTTACTTATACTGACTTGTAATAATTGTATTTATTTTTTTTTTTTTAAAAAAAAAAGGAATTATTTATTTGCCCTTACAAATATTCGATATAATAAAACACAAATGATTGTGGTTTTCAAGAAAATCATCAAGTGTGTTCATGTAAATCTTATATTAAAACTAAAGTAACTCAAATATTTGAAATCTTTGTAGTCATCCAGCAGTGTAGATATTTAAACAATAAAATCATTAATCCTTAAACTACAACGGTATGATGTCAAACATAATACAAACTATACAAGTACAAAAATCAAACAAATCACTTACAACCTCTCTTTTTTTTTTTTTTTTCTCTTTTTCTCTCCACTATTGTTTGATGCAGTGTACTTTTATTATAGCTCAAATAGTATCGAAGATGCGGATAGAACTGACTTTTTGAAGGCCTCCTAAGAAAGAAATCACTAAATTTAATGATTAAAAAAAATAAAAAAAAAATTACGATAACGGATTACAACAACAATAACAACAACATTAATAATTTCTAGAGAATGGATAATGAAAAAAAAAAAAAAAAAAAAAAACAAACAAACTGGCCTCATTCTGTAATAACATACCTTAAAGCAGTTGCCTATTTGGAAAAAAAGGAAATAAGATAAGACCCTATTCTTGCTCTCGTATTCACTGGATAAAAAAAAAAGAAAAATACAAAAAATACAAAAAAACAATGAATAAATGAAAAGAATTGCAAAAAAAAAAATATATATATATATATATTTAACTTAAGCCTAAGATGTTAAATAAATGTAATTTTGATAAGACCTCTTCTATTTTATTCTTTAAAATAGTGACTGATACATACAATCAACATTCAGTCCTCTTTTTATATACTATAGTATATAACCTAGCTAGGTCTTAAATATATCATTTCTTTTTTTCTTCCTTCTAATATCAAGTTTAAAAGTCAATTAACTATATATTGTAAATGAGCTTATTTAATATATGAAGATCACTTTTTATTTTATTTTTTTATTTTTTTCAGTAATATTTTGCCCATAACTTTTGCTTTCTAATTAAAATAAAAAATAAAAAAAAAAAGAAAAAGAAATCAAAAAAAGGAAAAAAAAGAAAAGAAGTTTTTATTTATTTATTTATTTTTTTTTTAATTTTAAAATACTCACTCATCGTAATAAGCATTAATGCTTATATTGGAAATTTTGAAAGAAAAAATCAGTGACAATTCAAACTGTATGTATAGTCTGTTTACTGGTTATCTTTCAACCTATATTTGCCCAGACCTATATAGTTTCATATATATATATATAAAATATAAGGGGCTTTTTATTTTAAGGATAATCATTTCCGAAATTATAATTTATATATGGGAATAGTGGCAATTTAAGCGGTTCTTCAAAAAAAATAAAATAAAATATAATAAAATAAAAGATTTTAAAGATTAAAGATTTCTTTGCCCAATCAAAAATATTAATTTTTTTTAATCAATCAAAAAAAATAAAAATAACAATATATACAAAAAAAAT